TTGAGAAGAACTTGCATGATGCACCTTACTTCGTTTAGCGCCATCAGGAACTTTCATGCTATTGAATTCACAACCATATATATATATATTTTTGTTTTGTTTCAATATGATGATATATATATTTTCCAAGATACCCGGGTCTCCTGCTGCGACACTGGAGTCGAAGGTGGATGCTCGAAATCGGGCTTCTCCATCTTGACCCGAACCATCGGCATCTTGGCAGCCTGAGAATTTGGAAGGATGTTGGGATCACTATAACGTTATAATGTTTATATGCAGCAATTGTGGAATTTCAACCATTGACATGTTCCAAGCAGATTTTATCTGGGACATAAATGAATGTGGACCCTGGGTAAAGCGAGAACTTGCAGCCAAAGAACTGCTTCCTTTCCTTTCAAAGCTTGTGCAACTGCTTCCGCCACCTGCATGTGATCTCACATCACAGACTTGCTTTTATATATATGGAAAACATAATTGAAATCAGGTATACAAGTTATATCATGACTCAAATTGGACAAAAGCAAATGCCCCCCCAACAGAGCTGGCCCAGCCCTTCCTAGCCTTAGCATAGTCTTCAGGCTTGAGTGGAATCCCTGCATGTTTTGCTGCAACATTAATGCCATCCTGTAAAGTCTGGCAGCTCCATCCAGCTTCAGGGAGAGAAGTCACAGAGGAATCCCGGGACATATTTGGGGCAGCTAAACCTCGGCAAACCTCGGTTGTGTACCAAATGGCTACAAACAGAATCAAATATGTAAATTGATCCAGTAATCTGCATGTGCATGCATCACTTATACTGTAACTCTTTGAAAAGATCAGTACCACCCAGTGCAACGTTTGAAAGTACATGCAGTCATGCTATACGTCCTTCTTTTTCAATTGCACACCACCATTGGTCTCATATACAACATGGGTCAAACCACGCTGATCCTGTAAAGGGTATAGTGAGTAGGCATGTGCAACACCCCAAATCCATTCAAATCCAAAAATTTTTGTTGGGTTCCCTCACTTTTGAAACAATTTTGGTTGGATTTCCTAAAATTTTAAAAATTTTTGACAGCACCCAAAAGAGCTCAAAAAAAACCTGAAATTTTACGTAATTATTACGTAATATTTGCGCAACTTGAACGTAATTGAACGTAATTTGAACGTAATCTGAACGTAATCCGAACGGTTTACGGGTATTCACGTCCACAGCATGGTTATTCACGTCCCTAGTAAGATGTGTAATTTTTGCAAAAAATGGAATCATAAAATTTTCTTGGGAAATTGATGATTTTCATAAATTTTGGTTACTTCTTGGAAAAGTTAATGCCAATTCTAGCGAATTCACCATATCGTAGGACAGGCACTAGGTGAGCCTCATCCCAAGTCGAGAAAGGTGCATTTTCAAACACAGAGCAGGCTTGTGCTGCATCATTGATTTCAGGGCACCCCTCAGCCCCTGAAATCAACTTGGGAAAAAGGGTCCGGATTGCTTGGCCAAATCGTGGAGGATAGCTCCTGGGCCGGGCTAACCCATATAAGATTAACAGAGACCAGCATGTAATGCATGCATGCACATGTTATATATATAATTATATATATATAAGTTCAAACTACATGCGCACCAAATAAGTTTAGGGACTGGCTGGCTTTCAGGGCTGGAGTACCACTGTAGGATGCCTTCCCCGTACGTTTGGAAATAGTCTTTCGTACAGTTTCAACCTTGGTCTTCCCCTGAAAATGTAAACGATCCAGCTTGCCCTTGTCCAGCAAAGAACACCAGCGGTTGTTGCAGAATCCAATCTCAGGTTTGGCACTTTGCGCCCCATAGTGGCACATGTACCACTTGACTTTGAATACCTGAGGTGCTCAGGGGCTGGGAAAATTGATTGTGAATTCCATGTAAACTCAAGATCCATGGTGTTTTGAATACCCCTAAATTAAGTGGATCGATATTGTTTTAATTCATGTTGGATCTGCATGGATTCCATAGAGTGGCAATCATCGGGATAAATGCATGCAAAAAAGTCAGGGCCACATGCATGCATGTTTGCATGGTATATATAGAATCTTTATAACAATTGAGGATCTATATACAGGATGACTTCATATATAGGGCCAACAACCTATGTCCAATTACTCAAGTTACTTGCACCAAGCGCGTTAGCCATTGAAAGCGATGGTATTCAATCATCAGTGACGAGCGGGGCTGCTCAACGAAAAAGGTTCCTTCACAGCAAATGACCAGGCAGATGGGTAGCACGCACCTCAGCAGGCTGGGTGGGAGTAGAAAGAAAAATGAAAATGGATCAGGAAGACTGAGATCTTTATATATAGATCAGCTCTGAATTTCACAATGTATTGCTCAGATTTCATGGTTTGGCTGCATATTATAATTGTTTGCATGTATATGTTAAACTATATATAACATTAATTCCCACACTCCACCAACAAGATTGGATAAATTCAATTTGGTAGCAAAGGGTCCGTGACACCATCTTGTTGGCCTGCTCCACGTACTTCTTGGAGCAGTCTCCATCGGGGTTGATGAGAGACCGGCAGCTCGTAAAGACATTCATTTGCACCCATGAGCTACAAACGATCCCCCATGCTGTGCTAAAGGCACCCATCCTGCATGACAAGATCATATGTATGTAGAGCCTCGGTTGGTTTGGCAATTGAATTTTGCATTCACATGTATCCATGGGTCTTAGACTCTCAAATTTTGATGATGAATCAACTAGGTGGCAATTCAAATCAATCTGCATTTTATCATTGAGATAGGGAACCCCATACCCGACATCGTGTTGATATCCATGGGATTATCACCATCACCATGGATGCTCTCGATGAACTTTATGTCAAGTCTTGCAGCAGTGACATCATCTAGGCGTATAGCTCTCCATACCTCACCATCTCCAGAGAAAAACTCGATAAAGCATATCTCCTGCGTTGCCAGGTTGGATTTGATTTCTTGGGCTGGGAACCTCAATTAAAGGGTATACCGATTGATTGTCAGATTGCATGCATAAACCCATATATGTATTAAGATCAATTTGCATGGCCTGTTGGCTTTTCACAATTGACTGATCCCATGGTATATGTGATCAGCTCCTCGTTGAACTCGTGGAAGTTCTTGGAAAAGGCCACATATATGACGAGCATGATGAACACCTCAAGGGCAATGCACATGCATGTGCACATTCTTATAAGGGATTCCGCTTTGTGGTAATTTAAGTGTTTCTATGCAATGCTAGCCATTGATTCTTCTCATCTTTTTCCCTGCAAAGATCCAATACTATATATCAGATATCGATCTATATATATATGATTATATATATATATATAATATTTTTGAGATTGTTTTCCGGCTATTATAGGCAAGAAACCTTGGGCACACTCATGGCCAAAAGCCTTTTGACAACAGTGTCAATACACTGTCTTCCAGTCACCATGGCTGAGCAGGCAGTTGGGTTCAAAGTTCAAAAGCTTCTGCATGATCACTTGCAGTTGGGCAAAGCTACCCTGAATAATACATCTATATATATATAAATTGACGTAACAATCCACATTTGATGCTGGAAATTGCCGAACGGAAGTTGGCAAGGAGAATTGCCCATGACTCAAAAAGCATCCATTCAGCAAACACTGTTTCAAATCTTCAGCTCATTTGATTTCAATATTGTGAATTCGAGTTGCTTTGATTAATTTGATTTTATCTCATGCATGCACATGCACATTCATGGACTCAATTTTGGAAACAAGTTTAAAGAACTGATCGATAATTCATCGTTTGTTCCAATGATTCCCATTTGCATCACCCATACATGCATGATTAAGCGAGCCATCAAAACCTTTGGGAGTTGTACTCATTGTTGATCTCTTCGAGGAATTCCGGCATGACTTCCCAACCTTTCTGACCTTCCGCCGAGGCATCAGCAATCCACCTGGCATGGCCACATTCAGGCCGTCAAGCTTGGGTCGTAAAAGGGATTAGCTTTTACATGGCATGTTGATCGTTCATTTAACTTGCATGAACATAATATATTGAAATATGTTTGGATTCATGGATGTCCATCATAATGCAGATCCCGATATACATGAAGAACTGCTCAATTACATATGCACCCAGAAAGATATCCTAACATGCATGATGTGCCACATTTTTTTCCCGTCTTGGTTGCCCCATCAAAGACAGGCTCTTGACTGCCTGCAGACTAGGGAATGCTTTGCGAATCTAGATCTCGATGCAAGCAGTGCATGATGATCCAATGTCAGCATATTGCCAACAGCAAAGGGGTGGCAGTTCCACCCAGCTTTGACCAACCTAGGATTGATATGCACACAACGGCCACTCCCCGTCCCTTATGCGCTGAGAACTTGCTGTTATACAGGAGAACCATGATCTTCATGCAATAGTTATATACAATTGAACCAAAATTGGAATTACTGTATTCCAAAAAACAAAACATATAGCAGGTATTGACTGCATAGATTTGTTGGAGCTTTATTTGGCACACCAGGGTCTATGGGGAATGTGTTGTCAACATATATAGAGCCCCATCACATCTCATGGCATTTCTCCAAAACAAATTTTTTTTGAACAATGACGTTGATATATCAAATTAAGACCAAAACATTGGTGCAAACCACATGAAAAAATGATCATGGTTGCGTCATGATATCGCCATGATATATAGTGAATCTTGGCCTGGAAATCAAGTGATCACTCTTGCTGCTCAGCCCTCTCCTTGATCGCTGCCTCATGCGAGGCCTTGAGACAATCAGTATACCAAGCCATGTGCTCGCCGCATGGGTCTGGTCGGCTCTGGCGGTTCCACTCCTTGACCTAGGCAGGGCAGGGATTGCCAAAAGATTCTATAAAGTGATGGGTCATTTTATATATATATATATTTACATCCCTGGAGTTTTATATATAAGATTATGTTGTTTTGGCTGGGGTACTTGCATGTGTGTGTGTGTTATATGTATATAAAAGTCCAATGCAAGTGCCATCAAGAAACCCACATTTCACCAAGAACCAAATTGGTGTAGAGGCATGAGGTCTTGCAAGAGAAGTAGCATACATGGGCCTTTCCCTTCCCTTGGGCTTTATCATTCTGGAAAAAAGACCTGGGAACCTTGATGCCGCAAGCACAGCGGGATGCGTAGGGCTGGATATCCGCAAGATCATCCTTGGGCTTTTCCCACGTAGGATGGGTGCACTTGGAATCCTCACACTCCTTAAGTACCTCTTTGACGCACTCACAAACGAGTCGGTTCACCTCAACTGGCATTGCGTGCACATGATTCTTCGTCTTTCTGTTGCTCTTGGTTTTTGCTTTCTCAACCTCACCAGACAGAGATCTCTTTGGTCGAATCTTCTGTTCTTCAGTCTCCTTCTTTCCATGGTTCTTCTTCTTCTTCGTCTCTTTCTCTTTTTTGCCAGAGGCTGCTTTGGGCTTTGCCGCCGATTTGGCAGCAGTCTTCTTGTGTGATCCCGAAGCTCTGGTGTTCTTGGATCTGGATGCTTTCTGCTTTGTTCCCTTTTCTGCAAGGTTCGATTCGGTGTCCTCCGCCTTTGGCTCAGTCTTCTCCTCCGCCGTTTCCTCAATCTGATCCATAACCTCCTGAGTCTTCTCCATCGCCTTTTCCTCAATCTTCTTCTCACTTCCTTCCACCACAATTTCCTCTGTGTGATTTTCCTTTGCCTTTTTCTCAGTCTGGATCTTGGCAGTCCTCTTGGCCGTTGACTTCTTTTGGCCTTTCTTGCTGGGGATCTTCATCTCTTCCACTTGGCCTCTCTTGACTACTGACTCCCCATATGTGCCAGCAGATGTCAACGCCTGGGAGTACTCCCTCAAACGACGGATCTTGCGACTCTGGACAGGCCTTGTTGATGGATGGTCTGTGTTATCCATGCCATGCATCTTGGAGCTGGAACTCTTCTGTTTCTTCGATGTCTTCTTTTTCCTCTCTTTGGTCTTCTCAGCCGAGGTACGACCAGCTTTCTTCGTCTTGTCTTTCTTGGCTGCTTTTGCAGCTTTCACTGCTTCTTTCTCTGCCTTTTTGGCATCTCTCTCATCCTTCTTCTTGTTCTTCTCTTCCTTCTTCTTGCTCTTCTCATCCTTTTTCTTTTGCTTTTCAATCTTCTTCTCATCTCGATCTGACTTTTTCTTATCTGTTCTCTCCTTTTTCATTCGAAATTGCCTCCGTCTGGTGATCACCTCATGTTCTGGAATATGGATTCCATCCTCTCCAGTCTCCTCCACCTGCTGACCATGCAGGAAAGATGTGAATACGTGCATGTTAAAATATATATATGTTAAATACATGGCATATATATAATCAAAATATCGATCCGAAAGCAAGAAAACTTTATAAAAGATTATATATAGTGTTATATAAAACATAATAGTGTTAACACAGCAACAATTGCATGCATGGGAAAAGGGTTTTTGAACAATCCTGTACCTGAACTTCCACAGATTTGTCATGGATGTCCAAATCCTTCAAAGTTTCTTTCGCTACATCCGTGTTGAGTAGTTGACTGGGCGAGCAAATCTGCAAAGTGTCAACTTCATCAGCCGCTGCCACAGGGGGTAGCAAAGAATCCGAGATAATCATGATGGGATCCGTAGATGCTTCCGCACTTGCAACAACACCTAAGATTATGGTTCTTGAATTTTTGGGCATATAGCGGTGCTGTTGACCCTATGTCGGCTCTTTAAACTCCGTTTTGGAAATTGACATGGGGTTAAAATTGAACCAAATGGATTCACGCCAGGCACTTTGCTCATCAGCGGGAAGCAAGTTGGGCTTCCCAGATTGATCAGCTGGAGGCAATGCAGCCTGCTCTGGAGATCCACCATTCCTGGGTGTCATGGGATGGTACCATAAATAGGGCACTAGCAAATCGAATCCTATATATATCATCACTTGATGACTTTTGGTGCCCCAATAAACACATGGAGGATCCATATATATATATATGCAGACCCCCTAGAATGGACAGCAATGAAAACCTTTAATGGATTGAGGTTTCATGCAGCCAAAAAACAGCTTGCAATCAAGAAGTGCTTGGATAATGCCGGTAAGTTCTTGTGTTGATACCGTCATGCCATCCAATCCACCATGATTTGAGTTGGGGCCCTCCTCATCAGATGAGAGAATGTCAATGGCCGCCTTGAAACAGGGCTGGAGTGCATGAGATTCATGTTGTAATTCTCAATCCAATTTGTGGTCAAAGTTAAACATGAACAACCGACTATATATGCTTGAATTAAAGCGATATACCCCAGATCATTTTAGGGGGTGTGCAGGCATGATTCCCACTTCCGCTTTGAGTCATGTATACCATGTATATATAACTTTTCATATATGTAACCCTGCCTGGTTCCCTTCTTTTGCATTGCAACCATGTATTAAAGTTGAAACCCGGCATGGAGTAGCCACGGGAACGAAAGCCACCGTCCCATTGTCCTTGCGCAAAGCAGGTGGTTGTGCACTTCCCCCACCGGTAGCTGGATCCCTGGGTGGGGATGGCACCTGTGGTTGGTCTGGTCCTTGCAGAGGCACTGGGGGAAGATTGTGTTCCAACTCAGCGAACAGTTCATTCAGCTCATCCTGAAAGAGGGGTTGCCCAAGAGGTTCTGGTTCCACTTCCCCCACAGAATCCATATCGTGATTCCCAATTGCCTCATCTTGGGTATCCTGGTTCTCTTGGCTGTCAGAGCAATGTGCTGATGGTTTCCAATCCTGCACAGCCAAAGCATGCTTGAGATCAGTTTTCATGGCATTGCACGTGGCTATATGAGAGCGGATCAATTCAGTATATATATCCATTATAAGGAAAGCAAAAAGGAATATCGATCATATAGCGTCAAGCATCACATATATTTTGCAATTGGATTTGATATAATATGACCACACGTGGCCAATGCCAATTCTAAACCTGTTCATTTGCTAATTAACTTGGATTGTTGTGTCAGGGCACTCTCTCTCATCATATGTTACCAACTCATGCAGTCCAAAAAAAACTATACTCATTTATCCACCTCATGTTTTTCAATGAGTATCAGCTCAAATGGGTTGCCACTGGGTTGGAGATTTGTATAGCGCTCCATGTTGCATGTGAAAGTTAAGTGATGCATGGAACTCCATAGTGGATTTCAAATGTGGCACACCACTATCATCCCACACAAACCCCAAAAATCCTTCACGTCAACGCCCATGGCCGTGATAAGGTCTACCACCAAAGCATCCTGCAGTCAAAGCTTCTGATGGAGGAGACAGGGGAACACCAAAAAGGAACTTAGAAAACATGAGGGTGGCTGGTAGCATTGTGATAACTTATATAATTATATAAATATAATTGTATGGGATTCAAATTGTGGCCTTTACTCACCTTCACCTTAACTTGTTTTTTTGATGGCCAGTCCTGAGGAGGGTGAGGCCTGTAGATGAATTTCTTGGCTCACCCAATCATCCGACGGATAGACCATGCTTCCTGGTAAACATAGTCTGGCTGCCTCACAGTTTTCTTGCAAAGTTGGTAGAAGTCCTCAATGGCCCCAATCAAAGCCTCGATTGAGGGAAGCCTCAAGTCATTGATCGCCATAATCTCCATAATGGGCAATAGAACTGGGGTGTTGAGTTTCAAGTTTTCCACCGTAGCTTCAACAGCTGATGCAGCCTCCGTTTTTCCAACGGTGGAATCAAATCTCATGATGAGGGACTCCCCATTTCTCATTCGGTCACGGATGGCAGGTAAGTCATCCCACTTAGCAGGAATCTCTTCCAATGAGAAGTTACCCACAACGGTATTGGTAGAAGACTTTGGGGATGATGAAGCACTACTGGGATTGCCACCACCCCCAAGACAAACCTCCTTTGCCATAGCCATGGCCATGGCCAAGTTTCAAGCCCTTTTTGAAATCTCAGAGCCAAAATTTCTTGCATCTGCGCTTGTGCAGGACATGAGATGAGCAAAGCTTTCACGTGAACTACATTCCGCAATCTCAACACTTTCAAGTGCCATGAGGTTCAACTTAATTCACACTGCTTTGATTTTATAAGACGTGAAGCAATGTGTGCCATTAAATTCATCAACCAACAGTCCACTTGGCATGGTTTCAATTTCCTTCATTGGAGTTGGCATTGCCATCACAAAAAAAACACAAGGGAATGTTTCGATGAGATTGTGCAAGGTTTCACCTTTGAATCCCGGTGCTCCCAAAGATAAACAAGCCAGTGGAACCTGGCCAGCTCAGTCAGCGAAGTGGCACATATAGCCATTGCAAATAGCATGGCCCCCAAGTGCATCGAATTAGGAAACTCAGTATTTTTATTGTTTTGTTGCTTTGTGGTGCAATTAACTTTGGATTACATAGCACCACCAGTGATGTTCCATCAAGCAAATAAATTTGCTAATGTAGATCTGCAGGAATGTTAGTACCACATGGAAAAGACAAGAAAACATGAAAACAACACCGTTGAAACATCAGGTGATCTCCTCAAATTCATTGGCCGGGATTTGCTCATGATGATTTCCCAAACATAGTAGCTGGCATCATTGAGCCACACTGGATGAAAAGAGTGCCGTCCACTTGTGGCCTCTGATGGATTTTGGTGGATTTGGACCAGGTTGGATGGATGTGATATGTTGGGAAATTTATCCAAACAAGTCTTCACTTGTCCATTCAAGGAGTTAATATGTGGTATTACTGATGAGTTGGTTCTACTGCCATCATCTTTCAGTATATATCAACATATATAGCAATTCAAGTGATTTTGGTGCCCAAAATTGTTACTTTTGTGGATTACGGATATTCACGTCCCTGCTCTTGAGGGACAAGAATTGTTATCCCATGCCATGAAAAGCAAACAATTAGGCATAAGGATAAGAAAAGGTGTTTATAAGGTTTACCAGGTACATCTATCTGCAACCGAAGTGTTCTGCAATTCGTCAAAGCCTTGACATGCCCCAATCAAAAGCAATACCAGGGGAGACGGAAGTCACAGCGCACTATACCAGAAAGTCCGGATCTTTCACAGGTGAGACATCCATGAGCCACAGTGACATCACGCCAGTGTGACCACGCGAAGAATTGTACACAGCCCTAGTGCGAAGCGGATGATTTCGCTGAAAGCGGGGAGCATTTTCTCCGCCCCACATGCATGGAAGCAACCCGGTCATGTAACCGTTCTCGTTTCCTGGCTGTGTGCCATTGCCATACATGACTCCGTGGGCATTGTCCTTTGAAGCGTAGACAAAGCAAAGGGTCTTGTTCGTGACGTTGTCGATCAATTCGAGTGAAAGGCCTGCAACATGGAGGTGGGGAGAAGCAAAAACAACGTCAACAAGGTCGTCGGCCTTGTGGTTGTCCTTTGGTGCTTTGGGATGATTCTGGTAATAGCCAACTGGCTGCACCGTTTCCACCACATGAAGGCACTTCTCAGGTGGAGTGCCGGCTGCACATTGCGGCACATCATACTCAATGTTCTCAAAACCTTGGGTTGTGCCAGTGACATCACAACAGGCACTTGGCTCCATGTGACGGGTCTCAGGAGTAGCATCCTCATAGTAGAAAGTGTACTTCATGAAGATTTCATCCTCGGGTTCTTTGGAACACTCCGGATCACTGCACTCCTTGTCTGTATCAATAAGGAACACTCCATGCTCACAGCATCTCCATCCACCAACGTAGGTAGATAGACTGCAGGAAGGGTTTCCAGTGGCTGCAAAGCTGGGGCTGCATTGGATTGGAGGCTCCGGAGGTTGTCCATCAATAGTTCCAGCAGCCACATCAATCTTGCGCTGAGGTGTGCAAGGGCACTCTAGCAAAGGAGAGTACGGCAGGGATTTGTTCTGTGGCTTGTTGCTCTTGGTGTTGATGACATGAAATGTTGGCATCCAAACCTGTGGTTTCTTGATGACCCTGCGGAACGGCTTGTCATACCGTTGCGGGTTGTGTCGATACTCTGCGCCGGCAGCGCTGCCAAAGGTGACCAAGTCCTCGTTGTCTCCAAAGGAGGTGAGGAAGTTATGCATCGGAGCTCGGGTCATGCCGTGACAGTTTCCGAGCATCCGAGCAAACATTTTGTCTTCAGCAGCATGCTGGAGCACCTTGTTCCTTGGTTGTGCTGTGACTCGTGAGTTTCAACAAGTGCAACTTAGGACTTAGAGCTAGGCTCTAGACCCTTCTTCACCGGCATAAATTTCAACATGCTAGATCATGAATCATGCGAGTTCTTGCAGCAAAGCCTCATAGTCTCAACGCGGCCCATGGACAAAATGTAATGATGCAAGTAATGATCATTCAACTTGACCAAGTCCTCTCCGCCCGCCCTCTGGGCGGATACGAACCATTTCCACATCAAAGCCCGTGATCGCCATCTCCTTGTCCCCAGCATACCTTGACACAATATGCCCTGGCAGTTTCAATGGTCCCTGCTGATTGTTGTAGACCTCACCATACCTCAGCTTGATAGGTGCCGAGTAGACCGTAAAGTTCCCTTGCCAATCTTGCCCAGCTGCACTTCCAACGGAAAGCAAAAGGAATGTCTTCCACATGGCTCTCCTGAAACCACGTAGCTAGCTCTACAAAAAGCTACAGTACTATTCCAGCCCCTCGAACCACAGAGAGAAGGATACATTGGAGACATCCAGAGATTGGGTCCATACATGGCATATCAATTTGTTCCTTTCAACATGAATATGTGACTGCAGCACGTCATGCTGAGGCAGGCTTAGACGACTTGCAATAAGTAATGAACTCTGCCAGGTTTACACACGCAGTACTGAGCCCCTAGCTTCGTGCAAACACCGCTTTTCATGTTGAACCTTGGAATAACCCAAGACAAAAGCATTTGCCAACAAATGGCAATCAGTATTATTATAAATACAGCAATTCTCAATATAGCCAATCAACATCAATCAAATCAATCAAAACACATGATTGAAATTGAAATGTGTTCCTCTGCATTGCTTCTTGTACCTCCTTCCTTCATGTCACGCATATCATGTCATGAATTATGTTAAGTGGAGAGTGGAGAGGGCGGATGCAGTGGGGGTCCACGGGTCTACCCGGCTACCCTCAGCAACATGCCACAGATTGTCTCAGCTTGTGGCTCTGAGTTGTGGAAGTTGCAGGTCAGGGTTGGCCCATCCGGCCTTCAGGTGCGGCTTTGCCGGGTTCATGCGGGTTCCCGATATGAGGCTTGGTTGAGCCTCACTTCTGGTACACATGGTGTCGCAAATTGCCAAGCTGAGGCATTCTGAGGATGTGGGCCCATTCTCAATCTTCCCTTGCTTCATTGGCAACCCCAAGTGTGGGCACTTTGCATCAACCTGGCAGTGTGAAAAGCATGCTCACAGCATGCTCACAGCTCTGAGCTGGCGTGACGTTGTCAGCATGTTGAAGAGTTGCAATAGGAAGCATACTCATGCATACACAAAGATACAAAGATGGTACAAAGACTTCAACTCTTTAAGTCTGCAATGATTTGTCGGTTTGCCAACAGAAAGCTCCCACCGCATAGTACTTGCCATCGATCTTGGCAACTACCTGTCTCAAGGTGTCTTGGAAAAACAGCATGAAAATTCCACAAGTGTTGTACGGCCTGTCCGCTGGGTCTTCCAAACTCCCCAAACAGTCTTCCTAAACCAGGTTCAGCCAACTGTTGCCAAGTTATATGGATCCTCTCAGAAATATTTTTACATACATATTCTGAGATATTCTGATCATATTCTGCTGGAATAGGAGTTTTGCGGTCAAAACCAGAACAAATACTGTCTACGTTCGTATCACTGCATGTCATACAGAGAGAGAGAGAGAGCAGGTCAAACGACAGTATTTCGCCAGGCTGCAATTGGCCCATCATCACCGTCAACGACGACGCGGTCGCCTAGCAGCAAAAAGAAATATATATCCCATATTACTTTCCCATGTTTGAATCTAGGACAATATCATATAATATCATACATTATCGGTATGAATCAATTGGCTACGCAAGCGACAGGAAATCCTCAAAAGCTGCCTTCAGCTGGGGGTTCCTTCACCTGGGCGCAAACCGCCCATCTGGATGTCTTTGGCTGACGTCGGTAGCTACCAATGCCAACAAAGCTGGACCTGAGATGAGACGCTCCCAAATACACCTCTGAGAGCATGCACAAAGCGTGTCTTGATTTTCTTGACATAATCAAGAACGGCAATTCTCAACAGTCTGAGACATTCACTGCTTCCATGCTGCGACCATGCAAAGCAAAAGAAGGAGTGGAAAGAGCTTCTGCGAGCGCTGCTTTGAGGCCGCCATTGAAGCAATTTCGGTGGCAGTGCCCAAATCTAAACTAAACACACAGTACTGTACTTGGCACGAGCCAAAACACGTTGCAACAGGACCGCTCGTCGAACGCGGCAAGGTACGTAATTACACTCAAACTACATCTGGAGTTCTGAAAATATCCTGTATGTAACATTATACGAGTACTAGCTGCTACTAGTAGCGGTGTGCATGTGATTGCATGTGAATGTGTTCAATCCAAACGACCCAATCCAAAGCAGCCAAAAGCTTTTCTGCACCCTCAGCACTTTCTGACGAGCTTCCAGCAGCTGCATTCGCAGCAGAGATATACTCGTCCTGGTGCCGCTTCTCATCTTATTTCCGATAGCTATCTATGCTGCCTACTATGTGAACTACGCCTCTTTTCCATCTTTTTCATATTTTTTCATGCTTTTCGAATCTTTTCGAGTCATTCTCAATGAAGGCATGACCCTCGGCATGACCCTTCGTTCTGGTCCTGAGAGCAGGTCTTCCCTAGTGCGAATGCATCCCTTGGATGTTCAGAAGCCGGTGGAACTCACAAACACCGACGCAGTGGCAACATAAAAGGTGGGCTGATGGGGCAGTGGTGTGCCTTAGCCCTAGAGTCACTGTGGACCAGAAATTCTAAAAATTATCAAACAACATCAAACAACCATAAACAAACTTCCAGAAATCACTTTCGTGTCTCAAAGCAACTAAGCAGTGAGTGTGAGGACCGTCCCATCCACAATTAGCGCCGTGCAAGCAGTATATTATACCGACGTGGGCGTGCGGTATCTGTACCCAAGTCCAGTGTGACCAAGTGGTGACTTCCAAATGTCACTGTTGGGAATCGAGTACGTACTATATAATGAAGGATGCAGCGCAATTGGGCTCAGAAACAGCAAGTGAAATCTAGCATAATAAGCAGAGTTGCGAGGCTGCGATGAACTTGGCAGTATTCCGAGCAGCAACCACGTAAAGGTCGCGCTCTGCTTGCAAAAATGAATGAAAGCCATACTTCCTGGGGGGTAGAGACACGACCCTAAACTCTCCTGGACAGTTGATAATAATGAAAATCAATATTGGGCACTATTATATCTCCTGGGAAGCGTCAAATAAGAAACGCATGGATGATCATAAACGTATGATTTACTTCAGTACGGTTCGCTTGAGAGACCTTGAGCCCACAGTATCTAAAGTAGGCGAGAGGCTTAAAGAGCAAAGAGAACGCGGACTGGTCATCGTTGTGATGTCGAAAATGGGGATAATCCGCGAGGCCAAGCACCTTAAACATTGACAAACCATTCCAATTTCCACGAGGGACCATGGCTGCAAAAGAGCAGAAACCACATGGTCAGAAATTAAATTTCAAACGATGTCAAAAGTTGTGATAGTCACGAGAGGGCACTGAAGGCGTCTCTGTGATAATGCGTTCATCTTCACAAGCTCGAAGCCAATTCTCCATAAATCGGATGGCCAACGGAGTCTTACGGACCAAGATAATTCCTGCTAAACATGCTGCGTCATGCCTATCCATGCGCCTGCCTGAGACAATGGCAACCAAGGGCAAACTTCGCAGCGTGAACAGCCCACAGTCCTGTGGCTATTTGGTTGGTCTTGACGATGCTTTCCTGAACCAGGATACGGAGAGAAAGTACAACCTGATCTGAGGTCCTATGTGTTGACCGCAAATGGCAAGCTCTACTTGAAGTGACAGGAGCATGTCCGGCATGTCAGTGTGCAGCCCAGGAGCATAGTCTGCATCCAGCAAAACAAATGCATCCTTGGCAAGAAGGATGTGGATGCAATTCATAGCGTGTCGAAGTGGCTTCATCAAACGACTGAGCAATCGTCTCGCTTGGTGACATCTGCTTCCATCATTGGGGTCTGAGTTGCCTCAGCTGAATCAGCTTGCGGCAGTGTGCAAGCTCAGCCCAGCACACCTCTTTACGCAATCTCCCTTGTTCAGGCATCACCACCCGAGGTAGCTGCAGATACATCGCTTTGTGCCAGGTACTGTTCCACCAAAGATCGCAGCCTTGCAGGGATGCTGCATACATCAGGACGCGAACCATATGATGCAGCCCCAAAATGCCTGTTGATACCACATGAACCCACTGAAACTCTGCCAAGAAACGGGCTGATGAAATGCACCCCGGCATCAGTCCAGAGAACCTATAGGCAATCTCAACACCAGACTTGTCACTCGGCAAAATGAACTCGTCCCTGCTGGAGGCTCATTGTGCTTTGCCAAATATCCTTCAATTACAATCATGATTGCAAAATATTGTTTCATGAATATGCTACTATAATACATTATACTACTATTGCTATGATACAGAACACGAACAAGAGGCATACTGCGGCATACTGCATACTATATGCGTCCTCTGATGATTCCGTCTTCGAGATGTGATCCTTGTTGTATTTCATGCTATTTCACGCTATTTCGCCATAGCTGGAATAGCTTGATTGTCACAGCGCAATCCAGGTAGGGGTGAGAATACCAGCATGACGCAATCAATCTATCAGGAATGCACATGTGAGATTGATATAGATTGATAGTTGCACCGTTCGATAGAAGAAAGCACAATAAACCAGTAGATACGTCAGGGGACCGTAGATCACACTAAATAAGTCTGGTCAGGTACAGTAAATGGATGGACAGACGGATGGGGGGATGAATTCAACATAATTCAACAATTACATATAGCTGGCTAGGGTTTGGATGCTGCCAGTAGACTGTTAGATTCAGAATCAGATTTTGCTGACCTGTTGGAGTTTCAGGACTGATGTGCAAAGATTGCTTTTGAATGCTTTTGATGTATTGCACTGCACTAGCTCAGGAAAACTAGCTTTGATTGTTGTATAAATGTATATAATCAGTTTGATGGCATTGGACTTTGGGTTTATCCCCCAAACACTCATTGCCTAAGACTGCGCAAAAGGCCACACCTTGGTAGACTTCATTAAAACATGAGACCAATTACACAACAGGAAAAGTTCGAACATTGCAGCAAATTCCACTCACCCGACCCCAAAAGTTGCTGCAGACCGCACCAGCAGAACGGAAAGGACCAAAGGGAGAAGACGAAATTGGATCATGGTGCAGTACTGCAGTGCATGGCAGGGGATGCCAAGAAAGAGCGAAACCGGAATCGTTGTATGGAACTGTTCCTCCAAGCAGCAATGTCATTCCAGTTGATTGCGGGATCTTTCAGCGTCTCTAGTATCACATACGGCTTCCACACCTCAGCAGGGACAAGAGACAAGTCCCTGGCCCTATCATGTCACTATTTTAATGCCAGCTTTGCAGGGGCAAAGCATTTTACAAAGCATTTTGCAAAGCATTTTGCAAAGCATTTTACAAAGCATTTTGCAAAGCATGTTGCCAAGCATGTTGGGTCATTTTGACACGTGGCATAGTAGCCGACTTTGCCCGATGGCGCCTTGCCACTTGTCAGTTCCGTGCCTTAGGGACAGGTGTGATCAAAATGATTAAGATATATCAAAATGGTTAAGTTAAGAGATGCTCAAAGTCTTTGACAAAGAGAAACCATGGGAAAACTACAAGTCCAATTACCTCTGAGCATCTGTCAACGCTGCATTAGTAACATTAGTAAGTACATGTAAGTACCAGACATACCAGTAGTTGTCTCCAAATCTTCCGAGCAACACCAATATGAAACGCCCAAGCTGTACATCCACCAACTCTGCCAGGGAGCTTCGAACAAAATTCAGGAGATGATCGTTGCGAGACCTGAACTCCGGAGTCAAAAAGCTGCCTTCCAGTGCCCGAGACTCATTGGCCTCGGTTGGATCGCAACCAGGACTCACTTGATATCTTGATATCCTGATATCCTTGGCAAATCTTAGCACCAGAGACATGGCAACAAAACAACAAAGAAGACAACAAAGCAAGATTGATACATTGCAAAACAGTGCATAGAAAGTAAATAACCATGAAACAAAATGAAACATCAGGCTAGGTCTGACTAGATCTTGTGAGTCCACACAGAAAGGAAACCTTCCAAGCCCTGCAACAGTGATACCACCAGGGGACGCCAAACTCCAGAGCTGTGCTTGAAGACCTTGCCTGTTCGACTTCGCAACAACCGTCCGCGAAGTTCACATGGACTATGCGAACCTTGGCTTGGCTGCGCGCAGCACAAGATTCGCGGCCCAGCGCAGTGATATGTCAATCACTGCCTGCGAAATAAAATCAACAAATGCAACTTGCACACAGGAATAGATCTGATACTTTGAACATGACAATCTTCACACCCAGCTTGGTTTGGGCATGTTTTGGCATATATTAATATAATTACATAAATACGCTGTTTGAAAGCATCTGGAGGTGATAACAATGGTTTCGGTCTTGTTCGACGCATGATGCATCCGCGCAACATCTGCATGAATGCGAGGAGGGCTTGCGTGAGGGTCGCTTTGAAGAACTTCCATTGGTCGCTTTGGGGACATTTGCCTGGGTGTGTGCAAGCACGACTTGGATGAACCTGGTCCACTCCCAATTCAACGTCATGTCTTTTTGGGAGACCATGAGATGAGGTGATCGGTTCAACGCGTTTTAAATTTCCAAGGACCAACAAGGCAAAGCATGACTTGAAATGATGCATTCCATCACAGCGACTTACAATTTTCAGCCTGGAAACAGCGTGTGCGCACTTCATCAAGATATCAAGATGCACTTAAACTTCAGAACTTAAGAAGGTGCCCAACATTGACCAACAACCTTTAGGAAAGGAGATTAGGGGAAGTCTGGACCATAAGAAGCCATATATCATTATGTTTCATGTCTGTTTGCACTATTTCGGACTAGTGACTTTTGAAATTGAGGCAGAAGCTCTTCTGCCTTCCTGACACCATTGTAGAGCTCCTCCAGCCTCAGCCGTCAGGCTCAAGGGCAGGTAGTCTTGATCCATTTTTCATCATTTTTCACTGCAACTAGCACTTTCGAATTAAGCACAGCTGACGTGCTGAAGTGTGGAGAGATTTTTGTTGAACCAATCCGAAGCTAAGACCAGCAGCATTGGCATTTTGATCTCCTCAGCAAGAAAGGTGCTGAATTCCAACGCAACCACCTTGCCAACCTGGCCAAACCAACCATCCATTGTAGTGAACTCGTTCTCCTCAGGGGTGCCACATTGCGCAGTCACGACCTTTCCAAATTCTTTTAGAGGCATCCTGATTTCAACAGTGGTTTATAGCTTTGCGCGAAACAAAGAAGTCATACTTTTTCCACAGGAATTGTTCATTCTGCCGTGTTTTTTTTTTGGGGGGTATTCATTCGGGAGAGAGGTAAATTCTTAGGGGGAGTGAATCAATGCAGGTTCTCTCACAGATATGTTCCATACATCGAGAAGAGAATGCAGGCTTCAAAATCTGCAGCTGTGCACTTATTTATTCAATCCATGTAATCAAAGACTAACTTTTTCTTCAAGCCACGCAAGTAGAATATGAAACAAGCCGAGCCACGGAATCAAAAGTTCCAATCTGTAAGGGACCTCGTTCTTCTGAGCGGTCATGACGCAGGAAAGACACGGAAGGAACATAGCCCGGACGATCCGGTTCCAGCAAGTGACGCATACCTCATTTAGATCAGGGTGTCAAGAAAATGCCATGCTATTCACGGCCTGCGCAATCTGAATGTGATGTCGCTGGGCGAAGAAAAAACATGAAAAAAAAAAACATATACTCTGAACGTGCATCGCCACAACCAAGCCACCAGGATTGGATGAGATGAACGGAAATCTCAGCAGCCATGCCGCCATGATGGCGAGGGCGTATTTGCTTCGCTCATTCCTTGGCAAATTCTCCGTGAAGTGAGATTCAGAAAGGAGCGTACAATATCGTACAATAATCTTGCTGCGCTTAACCAAGACTGACCCAAACAAATGGCGCATGGTATACTGATATTGATTGCTGATATGGATTTGGTGTTCATATATCCATATCGATATTGTTAATATAATATATATATATGCAACAAATGTTGAACCAATTGTCTTGATGTTGGTGTTGGCTTCATCTGGGATCTGCCTGTATGAGTCAAATGTTATAGAAATCAAGTGCGAGATCCATAAAGATATCACAAACCAAGCTTCGCTGATCTCACTAGCATGATGCTGGGACGGCTCTGGTTGGAATAAAATTCCACTGGGATGTAGACCTTAAAAAAACTGCAGTGTGCAGCAGTTGCATCATGCAGTATCAGTTTGTGGCAAAGACTTCGGCGCGGCTGAGTGGCAGTTAAAAACATGAGCATGAAAAATGCTTGGAAATCTGGGTTGGTCGTCTTACCAGTCTTACTTGCAGAAAAAAAAAACATCTGCACCAGAATCTCCATGCTTCGGCAATCTGTCAAGAGGGTTCTGGACCCAATATGTGTCCTGAGATTATCAATTGCTTTCAAATCAAGCGCGACTCGTCACATTTGAAACTCGGAGATACTCGGAGTAGGCTTCAAAGGAAACAAAAAAAAATAAAGCGTGCGATAATTGCAGCTTCAATGAAATGTGCAGCTCAAAGGAGTGACAAGATCAAGCGCACCCAAATGCCTTTGGGACAATCAAGTCTCCATATCCACAAAGAGAACATCAACCCTCAATCGCGCAGCAAATGCCAGGACTGTGTACTTGGCCACTTCTGGGAAGACCGACCTTGGATTCAGTCTTCAAATGTTTTCAATAGTGGCGGGTTGTCAGTGCATGACTTTTCTGCACAAGTCCCGTATTCTTGGCTCGAACTGAGCATTCTCAGATTTTTTTCCTAGATGCAGCCAGGCCTCAAAACAGGTAAACACGCATCCACCAAAGCCAGGCACTTCTCACGGATGTAGTTATTCTGCGGCAGGAACAAAGTTTTCCCCAGGAAGTCCAGCCCTTGGATGTGTGGGATGAATCAATCAGGATATATCATGATATATCAGTGTGAATCTGTGTGAACGTGACAGCTTCCAAACATTTCCAGACTCAGCTGGGCAGCTTTTGGAATGGTTGACATAACCAGGAAGAAGTCTCACACGAGAAGAAGAAACGAACACCATGAGGACCGGCCCAGGTGCGGCCATCATCAACGAATCTGCCAGGTCAGCAGCCTCAATGTCCAGAATTTTGCCAACATCCACAGGAAACTTTTGAACTTGCCGAACTTTCACGGCTTTCACATTCGCTTTCACTGTGCAGTCTTTGTTGCAAAAAAAACACGTGCAGTCCCAACATACGCGTCCTGATCAGCTTCATGCCCATCCGCTTTGCTTGGCAATCTAAAACTTCCTACGTTCCACCTGTGACAGGTTTCTTTACAAGATCAATTCAAAGCAAATAGCACTCTGGTCAGGTCAGCAGTGATAGTCGTTCAGATTTAGTCTTTGACGAGTCTCTGCTGGTGATGTAATTTCAAGTAGCGCTGGGGAGTCAATGGATGGCTTCAATTCCTGCATAGGGCCATGATCACCGGCTGGATAATGCCATTTGGTCCCGATGGACACGCTGGTCTCAACATTGAGCCAAGATTCTTGTGGAGAAATGGGCAAATCATCCCATCTCTTCTTCATACATTGCAGCCTCCAGTCAAAAACAAAGAAACATATCCTGCCACTAGCCTCAAATCATGCATGACTCCTGCAGGAATGTTCGACCCAAAAGCGAGTGCAGCAAAATAATTATAGTATCAAGTTGCCGATGAAGGATGGCATACCTGAGCTGCGACCATGTAGGGGAGCACTAGAATTCAAACCGAACTGCATGGACAATTGCTACCCGGTGCTACCCGAAACCAAGATGCCAACCTTTTCTTCTATAGGAAAACATGTTCCATTACTCCAGGTCTCTGGTTTCAAAGGATGAGACGGAGTGTTCTGACCGTGTGCAAATCAATCAGCCTTGATGATGATGATGAAGAAGAAGAAGACTATGAATATGAATATGAATATATAAATATGAATGATGATGATGACGATGATGACAGCGCAACGACGACAATGATGACTCTTGTTGTCATCATCGTGATATGGCAGACTTCTTTGCCCCCGAGGGCGGGAGAAGGCCAGCTTGGTCTGCAGCTCTACGATGTTAATACATGCGATTTCAATTACTCCCTTCACACTTGAACAACCATGTATATAAATGTGTAATATCATGTAATGACAAAACCTAAAAAAGTGCATCAAATATCTTGAAACAATGGATCTGATGACATGAAACATTCACATCATTCACAATGTTCAATATATTTCAAGGGGGATGCGTTCCTTGGTTGGATGCGTTTGGAGTTACAAAGCGAGGGATTGTTGCCTGGCGGCTTCACAGACTGCCAGGGTACAACGGCCATCTCGAGTCCAAGAGGTCCACAATCCTTCGCAAAGACAGGCTTTCGTCATCGGATGTCATCGGTGTACGGGTTTGTGTCAGGGATCCAAAGCGACACGGTTGCTACGTCCGGGTGCAGGTCCTGTTCTCACCGCCCACTAGACCGAGTGAGGATTCGACCATCTTGAAAACGTCTTGGTCTCCTGCCACTTGGACCAAACCAGGAAAGTTTCAGAGCATTGATGGTCCGCTCTTGTGCTGCCATGTTTTGAAGATCTTTGAAGAACGCGCAATGATTCACGACGTGTATAATAGAATAGAAGTCGCAGCCGCCTAAAATGAGGCCACAAGCGCGTAAAAGGAATGCTGCTGCCACACCGTGCTCGCAGCGCCTCAGCCAAACCCAACTGCATATGCCAACGTTACGAGGCCGTGAACATCCGTGAATGGCTGCGCCCATGTTTGCCAATTTTATTTCCAATTGCAACGGCACGCCAATACGCCAGTCAAACTCAGGCACTGAGTCCAGGCCGCGATTGGGCTCCCATCATACAGTGCAGCTGATGAATATTTCCAAATAACTCCACTCGCCTTGCTGGCATCACAAACATCTCAAACCATGATGAGTTTCTATGTCGAAATGTGTCGAAACATCCAGGCCGACTGACGAGGATATCAAATTGATATTCTATAAGGAACAAAACAAGGATTGCATCTGAAATGGTTCTTTCAAACTAAAGTTTTGAAGGCTTATTTGACAACATAAGCCCCCCTAAATTCCTGAGATTAAAAGAAACACACAAAACCTGCTGAATCTGAAAAGATACCTCTTCAGAGGCTGTATTGAATGCAGGACCCACCAGGGTCTCCATCCTCTCTTCGTCAAAGTCATCAACAGCCACCTTTGTGGCCGAGTGCCACTGACGAAGCTGATGTCAAATCTGCAGCTTCGATCGGCTTCGGCGTGGTTTCAATTTTGGCATATGTTGGCAATATGTTGGCCATCTCTAGGCAACTTCTGGCCGGGAAGACAGGCTTGTGGATTAAAATTTTGACTTCCAAGTTAGACTTCCAATTTTGGCATTGGCTTGCATTATTTTTATGAATCTTGGTGCATTGAACAAATCGCATCAAATCGCCGGAATGAAGCAGGGCGCATTGAACAATATTGAACATCTCATTGTCAGATTTGCAGCAAAGGAGCATCATCCACCAATCCGTGAAAGTCATCCTTGGAATTGGGGAGGGTTGTCGGGTTGTCATCCCACAATCTGGAATCTAGAATCAGGTGCCTGTTGTTTCTTTACATTTATTGATTCGGAAACAAATGCCACTTGTTCATACTTTTTCTGTGGGTGTGGCACTTGCTTGTCATGCCGATCTAGCTTTCTTCGGGCAAGGCTCCCAGCTGATAGATGGATGAAAAAGCTCCTCACAAGACCATTCGTTTGCAGTTCGCAGCCAGTCACCTTACAGCAGTGTGCCGGAAAGCGATGGAAAAGGAGAGTGACTTGAGGTCGTTCATGTTTCCAGTGACATCTAGTGTGTAATTATTGTAATTTACTGACTGAATCTAGCGGATTTTTTGCAGAATCTATATTATCTATATATCCGCACTGCATTATTATGATACATGTTCTATAAGCCGTCGTGGCTCTGAAGCTACTGGCGTGGGTTCCGACCCACCAGCGGTGAACACCGGCACGTGGTTGGGGCTGCTATAGGGGTTGTAGGGCTGCCTTACCAAGATTCACCTTTGCTTGATTGCCCTTTTCAGTTCTTTCCACTTCCCCTCAGCCTACAATGAGGTGCATTTGTTTTGTCATCTTTGTTCTTCATGTTTTCCTTTTATGTTGTCACACAACTGCATTGTCGCATCCTGTGAGCGCCGTTGCGAGCGGTATTTCGCACATGGAGTCTGGGTCCAAGCGCTCCGCTTGGGAGTCGAAGTCATCCAAGCCAGGCATCCAAATTCCTTTCCTCACCGAACTGGAGCTGGTGTCTGGTGATGACATTCAGTCCTTGCAAGTTTTCCCCATGGAGCGATTTCATGACAGTTCACAAGGCATCAGCTTGGCAAATTTGGGCACCATAAAAGACAACTCGGCTACCCGAACCAGCCAGACATGTGCCTTGATCTGTAAGGGCTACAACAAAAGAAAGCTGGAGTCTTTTGGGTTGGAAGGATCCCGGCTCGAAGAATGTGTGATTACAATTCATGACCCAGTTCTTGGTCGCAATGAGAGCCGAGCAGTGACGCTAGTCAACATGGCTCTTGACGATGGCAACTACATCCGCAGAGCTCAGCAGGAGATGACCGTTGAAATTTCATGCTCACCAAAAATTGCCCTGTGGGCTGAAATTCGGCAGTCAGATTCGAATGCTCATGATTGGCAAGCCCTCAGCAAAGAATCAGAATTTGATGCGTTCATTGCGGAAGTTCTGAAATCCGAGTGTGAAGACGGAGACTTTGTGGCCCATAGATGCCAGAACAAAGGCAACTACTTGGTGAAAAGACTTCAGGTTCCGTTTTCTGATCGGGATCGTCTCTACAGCAAATCTGGAAAAAATTCGGTCACGTTCCGACAGGCGCGTGGACCTTTTGACCCTGATGAGCCTGACCTCGAGATCATCAAGATTGAGGATAGTCCTCCCGATACAAGGGCTGGTTTCGAAAAATATGTCCATCTCAAGGGATTTCTTGGTCTATTCTGCGCCCAAAGTGTGTTTTATCTTCGGATTCAAGATGTGCACCTGGGAGAGGCGCGACAGTTCATCTACGGCAACAGTGGCATTTTCAATGCCCACACTATGAGCATGAAGCTCACCAAGAGATTCAAGGTCCAGGGCTTCCCTTCTGGAGCTACTGTGGCCACAGTTGTGGAGACATGTGCCTCGCTTAGCTGGCATGTCGTTCCGCTCCGTATCATTCATGTGGCTGAACTTGCTATTGCTATTGTAGGAAGCAGCTCCTCGCCAACTTCCTGCCGAATTCCCACGAACCTGGGCTTTCTTCAAGTTGAAGAGATTGGGAAGAGAGCCCCTAGGAAGCCAAGAGCCAATAGCGAGTTCAGCTCAAGCTCAGGTTCCAGTGACCGTAAAGTGGAAGTCTCTACCCGGTCCTCCTTTTCCAAGCCGCCAGTGGCCAATCCATCTTCGGCCCAGTCTTCGCCGCCAGGATCATTTATGTCACCTTTCGCATCCAGTTTGGCTGGCAAAGTGCAAGCCCTGGAAGATCGCATGAACAGAGTGTGCAGTGATGTGAAGGTGTTGCAAAAAACCCAGGCGGAGACCCGCGAAGACATCAGCCAGATCAAACAAGTTCAGGAAGGAGGATTCTCATCTTTGATGTGTGCTATCAACGAGTTGAAAGACATGCAGGAAAGAATGATGACAGCAGCCAGTAGTGCAAGTACCCCGATCCACTCACCTCCGCCAAAGGTGGCAAAGTTCTGATATTTTTCATCGATGTCAATCTCCATGTTCTGTTCTTTTCCTACCGGTCCCTTCTCAAAGTTGTGCCCTTTGCAATTGTTTGGTGGGATTACTTCAATTTTGAACAGAACTGGCCACACGGCGAAAGTTTTGACTTCAGATCTCTAATGTCCATGAGTAGCTTCTCTGCCTTAATTCATTTAGTTGGCTTTTTTGCACGGGCCGGATTTGTGTTCGCACTGGTTTCTGGGATATGCGCCTTTTCTTTCTGTTTTTCTCTTTTTGTCGGGTGCCTCTTTGTTGCCTTTTGGATAAGGATACGCCTCCTTGGTCGCTACTTTCCCTTTCCCATGTTGAACAGAAGCTCTCGAAAATGTTTGGCTCACAGGGGCTTTTCAACTGCTGTTTTCGTGACAATTTCTTTTCGTGCTTCATGGCGAGGTCATTTGTGGAAAGTAAGCAGAGGCCTTTTCGTTATGGCGCTTTTGATATCCCAGTGCGTTGAGCCAACCATGTCTAATGACACAACCGGCAGACAGGTCAAAATCAAAATGGATGGTATCCCTTTGTTTCAGATTTTTTCGGAATCCTACCCTTCTCGCCCACTTTTCGATATCTACAGTCCTTGTCTCGGGTTTCCTGGGGAAGGGCCTACTGGCGCTTTTTCCTTTATTTCTGCAAATGTGAGTTCTTGTCCAAAGTACAAGGATCATATTGCTTCTTTCTCAACATATGATTCCAACGGAGTTGCGGCGATGTTCTTGCAAGAATCTCGTGTGCCGAAGTGTTCTGCTGTGTCCCTGCAGAAATCTTTCTTCAGGGCTGGATTTGATTTATCCTTGGGTCCTCAACCTGCTTTTTCTCGAGTCAAGGGCTCTGCCAAAATTTTGAGACAGGGACACGGCGGAGTTGCAGCTCTTGTCCGAAAAGACATACCATATCAGCAAATCTCGATACCCGACGACTTTTCCGTAATCCGAGACCATGTACAGGTGCTTTGGTGCTCAGCTGGAACAGCCCAGAAGGGCTTTATCTTTTGTAATGTGTATTTGCCGGCTGGATCTGTCAGAAAGACGAGGTCTGACATTTGCGAATCTGTTTTTTACTTCCTGTCAAGGTTCAACTCTTATCCTTGTTTTGTGGTTGGTGATTTCCAGGAAGAACCAGAACAGATTTCAGCAGTGGCACAAGCCATGGTTTCCTGTACTTGGTTTGATGCGTATGCGCAAATCCAATCAGTGCATGGTCGTGATCTAGAGGCTACCTTTTCCAGAAAAGGGTGGGAATCCTTGCTACCTGGTCCTTACCGAACAAGAATTGACCATATCCTGGCTAATAACCTAGGCTTGGAGCTAGTTTCTGACATTCAAATTTTGCGCGATTCCATTCTCCCCGGGCACTGCCCTTTGCGAGTTTCCTTGAATCTAGGAATCTTACATGAAGATATCGCGGTGGTTCCCCTAAGGAAAAAGTGGCAACTCCCAGCAAAGCCTAATAATCAGGCAGAATGGGCTGCCCGTGATAACTTGTGTATTCCTGTATTGCAGAAATTTCTACCTGACATTATCGCGGCGGCTGCAAGTCACAATGCCGAGAGGCTCTGGCAAATAGCGTGTCACCTGGCTTCATCCATGCTTGATACCATTTGCATGTCAGAAACGCAGACAAACTTTGGCCGAGGAGAGATCCCAACTTTTTCTTGTGTTCATGTGGTTCCTGATAAGCCTAGTCCCTGTAAAGATCAGAAGCTTGTTCGATGTTGTAAAGAATTGCTAACAAAAGTTCAGTTGGCCGAAAACAATCATGACTTGCTTCTGCGAGACCAGTTTAAGTTGCTTGAATCTTCAATTTGCAGGCAGTGTCAAACAGCAGGGCTCCCGATGCCAGAATTACCCGTCCATGATTATGACCATCTCCTTTCTGTAGCTGAAACTCTTGTGCAAACAGCGCAAGAGCATGCCGAACGTGCAGCCACTGCCCGCCAGCAAGCGGCTCTTGGGCGGTGGCAAAAGAAACTTCAGATTTCTTCAAAAACCGACAAAAAACAAGTGCATTCCTGGCTTCGAGGCGGATTGTCTCAAGTGCCGAAAGCTTTTAAAGATGAGCACGGTCAATATACATCCTCCACAAACAAAATGCTTGATATGCTGACCTCCTACATGGAAGAGGTGTATAATGTTCATCAGCGTGAAGACTTACCCTCTATGATCCAAAATTTCCAAGAGAAATATTCACAAACCATGGAAGACATGAGTGCCAGTTGTCATCTCCCCCAACTCACTTTCCAACAAGTTTGGGAATTTGCCCAAACCAGATCCCCTAGCAGGGCTGCTGGAATGGATGCGTGGGGCATGGATGAGCTTCTGCATTTACCCCCTAGTGGTTGGATTGGTTTTACTATGACAATGCTTTTGGCAGAAGAAACAGGCCAATGGCCATTGGTTCTCAAATTTATCTCACTTTCGGCTATCGGGAAAGGGACAGACATTAAATCCCCGAAAGACACGAGGTGTATTGGTGTTTCTTCCTGTGTTTATTCTGTTTGGAGTGGGTTGCGATTTCGCCATTTAATCCCCTGGATGTTGCGAGTTTTCCCATCTAACATTATAGGCGGGGTACCTGAAAGACACATGTTTGAGTCAGAAGCTCAACTATCTTTGGATATAAGAGATTTCCAAACTGAACCATTGTTGGTCCTTCTTGACAGAGTAAAATGCTTCGATCGAATAGTACCTGCAGTAGCGGTGTCTGCCCTAAATTCGTTGGGTTTACCCCCTCCAATTGGCGTGGCCATTCAAGGTTTTTACTCCAATCAGGTTAGGATTATGAAATTGGGGAAAGCTTTTGGGAAAAGATTGATCCATGGGTCTTCAGCGCTTCAAGGTTGTACCTTGTCTATCCTGATGGTTAATGGCATTTTTTCAGTTTTGATGGCGCACCTTAATAAGATATGTCCCCAAGTTCAAGCAACTACATTCATCGATGATATGAAAGTTTGGGCAAAACGTGAGAACATTGGCATGTTGCAGTCAGCTTTGGCGGAAACGGTCGAATTCGATCGCCTTACTGGACAACTTATCAGCGAGGAAAAAACAACTGTTGTAAGTAGACGCCAAAAACAAAGAAGGCGCTTTCTCATCCAAGTAGGTCGTACCTACAAGTCCAAATCAAATGCCAAAAGCCTCGGCAACGTCCACAGAGCAGACAAAAAGAGGGCAGCTGTGACACAAGATCAAAGGGCCAACAAAGCAGTAGCTACTTTGCAGAAAATTGCGCAACTACCTCTTTGCAACACCCAAAAAGCTCTACACATCAAAACCAATGCCCACCCCCAATGGTTGCATGGCACTGAATTCCAAATTCCGTCAAAGCGAGCCTTGGCACGCCTTAGGACACATGTGGTATAAATTTTTGCGAACAGGCTGAAGCGTATCAGGTCCCCGTGGTTGTTTCTTGCTACATATGAGGACGTCTTTATTGACCCTTTTGCTGCTTTGGCAAAGCAACTTTTAGTTAAAATCAGAGCGCTTGCGTGGACGCACCCTGAACTAGCCACAAAGGTACTAAAAGAAGCGGCCCTTGTCCAAAGAACAGTTGAGCAAACCAATAATGGTCTTGCTGCTGTGCTGGCATTTGTGTGCAACTCGTTGGGCTGGACATTGAACTCAGAAGAGCCGTTCTACATAACCACTACCCCGCAAGGCAATGGCTTCTGTATCAAGGGAGGGAGCAAATCTTTCCTTGTCGAAGAACTGGACCATGCCTGTCGAATTTTCTTATTAAATCAGGTGCCCGAGCGACATGATTTTTTCGATGATCTGGATTCCATTGACGTTTTCCTGACTCGATTTCTTCATGATTCGTCATTTGCAACTAAGGATGACATGGAATTACTCGAACCTTTCTTGCGGGATTTCCCAAAAGATATTCAAAGAGTTAGGGCAATCCTCCAAAAGTTATGGTCGGGACAGATTTTTACATCCGTGAGGTGCAAGGCGGCCGGGTTAACTGCGTCCGACAAATGTTTTGCATGTGGGGAACGTGAAGACCACTTACATTTGTTTAAGCAATGTCCATTCTATGCCCAAACCAGGCCGCCAGATGTTTTTCAACGTTCTACATGGTGTACTGGTATATTCCCCCGAAGCCAAATTTATCGTGAATGGGCCCGAGAACAAAAGGATTTACCGGCACTACCCCCTGAAATGTTTTGTGCTTGTACCTCTGATCCAGTTTTTATAGATGGATCGGCCTTTGCAAACAAATGGCAGCCACTTCGGACTGCTGCGTCGGCTTTCTGGTCAGCTTCTCATGAGTGGAATGCGGTTCTCCCGGGATGTGACCAAAGCTCTCAGAGAGCTGAGATTTATGCCCTTCTGTATTGCTTGGCCTTTTTTAGGGGTGATCTTACAGTATATACCGATTGCATGAATGTCTTGAATGGATTTAACCGCTTGGTGGGTTGTCATTTTTCACCGTCAGTGCTGGGTCAGTTAGACAATGCTGATTTATGGGAAAAGATGGGGCAGGTCCTTGCTCGACGGCAAGGGACGATTTCACTTCGAAAAGTCAAAGCCCACGTGTCTAACCATGCGCAGCAATGCCAGTACCTAACTGAAGGAAATTCCCGCGCAGATGCGTTAGCCAAGTCCTGCGCCAAAGAGAAACTCCGAGTTAAAATTTCTTGCTTTCGCGATCTCATTTCCCAGGCAGTTGGGCTACAAGTTCATTTGGTCACTACTCTGATGTCACGAACTGAACATTTCGCGCACGATGATCTGGAGCGTTTCAATTCCCCCCGTATACGGACTGCGATGTCGTGCTCTTGTGTACCCCTACGTCGCGTGCGGTCAAACATTTCAGCGTGCACAGGCGCGTGCCGCGTTTTTTCGGAGGTGATCAAACCTGGCTCAGTAGAAACTTCTTTCCTTGACATTTTAAGCAGTGGCAACCCGATCCCTGAAAATCTTAGGCAAACACTCGCAATTCATTACATCAAATTTCATAGGTTGCGCAGTCTTCCCAGGGTCTTGGGGCCAGTTGGAAGATTGCATGACTTTTCGTCTGTCACATCTGGTCGTAACAGGATCTCCCAACTTGCCGCAAGAACTCTGGCTGGCTACCTTTCTGCTCCTCACTGGTTTGTCCCAGTGAGGGGGGCCACGGCTGAAGAAAGAGTCTCATGGATAGAACTAAGTCTAGATTTTGTTGCGACCCATGGTTGGCAGCCCGGGTGGATTCACAGTGAACTAACCCTTGGTAAGTTAGCTAGACGTTTTCAAGTTTTCGTTGTGAGACTCTTGAAAGCAAATCGTATCCCAATTCGTGCAATATCATCGCTGCATTTGTCCGAATTTGGTTTCAATCGCGTGGCTAGCATCTATCTTCATAAGAAGTTCGTGTTCCCTGATAAAGTATTGGCCTTTCTGCTCCAGTGTTCCCGGTCTAATCCTGGCGAGTGGTTAGATCCTACTCAGAAGAAACATGTCGCTTTGTATTGGAAACCTTCCTTCGACGTTTTGTTGTGACTGCTCAAAGTTCACAATCTCCTGCATGTTGACCTGTCCTAATTCAACGTATCGATGATAACGTCTCCAGATGTTGGATGCATCATTCTGACACTCTGGCTGGATTGATCCCGTGCGGAACCTCATATGGCTGAAAAAATGATACATGTTCTATTTTGTTATCGATTTCTAAATGCGACATGATGCCAGGTAGTGGGGGCGAGGTGTTATAGCCATCTTTGCCAAGTTGCGATGAACCCTCGCTAAGAAACGAAGCAGTGGCCAGCGGCTGCCAATCGCAGGAAGAAGCGGAAGGACCTGCTGAATTTGCTAAGCCCGGACGAAGCGATTCACTTTTGGCATATTTTGACCGTTTTGACCTAAGCAGGCTGGAATCTTCAATCCTTCTATATAATCTTTCACCAACCTGTGAGTTGCACAAAGAGTCTCATGACCTGATAGTCCTAAAAGGTATACTTTTACAGCTTTTACAACACTCGCAGAGATCACGAGAAAACAGAAAATCAATCCAGCCCCTTCGCGCAAAAATGTGGTTCGTACAAGGTGAACATGCTTGAATCAACATCGTGGAACTGGTTGCATTGGAGTCGGGCTTGGGTATCGAAGATCTGAGTATTATCTTGCATTGTTGGTTCATATCGCACCCCACTGTGACCTAATCACACGATCTGTCAAGATCTATCAAGATCCTCCAAGTCCATCTGTCTAAGATTGTCCAAGAGCCTAGAAAAAACTAAAAAGTGAATGTCCAGATATGTCCAGCATGTTCTCAGATGTTCCAGCTTTCTGTAAGGCTGGTCTGCAGCCTCCGTGGTGCGCTCGCATCGTTGCACACCCGCCACATGCAGTGCCCAGCATGCAGACAAACTGCCCAAGGGACAAATGTTTGACCCATCCTTCAGAGCATGGCCAGCGCATGGCTTCTGAAAGCGGCATCAACATTGAGAAATATGTATATTATATAAAGTGCACACAGTAGTAAAGATTCAAGTGTCAACAAACCTGGAGTCTTGTGCACACTTATATATCTTTATGCATGCCATACTGTATCATCAGGCTAAAATAGGCTAAACACGGCTATCCTGGCCACATCTGGAAGCTAGACAATTCAAAGAAAGTGCATCTGCACGAATGCTGCAAAAGAATGCAAAAGAATGCCTCGACTCATTGTTTAGTTGTGGTTTGATCATGGGTTCGATAAGAATGAAGCAAAAGGATAGCAAAAGGTCCTCCTGCTCAGTTGCTAGCTTGGACAATGCAAGCGTCGCGGGTGAAAACATAGGCCCGCCTCCGCATTTGGCTCAAGGCTTGCTGCGCAGAGATACCACATGTCGATGCAGATCCATCATGATCCATCTGCTGCATTCAATTGAAGCATATTGAAGCTAGCTCGATCTGACTGAGCTGACTTTTAGAAAATTGTGTTCATGGCATCGTTTACTTCAACGATGACATCACGAAGACACTTTGCCCTCTGCTCGCTGCAATCTTTTCTCAGGATGCACACCTCTGCGGCCTCACTTGTGGACGCCTAAGAGCACATTTACCAAGCATTGAATCATCGAAATTCATTGAATATCATTGAACTGAATATACTGAAACCTGCCTCCAATGTCGCGACTAATCCGTCTTGTTCCTCGCTTCTCGATGTCACGGCTTGCGCTCATCTCATCGATGGTTGGGGCTAACATATGTAAGTTCAAAAGAGGCTCTCTGGGCACGTGTGAGACACATTGGCGGTGACATTGAACGTCTTGGAACTATGGGTCCAGCATTAACGCTTCGCGTTGGACTTCTATTGGGTGTATGGGCTCCGTTGGCAGGGCTCCGGGCCCTTGGAGAGGAGCGCTGTGGTGCTGTGGCACGCGAAAGGCACTTAGAGAAATCTCTCAATGTGACCATGCCACGGTTTGGGGAGTCCAAGGTGGCAAAGAGCTGTGCTACACGTTCCCGTGAGAGCTCTGACAAACCCCAGCGTTGGAAGCCATGATAGAGATCTCCTTCTCTGATAAAGCCATCGCAATTTGTGTCCAGGCCTCTGAACACATTGGCCAAAGATCCACCAAATCTGGGCAGAAGAAAATCTGTGATCTCTTCATCTGTCCACTCACTCGAGGTTCCCATTGCCTCTGAAGGTTCTGACCATTCTGACCAGCCACCCTCACCCATAGCTCGAACTGAAAAAACATAGGTTGTGAACCTGGCCAGTGACTTCACAAGAACCGGCGGTGCCTTACAACGCAAAAATCTTGCTGTTGGCCCAGGCATCTTCCCGTTCTCGGTGTCTGCGCGCTGGGCTGCCACCTCCCAAAGCATCGGTGGAGATTCGGGCAGTGCTTCGCCCCACGTGACTTCAATACTGGTGGAGCTTGCTGAAATGGCTGTGGGCCTTGCGGGTGTTTCAGGTGCCTTGGGCGCTGTGCGCAAGACTGGAGACCAGTCAGAAGGTCGTCCAACACCAGCACAGTTGCGAGCACAGACCCGGAACTTATATCGGCTTTCAGGCTGAAGGCCGTGCACACTGCCCTTAGTGCTGGTCACATCCAAGGCGTGGTAGTCCATGTCACAATCGCAAAGAATCCCCTGCAGTGTGTAGCCAAGGATGCTGCTTCCACCTGTGTCGAGTGGTGCTGACCAGGACAAATTGACTGATGTCCCAGTAGGATCCTCCATAAGCTTGGGAATTCCTGGCATTCCTGGCACCACTGGGCCGGAGGTTGCAAGAAGCTCAGTGCAGCGTGAGACACCGACCCTGCTATGAGCAGTAAGGCGCATGAAGTAGCGCTGGTTGCCTTGCAATCCATCCACAATGCCTTCGGTTTCATCGCCGCCGAACTCTTTGGTCATGCGCTCTGTGGGGCTATTCCAATCCACCACCTCAAGGAAGTACTTCTCCAAATGTGCCCCTCCATCATCTTCCGGAGGCTCCCATCTAAGCCGTAGCTGGGTTTGCTCCACCTCGACCACAGATAATGACTTTGGAGGTCCTGGTGGCATTGCCAGAGTACAAAACTTTCCTGGCTCAGAGCTCTGAGAAAGGCCTGATGAGGTCAAAGCAAAGACACGAAAAGTGTAGAAAGTATTTCCTTGCAAGCCGCGAACAGTTAATCTTGTGCTTGAATCTGTGGTTTGAAACTGCAGCAACTCGTCAGGTGACTTTGTCTTTGCATTTCTTGACGTGCTTTCTGCATGTCCCTTCACAAGATACCTTGCCACCTGAGCATCTGGTGCATCCCATTCCAAGACCATCCCCTCCTTCCACACTTCTACCTGTCTTGGCGCTGATGGTTGGGAGGCTCCAGCAGTTCCCATGCTACTGGTATAGACCTGATCGCTGCATTCTGACCAGGGCCCAGAGTCAGCCTTGCGGCAGCCTCTGACGCGGAATCGGTACATTTGTCGAGCTTGAAGGCCTTCCACTGTTGCTTCAGTCTTGGTCCCTGTGTAGCGGCACAAATGCTCAGTCTCTTCTGGCGGCTCCACACTGAAAACCCAAGCCTGCTCACCGCTGGTCAAAGGCTCTACAAAAATCTCGTAGGAATCAATTTCCACTTCGGAAGTGCCCCATTGCAAGGTCACAAAGTTCAAGCCAACATCTGCTGCTTCTGGTTTCTCCAACTCAGATGGTGGCTTGAGGGCTGTGGTCAGTGGTTCTGACATGGTGCTCCACTCTGAGGTGCCAGCCTCATTGTGGCATCGCACCTGCAAGACATATGCAATACCAGGCTCGACGCCTTCCATGTGATACTCTGGCCACACATCCGGGCCACTGAAAACCAGAGGCTCCTCACCTCGCATGAAACGTTCCTGTTCCCAGATCCGGAGGTCATGTCCCAGCACTGGTGCACCACCCTCATCCAGTGGCTCACGCCAGGCCACAACCAAAAAACATCCTCCCACGGAGGTGCCAGTAGAAATCAGAAAAGGAGCCGAAGGTCTTCCTGGCCGCCGCGGGAAAACACGGAAGGGCAAGGGAGGACCCACGGTGCCAAGGGCATTGCGCCCATCTTCTGAAGCACAAAGCTGCAAAGCCCAACGCCCATCACGTCCTCCGGAGCTGCCTGTGTGACAAGCAATTGGAACCCAATTCTTACATTGCATATTCTTACGGTGATCATGTGTGATAACAAAATGTAACAAATATGAAGACAAAGAAGGAATCAGAAATTTGAAATGGATCAGGTGGGATCCTGGGAATGGAGGTGAAGGGTTGATGGAGATGAGATGGTCCGGACGTCAATTATCGTGCATTTGAGGAATGCCAGCAGCAACCATTTTTCTTTGAGACATGACAATTATATCATATGCCATATACAGATATATACAGACATGAATCATCATGAAGTACCAGACCACAACACCCAAATTCAAGAGGGCGGTGGCTTCTAGAGAGTCTTGAGCCAACCAGCATTCCACCAACAAAAACAGCAAAATAAGTGATGCAAGATGCAAGCACCGTGATGAGCAAGATTAACCAAGCGAGCAGCTAGCATGCAAATCAGGCAAAATAATCAACCAAAATCACCCAAATGCAACCAAGCAAAAGATTGTTGGCTCCTTACTTGGGCCATCGCCAACTTTCTCTCTCAATATTTGTATACTGAGTTGAAATACCAAACCATGGCTGTCCTTCAATAATTTGATTTCCGTTAAAGTGCCATCTATTTCAAAAGGATTAGCTCCACTGACATACTGGCCGTGTGCTGGCGACAAGTGTGATATTTTATCTCATCATCTATATAACTGAAATCTAAAACAGTAGGTACAGTATGAAATACGTATGAATACGCTGTGGCCCTACACCTGAAACACTGAGTTTGGGAATCAAGCCAATGCCAAGATCCAACACATGACAAGTTTGACAAGTCTGACTAGTCATGTTCCGTGATGTTCGGTGCCTGGAGCGCGAAGCATTGCAACGGCAGTGCCAGCAGTGGCAGCTTCAAGGCAGGCCTGGTACTCCATCTCCACATCCTCGCCATTGGCTAAGGCCCTCTCAGCTCCCAAGGCGATCACTGCCACAAAGGGCCTCGATCCACAAAGGGCCGTCACATCTCCTTTGATAAAATGACGGGCTGATACTGAAGTGACTGGCACATCACGTGCCAGGCGATGTCCAAAGAATCCATGAGGTGTGAGAGAAGCCCGAACCATCATGGCCTCAAAAGGCTGATACGCAGTCTTTGCAATGCACAGCCGTTCTGATAAGTTGGGAAACAAGGAATGGAGCCCATCAATGGCTGGCCGCGTCATACCCAAAGCAGCTGCCACTGCAGCTCGCTGTGACTGCCATGCCATTTGACGTGCTGCCTCTGCTTTCGCATCGGAGTCCGGCAAGAGTCGTCTCTGACTCGAGCCCCGGAGAGCATGAAGCCATTGGCGCTCAGTCAATGTAAAGACATCTTCAACTTTGGTCGATTGCATCTGACGGGCCTCTGCTCCAATGTCAGCCTTGCGTGGCTGATGGGCACCTGGGAGACCTGGTGGCCGGGCCTTGCCTCGGAACTGAGGGCTCACACTTCGAAGCTTGGGTGATCCGATGCGGCTCTGGGTCTGGTTTACTTGGGTTGCCTTGGGCAAAAGGTTGAAGGCCAGAGTTAGGTCACCAAAGGAGTGGATCAAGCGAACAGCAATGTCCTCCAAAGGCATGCAGTCGGACGGTCGCTCATAGCCATCATAACAGAAATTGAACTCAGGTTGCTGTGCCAAATCTATCTGTTGATCAACGATGCGTTTGGTCAAGAGGTCAAGGTCTACCATGCTCTTGGGTGGAGAAGTTCGCAGGGCCTCCAGCCACGACATGGCATCCTCCTGACAAACTTCTTGCAAAGCCAGGACTTCAATGAAATCTTCCTCCCTCACAACCTTTTGTTTTAATGTCCTGCCCTTTGAAGGGCCTAGCTGAGTCTCGTCACAATCTCCCGCAAATCGCATGCCTCCACTGCACAGGGTGACTGCCAAGTCAGACAGCTGTTCATATGCCAAAAGGACAGTGTTTGACCAGTGTCTGAAAGTGATTCTGGGCGCACAAGCAGCGCAAGCTTCCAGGAAACTGCCACGCGGGATCTGCTGGGAACGTGGTGAAAAGTTGGGAGCCAATGCAGCCATAAACTGCTTGAAGTCTTGGCCGGCACCTCCTCTGGCATGTTGCCAAAGCTGCCTTAGTTCTGGTTCCCCGAAGCGACGAATTTCCAGGAGATCACAAGCACTGAGTGCTCGGGCCAGACTCTGCCAACGTGTGACTAGCCAAACCCAAAGATCACGCAGCTCATGTGGAGGATCTTCACAGCGTGAAGTCCTTTGCACCTGTCGTTTGTACTCCAAAAGCTCCATTGACCGCCAGGGCGGTACTGCCACCATAGCATTGATGCATGGCAGCCGCTTCTAGGTGACTTGGAACTAAGTGGAGCCAAGGTAAGCGGCAGGAATACCAGAAAAACAATCAAAACATATCAAAAAAATATTGTGGAGCTTATGATCGGTTTGTTCACTTTGGACATGCCTGACGAGTGCATGAACAAAATTGGCAAGTGGAAAGCCAAGGCAACAGAGTGAAACAGTGTAGCCTCTCATGCCCAAGAAAGACGCAAATCAAAACAAGTCAAACCAAACTTGTAGTCTTACAGCTTCTGGTGTGTTGCCTCCAACCAAAAAGATCAAAAAAGATCAACAGAGTTCTTCCAGCAGGAGCTTCTGATTGCAGCATGGGTGTCTTGTTGTGGTGGATAGCGACATCTGCCAGCGCGCCGGTTCAAACTCAGACGTAGTGACCTGCAAGCAATTGTTCCCGCAAACGCGACCATGTCTCCGTCGAATGTGCCTTGGCCGATGGCGCATCTGAGGTCTGATACCCTCTGCACAGTTTCTCTCGTTTCAAAAATACTATCACCTTTAGGGAGGGAAAACAGCAATCGCACTTCATGAGGCATGTCTGCCTACATCTTGATATAGCAATAGCCAGCAGGGTAGATATGGATAGTCTGATCATGTCATCAGCCTGCTGGTCAAAAGATCTATATTATATTATATAAATGTTCATCACATGTCCATAGCCTTTGCATTCTTTGCACTCTGCTATGCCAGGACCCAAGACACAAGCAAATGGTCCCCTACACAAAAAATGCAAAACAAGATGCAATCGCTTGAGTGTTGCATCTGTGCTTGCACAAAGCATGTGGCAGTCTGCTAAGAGATGGACGATAGAGCCAGCCCACTGACAGTCATAGTCTGGGAATTGGGTGTAGGCAAAAGAACCTTGGCCAAAGGCTGCTGGAAGCTACAGCAAACAATAGGACGGAAGAAAAGCCTAGCTGGACTTTTCATTGAAGTTGAAGAGGATAAGACTGGTTTCCGTCAAGAATGCATCGAAATGCCAATATTGCCAATTGCATGTGGTTGATGCTAGTCTAAGCATAGTCAAGGAACTGTTCCACAAGGTTTCGGAGAGCATCAGATTGCGGAAACAATTTCCACGGTTCCCATATGTTCACCTGACCTGCTACTAATTACTTACATGTGCCTCAAACCATCCTTGAATGCGTACAACAAGAGAAACTTACTAAAAAAATGCTGCTTCATGATAGATAGAGTGAAATAGTAGATGATATAGTTTGTTCATCGAGGGATTCCGTCCAAAATGACTGAGTCATGATGTACACTGAAGCAGTCGTTGCTGCAAGGCTGGTGATGCACTGGGAAGGGGAGAAAGGTTAGGTGGTTAGCTCCTTCTCGATTGAACACTCAGACCGACAAAATCAAAACTTTGACGAGAACTTACTATATAAATGTTCATCATATTCTCTCTCTCTCTCTCTAGCTGACTTTAATTGCTCTTCAATGTCAGAATGACTGTCCTGCTGGATTCTGCTTTTTCCTCTCCCCGCCACGCAGTATGTTGATGCAAGAGAGTCAGTCAAATCTGAAAAGTTGTCGAAATTGCTGGACTGTCTGCATGCCAGCAGGATACAGAGAGCTTCCTAACTTTCGATTGTAGAAAAATATCCCGTTCATGGTCGGCTTTCCTCCCCATCGACTCTAGAATGTCTCAAATCCCTCTAGGTGAGGCAACATTCGGCAGTTTACGTCTGCGCTAGACATGGGCTGGGCATGGAGTCTGTCCAGAAAAGTCTTGACACTATGCGCCTGACATCGCCTGACTACCCAAAGGAAGCAGCGCTGTCGTCCAAACGACAGTGCTTGACCCTTCAACATGGAGCCCGTTTCGATCCTGTTGGAGATCTGTCTATCTGCACGAGTCATGGCGATTCAGTTAAACTTGTCAGATAATCATGATAATAGATTGTCAATAATGTTCAATAATTGATTATCAACTAAGCCTAGCTAAGCCAAGTCCAGGATCCAACAGAATCTGACAGGTCCTGTCCAAGCCTAGCTATGGCACTTTTAGCCCAGTGAGACCCCCTCGAGTTTGTGCTTTCCCCGTAAGGGGTCTAGGTGACACAACCTCTGGGTGACAACTGCTTTCATGTTCGTTCCCTGTCACGCTGTGAATTTGAATGTCATGGCTGCAAAGTCATTGTCCAAGGAGTGCAAGATTAAAAGGTTAGGACTGTTTGACTCTTCAACCTTCAATTTTGAATAATTTTTAAGGAACCAATTGGATGATTGGGAAGAGATGGAAAGGGCACTTTTCAGGAAACATCAGGGAACAATCAAAGCTCACTCAGCGATACACGGCTCGTCCCATCCCAATCCTTAGCTGCAGCGGGAATGGCAAATCACATCAAATCACGATATATCACTATCGTTCAATCTGGAAACACCGCGCTGTCAGGGAAGAACCAAAAGTCTTTGGGCATTCAGCATCCCACCTTCCAAGAGCCCATTCCTGGCCATGCGAATGTAGGGGGTTGCTGGCCGTAAACAAGGAGATATTTTGAAAGTGCACATTGCATTCTGCATGACTGTGGAAGCTATGGAGTCATCCTACTTAGAACTGAATGCCAGGAGCAGTCAGAAGTCCCACAAGGCAAAGCCAACGGGAGCTACATTTATCCAACCTACTATCCAATCAAGAAAGCAAGAACAACTTGCTCAGTATAAGTGAAATGCCCGTCCTTCCAAAAAGCGCAAATGATGTATAATATAATTTGAATGCCATACTACTTGTTGCAAGGAGAACACGAATAACATCAAGCCCGACATGCCTCGCGAAGAGATTGGCACGAGCCTCGCTGGTTCGAAGACCTCACCCAGAAAACAAATCCGGATGGGTACCTACCAGATTCCAGCAGTAGTAGATAAATAGAATATATTTGTACCGTATTGTCTCACATGAATTCAAATGATTATTTTAGCCACAGTGGCTGGCACTCAAAGGCCATCAATGGCCACCATTGGTCTTGGAAGCGCACGTCTTCGGACGCTGATGAGGGCACCAGTGATCGTGAGACCAATGATCATAAACTCAGGCTGGCAGAGCTGGGAGTGTAGCGCCATAGTGCGCTATTCATCATCCAATGACCCAACAAATTCCCTGCAGAAACAACATCCCTGGTCAGGGTTTCCATGAAACAAGTAAACGAGCTTGGAAATGCAGAACAATGCAGAACATGTGTTCTGTTGGTAGGGTAAATTCACCAGCTTGTTCTATCATGTTCTATTCTCTGCCTCCTACCCTCAAGGACTCAATGTGCTTAGTTTGAGTTTCAAGCTCCTGATGGAATTCCAATAAACATGACCTCAGCTATGGAAACACAGTGAGCAAAGGCTTCTTCGTCTCGGAGGTGTGGTGTTTGAAAGAGTCTGTCGAGGATTATCCAACTTGCAGATCCATATGCCCGAAGCACGGACCACTTGCACTAAAGCGACTTCGTTTGATTGTAATATTTCCTCCTGGACCAGCTACCTATTCCGAGAAGCTCAGCAGGATCCAAGTAATTAAGGAGGTAAACATAGCTTAACATGCTAAACTGATTAGGTGACCGGAGGTGACCGAGCTATGTGCCAGTCGGCGTGTAGTTGCACGAGGAACTTTGACCTCAAGTGAGGCATCATGAAGCATAATTAGTGGAAGCAGTGTCACGCAAGATCGTTCTCATCGTTCTCAATCCACTCTATACAATGAGTCAAGGCAAGGACCTGATTAATGTCAGCCTTCATCTGCACCTCCAACTCCTGCGGAGGCCGCATTTTGCGAAGCCGTGGCAGTGGACAAGGGATTACCAAACATGACGAGGGTAAGAAACATCAAGAAACTGCGCATGTCCTTGTCCTCACAGGACGCTGGCCTCAGTTGTCGAGGGGTCAACCAAAATGAATCAAAATGATCAAACAGATTGACAGATTGCAGAATACATCAGAATACCATGGAACATCATGGAAAATCATGGAACATCATGGAACATCGTGGGACTTATGGGATACCTGTTGGATCCTGTTGACGTGGCGTGGGGGCCGGCCCTCGTTTCCGCTGAAGCCAAGACCCCGAGATGGCATCCTGCAAAGGCATCAAGGAAGCCTAGCAGGGAACTGCGAAGCCCGAAAACACGACCTCCCCCCCCCTCGAAAGGCTACGAAAGGCTGAGGGTTCAACTCTTGAATCCTAACACCTTTAAGTGATTTTAATTAATATCAGTTTCAGGCTTCAGGCAAGTCTCTCCACAGTGGTGCAGTGCGAAGACCTACAAGTACGAGAAAACCGCTATCTTGCTGCATGGCGCAGAGCTTTCTGACGGATGCTTGCTCGTCAATATTTGGCAAAACTTGAACGAATGGATGCTCTGCTGTTTTATTTTTGACGCTGATGTTGCTGTTGCTGGTGTTCTAGTGGTTGCTTGATGTTGTTTGGTAATGAAACCGCTCGGGAGGGGGGCCACATGCTATCAATGTGTAGTGAATTTGGCTTGTGGCATCTTGTGGCCATTTGCCGCCTCAGGGGCCACAAGGCGGCACTCGCCATTCACTGGCGTGAACCTGCAGGAAACTCAGTGAGGTGGGACAGGAACACTCTGAACTGCCGAGCAAATTTGACCAATCTGTCTGACCAAATCTGAGCGAATTGGTCCATTCCTCTTCTGTGACTCTAAGTCTTTGGCACAAAATGCTTTGCGTTGCTGGACTTAAGCTGCTGCTGGCAGTCCATCGGATCCTTGCACCGGATTGTATGAGTTCGCAACATTGGCACGAAGGCACATCATGATCATTGTGGCAAATCCACTGCATTCGGTATGGCTGGCAGATGCTGGCAGCTCATGCCTTCGCTTGGAAGGGCAAGGGTTCGCCAATTGCTGGTCCGAACCCCGTGTTCATCCTCAACTGCAGACGCGACATGGAATAGAGCGGCTTCCTTCACCCACTTGATTAGCAAAGAACATGATTGCTTGCCAGGCGTCACACACCCACGTGACTTGGACAGCAGGACAGCTGATCACGCCAAGGAACGAGAAACATCCACTGTTAACAGCTTCCACCAACTTTGCAGTCTCCTGTCAAGCAAAGAGGTGAAACCGACATACATCAAACTGATCATGTTGTGCAGCAAGTCGCTAACAACATCACCATCTCTGCCATGTCTCTAGCTCAAACGGGCTTCAGGGGAAAATATCCCAGATACTTTTCTGCTTGGGTCATGGAGACCATTCCTCTTGTTCAAGGCTTGTGCAAAGTGCCTTCAGCACTAGACAAACTCGTTGAACTCAGGAGATCTGTAGACACCGGGAACATCAGGAATCATTGAAACCTTTGAAATAGAGGGAAAAGCACTCGCATCAATTCTAGCTTTGCAGCCGTTTAGCATGCCGCAATGGCATCCTGACAATCGCTGCACCTTTGTTGGATCCTTCAGCATGCTCCACCAATGAGTCATAATCATAACAAAGTTTCTGTCAATGACTCAATGATCTCAATGTCAAAATGTACAAGCGGTACGAAAAGAGGTTTGGGGAAACAGAAACGCAGAGATAGGCAGAGCAAAGTCTGGAAGCCAGTCTGTTGGCAAGCAAAGCTCGCACCCAGAAACCTTGATCACCTTGATGTATCTACAGGCAATATCTCCCCAAATACCGAACATGTGCACTGTAAAATATGATTGATCCTGTCATAGTAGACTGTTCATGACTGTTCCTGGTTCCTGTGGCTTTCTGGATGCAAGAGCTTGCAATTTGAGCTAAATTCCATGCACCCAGCGTTTCTGCAGGCCACTATGTGGCATGCAACTTGGCAGAAAAACTGGTTCCGAAGTGCCAATAGAAAACTGTCAGCCTCTTCTGCCACTGAAGTCATCATCTCTCTGGACCATTTGAGGTGCATTACTGCATGCATATTTGATTTTCAGAATCATGGACATTGTGGAAGGACAAAGGCTATACGGAGCGGGCACAAATCACTAAACGTGGTCATGTGGTCTAGAGCGAAGGGATGAAATATGCGTCAGCAAAATAATACTGTACGTCCTCCTTATCGTGCAAACACTGAAACAAGCATCCTAGATCATCAAAGCAACCTGTCTCTGGTCGCGTTGTTCTTGCCTTCACCCTTCGAAAATTGACGCGCCACAGATTATGCAAGAGGACGACCTCTTAAATTCAATGTCTGAAAGAAAACACAATTGGGTTCCTGCAGCAAACGCTCTTTCGCAGAAAGCTGCCATTCAGCTGAAAAATAGAAGTTGCGTTGGCAACTCGTGTCGCTGAATGTCAATGCTAATTTGTGGGTTTGCCTCAGCAGGCTCCCAGCGACAAACTTCAAGCTGTCAAAACTTGAACGAAATTCGCTCAGGCTACGCCATCGACCTTTGATGGGTGTGCACAGCAGGCATAAATCAAGAGAATGATAAATTTCGAAGACGTATCTAGGTGTTGATCAAAATACATAGGTATCTGGGACAGCTTCAATCGCCAATCAACCGCGGATCAACCGCGATCCCAACGGTGTCAATCGCGGGAGGATTCTGTCGTATCCGACACTCTATATATATATATAATTATATATATTTATATAATACGCACAGAATTTGCACAGAGAATTGTCAAAGCATAGCGTATATATCACAATATAGAGACATGGCATGAGCCAGGGCCTACTCATACCTATACAATCGCGGATCAATCGCGGATAAACCGCGAACCAATCGCGGATTTCATCGACATTTTGTGAAAAATGAGTTGGTCGGTTTGTTAGACTTTGAACTTTGTCGTTCTGATTCTTCTTTGCTATCCGCTATCACTATATATATTCAACACAGTTTCCAAACAAAGCCAAATATAAGTCTGAAAACAGCATATCATAGCATATCAATGCATATCATGCAATATCATATTGATATCTCCTCTCGCAATAATTGATTCTCAAATTGTTCGTCTCAATCGCGAACAAATCGCCGATCAATCGCGATGCAGGGTTTTACGATCGCGGATGTTGAAATATGCATGCCCTTTCATAATTTTTAGACTTGTATGACTTGTATTTACGATCGGCTCCCATCTAATTATCCAAGACTCTGATGTTCTGCTTCAGTACGCGTCACGTATGCGACACATATAGCATGTTCTGATGATTTCCGATTGGACCGCTGTCACGTAAATCTGGAATCTCCATGAATCTCCTAACCCAGTGACATTGGCCTTCTCACAATGCAATGGCGCCCAGGCATACCGCAGGTCCAAGAAAGCATCCCCAATTTTTCCTGAGTCCGAAGGAACTGAAACGAACCAATACAGCGGTGAAACAAATGCGTAACTCGAGTTTCGTCTCGAACCATCTCGAACCTGCTGTGGCTTGCAGCCTTGTGTCCGTTCAGTGATGCAAGCTGCCGGTAGGTCTCAGTAATAGCCTCGCAGTGGTGGTCCATCTCACGCCTAAGCTCTTGACTTTTGGAGCTGATTGACAGGCAGCAATCACTCAGCACATCTTGGACGTCGTGGAAATCAGTAGAAGCTTCCGTAATGAATATTGCGACTGTTGTCGTGGTATAAATACGACCCGAATTTCTCAACGAAAACCTTTGAGATCTTTGAGCAGAGCTACAGCAGGGTTCGCACGTCTTGCTCCAGTGCCTTCGCAAACGTGCCATATCGTGAAATTACCGAAGAGAAAAAACGCATTAATTATTATATATATATAATTATACGAATATACTGAATATTACTAATTTTTCCTGGACAGCTAAGAGCTACCTTCAAGTCGTTTGGAACCAATGTCCATGGTAAGCCGGTAAGCCATGCAGAAGCCAACACACAACCCTCTGCCAAGGTCTGTAACCGACGTTTGCAACCAAAAATGTGCTAAATGAAACTTGAAAACAAATATAATATAACAAATGAAAACATGTCTTACAATATGCATCTACCTATATCCTGGCTGCATTCTTACGTGTCTTACGTGTGCAAAAGCTAAAAGATGCTAAAAGGCTAAAAGTGTATCAAAAGGTCATTGAATAGTTCCACCGTGCCTTGCGAGTCAGTGCAACTTCTCCCAGCTGGCTTCCAGCACTTCTCATAGCCTACCATATGACAAGCAAGCAAGCCTCTGCCGAAGAGGCGGCAGCGCTTCAGTCCAAGGTCACGCAGTTGCGCTGGACCGAGGTGCTCTGCACTGATGTTTCGGAAGAGTTACTTGCTTGCATTTTTGGTACAAGCTCAATATGGTTCAATATGTTGACCGTCAACTTCAGAATGGATCACTTGATTGTCTGCCTCCAGCGAGCCGTCTGCAGACACCACAGACCCACGCCTGGCATCAACAATCAAAATTGCACACATTCATAAGCAGGCCGCATTCGCGTCGTTATTCTTGACGTGGTCTCTATCGATCAAGATTGTCTGATACTTTTTAATGAAGAAATCGTTCGCTGCACCACACTGGACACTGAGGGATGCAATATTGAAATGTTGGCTCTCCCACTCTTTTCGAGGTGTCATGGCATCCTGCTAGGAGAGGCAACCAGAACAGCACAACAACATGAAGCATCACGGAGCAGCGATTAGAAGATGCAAACTGGGCCTTGGAGTCTGAGAAAGCACCATATCTCCTCCATGCTCAGGGCGCAAAGGAAAAAATCATTCAACCATTGCTTGGATACATTCTGAGACTGTAGTAGTGTACTTTTTACAAAAACATGAGTCCGTACCCGCAAGATACAAAATTGCGAATATGGACATTCCCAATCCGACCATACTATCCATACATATCCATACTAGTATCAACATGTATCAACAACCCAAAGCTGCTGCCTTCGCTCGAAGCTACCTGCACATGGGCGTTTTTGAAGGCGCTAATTCCGAACGATTTAAAGGATTGCTTCACCGAGGATGCCTTCAAGATCCCTCAATAAATAAGACAAAATCCTTGGCTTATGTGATCTTCCTCAGCCAACGTGCAAGTGTGTCAGCATCAAGCATCCAAAAACCTTCACCACACCTGTGGTGCCCAGGTGTCAAATCGCTCGTCGTCCATGGCAAAGTTCAAGTCTTGAGAATCGATGGAGCTCCTGAGCGTCTTCATGCGCATATCTGCCCCACCAACAAGGATGACATTGGACACGGGCTCTTGGAAAAACAGTGTGACATGATCATGATCATGATCATGATGATGATGATATTTTGATATATTTTGATGATGATGATGATGATGATGATGATGATGATTATGATGATGATGATGATGATGATCATGATCATGATGACGATGATATGTTGATGATGATGGTGATGATTAAGGTTAATTTTATTATGATGATGATGATGATGTGATGATGATGATGATGATGATGATGATGATGATGATGATGATGAAGGTGATGATGTGATGATGATGATGATGATGATGATGATGATGATGATGATGATGATGATGATGATGATGATGATGATGATGATGGTGATGATTATGATGATGATGATGATGATGATGATGATGATGATGACGTGATGATGATGATGATGGTGATGAAGGTGATGATGTGATGATGATGATGATGATGATGATGATGATGATGATGATCAGCCAACGATACACTGTTCAGCCCTCTGGCACCAGTAGTTCACAAATGTTCGCAATACATCTATAAGTCTATATAGATCTGTATAGGCAACCTGTTCCAATGTCCTCGCCTGCTGTTCTTTCACCCAGGCCTGTCCTTGTCTGTCGCCGTGAGGGGGGGCATTCTGTGGACATGGTGCGGGCCATGACTTTCTGGCAGTCGGACTCGTCACTTGGATCCTTGGAGAAGACAAAAGGCGACTCAACAATCAGAAACGACATGACCGCATACACATGTTTACACATCTTATCGCCATACATCGCAAAAACTGTATTTTCTCAAACCTCTTCTGCCATGAAATGATAATGAGGGTTGTACACTCAATCCAGGCCAGAAAATTGCAAAGCAATGCGAGTCTCAACATGCTGACATTGTGGTTTTCCAATTTCAATCTTAATCTTAATTCATCTTTATTATATATATTATAAAATACGTATATGAACACTTAAAATATTACAGAACATATATAATATATTATATCCTAATATAATATTATATGTATATATATATTACATGTATAAATCTTACTATGGTTTGCTCGTTTTACTCCTTCCATCTCCTTCCCCCTTTTCAAAGATTTTCTAAGGCACCTCCTCCGGAATGCTGAGGTGTCTCGGTGGCTTCGCTGCCTTGACACAGCTTCAATGGCTGGAACATGCTGGAACCGCGGAAGCTTTCTCCTGCTGAGGAAATGATTCTCTAATTTCTTCCTATTAAGAGAATATGTAAGGTGAATGATGGTGAATGGAATATATGGAATCTCCTGCAGAGACTAGACTTTTACTTTCCACATGTCGCGGGAAAGGACTCTGGCTGACAAGGTGAGAAGTGACTGAGGAGTCATATTCACAAAGGAATCTGGGACGGATATGGAATAATAGTACTATGGAATGATATATATATAATATAGAAGCATGGGTTGATGGGACCCTGCGTATTGATAATACTCCATAGCTTCGTATGTCTCTTCAGCCATCACACCCGCATCATACGCGCCTGCAGCTCATCCATTGAAGGCATTGGAAGTTGCTTCTCCAGCCTGACGCTTTCAGAGGTGACCCGCGGTCATGTGTTAGGCTATGATGAGCTATGTGGATATATATATATAATATTATATAATCTTTAATTATATATATATGTATGTGGATGCACAATGAGTATGAACAATGATGGACAGTGTCATTTCAAACACGGACTTTGTTTTGAAATGTTTTGAAATAACCGCACATTTGCATGCATTTGCCGCTTCCGCCTGTGACTTCCCAAATTCAGGCAAAAAAAATCAAATGCGAGAACTTGACCAAAGCCTGGTTAGGTCAACGGAGCTTCGCACGGGACGGCCAGTGAGCTCAAGCATGCCTTCGCTTCCTCAACCACAGGGCGGGCTGCTTCAACACTCTAGCAAACAAAGCAACGTCAGCAAACTTGAAATCAAAAATCTGAAATGCACTGAAGCAGCAATTAACAGAAGACTTGCACTTTGGGCACTTGATTACCTGGGTAAGATAATTAAACTTCCAATTTATAGTCCACTGTACAGGTATCCCTGCTCTCAGACGGACATTCCAAGCCACGATCTTGCTCTTCACTATCAGACGACCCAGCGGCGAACTGCATAGAAGCAGCGTGCCTCAATTGCAGAAAAAATTGTCATGCCGCGAAATCAAGCATAGCAAGCGTAGGAATAAAACATCAGGATTCTTCGCGATTCCTCGTCTCCCTCTTTCGCTCTCTCTATCATGCTCTTGGCTCTCTCCTATTCTTGGTTTTGCCCGTGATCTCACTGCGTCTGAAAAGCCGGAAGGAAGATGTGTGCTTTTTAAGGACCTCTTCCTCCGAGTGTTCCACAGCATTTCGAGCGAGCATGTAGTCCTCAGTTTGGCGCGTGATAACACACTGCTCAGCAAGATGTTTGTTTCTTGATGCCACTTCTTTTCTTTGTATTTCTTGCATTTGTGGGCTGATAGTATCTATATATATATATATAATTATTAGTCAATGTTTTGCAATTTTGCATCACCAAGAGGCTTTGGCACCTTGTAGCCGGACAAAAGCTTGCTTGCTACCTCCTTTGTCAGGGTGGTGCGAAAGAGCAACGCGCCTATACTGCCTTGGGCACAACACAGGTCTGCCATGGTCTGCCAAGGACACAGACTGAAAACTTTCTCATGCACCTGTCCCTGCATCAAGGGCCACAAAAAAAAAGAACCAACTGGAAACTGAATCGGATTGCATAAGATTGTATCACGTCGCCGACGTGTCAAATATCAAATAGATTCAAATTGTCGATGGGTAGATCTGTCCAGTGACGTTCGAATTGTGGTGAGGTCATCTTCTGGGGAAGCGCCGAGCACTGCACAGCCTTGGCAGCTTTCGGTGGGTAACGGCATGCAAACCCACTGCGATCCAACTTGACAGTTCAACTAACAAACACCTCGATTTGAAATATGAAAATTTGTCGATTCATGATTCAAGTAATCTAACATCCCTTTTTTTGGCGGTGCTGTCTTAGGCTTTAAATTGAAACAAAACCAGTATGGGCGCGCGGCATCCAAGGCAAGATATTATGTTCCATTCATCTGTTGTCTATAGTAGCAAGGCTCCAGCAGCGGTCAAATCTATGCCATGCCCAAGTTACTCTGTCTTTGGCCAAAGTACTGTCCAATGTTTTTCTTCCAGCCCTTTTTCTGCTTGTCTCTTTTTCAGCTGCTTTCCTTGGCTTTGCAGAGCGTCGCATTATCAAAGTCAAGAAAACCATCATAATTATCATCGTCATCATCATCATCACCACCCAGCTCAAAGAAAGCAGTTCATACCAAAATGAAAAGCCGATTTCATCCAAGTTTCGAGGAGCTTCTGTTTTCTGTGTGTTCAGTGCGATGCCTTGCTTCCCACACGTTTTCCTAAGTTGCCGAGGATGATTCAGGTGACAGGAACAGCACCCCTCCGGTTCATACACGTTCATACTAGCAGGCCACCGGCAACCTGATTCATCCTCATGACTCTTTATAAAGGTAACTTATAAACAATTAAACAGAATAGGCAGTCCGCGATAGCTGCACGGGAGGGAGGAGTCTTTACATTTTGAGCCACCTTGTAAAATCTTGTAAATTAAAAGGCACAAAAAAGGAATACTACATGTTTTTTTTGGCGGGCTTCACTTTACAGGTATCGCCTAATTCCTGTAGATCAGCACTGGATTTAGAAAGGAACATGAAACGAAATCTCTGGGAAGCGCTGGCTTCGTTTTCCGCAACATATCACAGGATGACTTCGCTTCTGACATCTCTGTCTGGATCTGTCTGGAAAGGAAAGCGAAACAATATCCTTTTTCGAGGCATGTGGACCAATGTCTGAAAACGTGTCGAAATCGGAAAAAAAGGCGCCGTTTTTGGCGTCGGTTTCTCCCAACATTGTCTTTACAGATCTGCTTTTTGTAGATGTCTAGTTGGTTGCTCCGTGCTGCATTACTCTTTTGTCAGGACACCCCTTGTTCAAAAGACACTGATGGCGTCTGCGAAGCCCTCCTGGTGGAGCCATCTCCCTGACAGCACAAAGGCAAGAAAAAAAATGCACTGGAATCCAAAGTCAGAATGGCACATTGATACAACATGAAATCTGCTGACCTCGTCATGCATCTTGTCAAGAGGCAAATGCACAACGCCATGTAGTAATACATGTTATATCATGTTATTCTGAGTGCGTTTGAAAGTTTCATGTGAACGCACCCTCGGGTCAAAGGGAACTGCTTGTGGCTGTGAGGCTCTTCTGCTTGATGTGCGTTCCTTGCAAGGTAAGGTCAGCAAACAAATTCCTGTTTCTCGGAAGAGGGAAAAAGAGAACCATGCACCCCATGTTTTCTTCAATTTTGCACCCGGCTATACCCTGACCGACTGTCTGCTTTCTTGCAGTGTCCAGAGCTCCAAGATCCCACGCTTTTAATGGGGGAGGGGGACCCTAAATGTAACTTACATTTTTGTAGGCGCGCATCCTGTCGAAAAACGCACAAGCTTACTCAGTTTTCCCGCACAAATCGAATGTAGAAAATGTAATCTTACGTTTTTAATCATGTTTATACATTTTTGAGGTACAGGATCAAAACAACACGAGTGCAGCAATAAAACCGAAGGGTCCAAAAATGTAACTTACATTTTCTGACTTCCCCCCGGCCCCCAGGAAAATGTAAGTTACTGTACATTTAAAGGTCCCCCCCTCACAAAAACAATGCTATTATAGGGTGGGGATGCTCCAAGAGATTTGTTTACGGATCCCGATGGCCCGATGACCCCGGAAAAAAGGATGAGTTTGTTTCGCTTTGATTCGTACGGCTCAAACATCGTAACAAATCGCAACAGAAACATTAATATAAATCCTGTACTTTTCAAAATATGTCTCACCCAAACCCTGATTCTTTTCGGGTGCACTATGTTGTACACTTATTTTGAAAGCTTCTGCTAATTTCATCTAATTTCTGCTAGCTTCCTGATGCTTCCTCTGCATGTTGCCCTCTCTTGAACTGTTTGCAATTCATTGTCAAGGCACCCCCGCTTCGTAGGGCACTGCTTGTAGCTGTGAGGACCTCCTGATTGATTCGCTTTCCTTATCAAATGAGTAGTGACAGCACACTCCAGCCCCTGTTGGAACACCAAATGCAAATCCCAAGGGATCTCATTGGAAGAATTGAGAAAGGCCCTGCTCCTTACCCTCTGACATTTGATTTTAGCCGCAACTCTTGGCTAGCTGCACATATTGTCCGATTTATTTATCAGTACGGTTATAGTTATAGCCATGTTTAGTGTCAAGGCACCCTCGGGTCAAAGGGAACTGCTTGTAGCTCTGAGGCTCTTCTGTTTGATCTGTGCTCCTTGCAAGGTGGCGTCAGGGAGCTCCCTTTTCAAAGAACACACGGAAAGAGAGAAACTGTATAAAACTGTTCTCTCAACCCTAATCTCTCATTTGCTCACGCCAAGGACTGAGCTGTAAATGTTTGCAAATCAATATAATCAATGATTATGAATCATCAAGCCACCTCAGCTGCATGAGGCACTGCTTGTAGCTGTGAGGCCCTTCTGCTTGATTCCGCTTCCTTGCAGGATGACTGGAGGCAACAAGCTGGAGCAACCTTGAACACTTACATAATTCTGAGAGGGAATCTCTTCCATTGAAAAAATTGATTACAAACTGAGGAATGTCTCAAACGGCCCTGCTTGTTGCCCTGTCCAAATAAAAATGAGTTTTGGTGGCAGCCACAACTGCTTCTTGGGTAATCGGCTGCATATCTTGTTCAAATCATCGATATCTTTAGTGTCAAGGCACCCTCGCTTCATACGGCACTGCTTGTAGCTGTGAGGCTCTTCTGCTTGATCTGCGCTCCTTGCAAGGTGGCATCAGCGAACTCCGGATTATGCGAACATTGGGAGTAGAGAAATTGGCCCATGCTTTCTTTTGAACCAACAGCCGTCTTTCTTACACTGTCCAAAGATTTTGTTGACGTATGACCCCAAAGGGAAGGAAAGTGCTTCAGAATTTGCTATTCGGACTGTTCGCTTGCTTTGAAACCATGTCAAGCCACTTCCGCTTCATAGGGCACTGCTTGTAGCTGTGAGGCTCTTCTGCTTGATTCGCGCGCCTTCCCAGCTTGTAACAAGAAAATACTGTCCAAAGAACAAATTGCCCGACACCTTGATTCTTTTTGGGTACACTTTGTGGTATACTTACTTTGCTAGCTTCTGCTAGCTTCCTATAGCTTTTGCATGCTTTTGCCTTCTCTTGAACTGTTTGCAATTCATTGTCAAGGCACCCCCGCTTCGTAGGGCACTGCTTGTAGCTGTGAGGACCTCCTGATTGATTCGCTTTCCTTATCAAATGAGTAGTGACAGCAAACTCCAGCCCCTGTTGGAACACCAAATGCAAATCCCGTGGGATCTCATTGGAAGAATTGAGAAAAGCCCTGCTCCTTACCCTCTGACACTTGAGTTTAGCTGCAGCTCTTGGCTAGCTGCACAATGCTGCACATATTGTCCGATTTATCAGTATGGTTTAGCCATGTTTAGTGTCAAGGCACCCTCGGGTCAAAGGGAACTGCTTGTAGCTCTGAGGCTCTTCTGTTTGATCTGTGCTCCTTGCAAGGTGGCGTCAGGGAGCTCCCTTTTCAAAGAACACACGGAAAGAGAGAAACTGTATGAAACCGTTCTCTCAACCCTAATCTCTCATTTGCTCACGCCAAGGACTGAGCTGTAAATGTTTGCAAATCAATATAATCAATGATTATGAATCATCAAGCCACCTCAGCTGCATGAGGCACTGCTTGTAGCTGTGAGGCCCTTCTGCTTGATTCCGCTTCCTTGCAGGATGACTGGAGGCAACAATCTGGAGCAACCTTGAACACTTACATAATTCTGAGAGGGAATTTCTTCCATTGAAAAAATGGATTATACAAACTGAGGAATGTCTCAAACGGCCCTGCTTGTTGCCCTGTCCAAATAAAAATGAGTTTTGGTGGCAGCCACAACTGCTTCTTGGGTAATCGGCTGCATATCTTGTTCAAATCATTTCAAATCATCGATATCTTTAGTGTCAAGGCACCCTCGCTTCATACGGCACTGCTTGTAGCTGTGAGGCTCTTCTGCTTGATCTGCGCTCCTTGCAAGGTGGCATCAGCGAACTCCGGATTATGCGAACATTGGGAGTAGAGAAATTGGCCCATGCTTTCTTTCGAACCAACAGCCGTCTTTCTTACACTGTCCAAAGATTTTGTTGACGTATGACCCCAAAGGGAAGGAAGGTGCTTCAGAATTTGCTATTCGGACTATTCGCTTGCTTTGAAACCATGTCAAGCCACTTCCGCTTCATAGGGCACTGCTTGTAGCTGTGAGGCTCTTCTGCTTGATTCGCGCGCCTTCCCAGCTTGTAACAAGAAAATACTGTCCAAAGAACAAATTGCCCGACACCTTGATTCTTTTTGGGTACACTTTGTGGTATACTTACTTTGCTAGCTTCTGCTAGCTTCCTATAGCTTTTGCATGCTTTTGCCTTCTCTTGAACTGTTTGCAATTCATTGTCAAGGCACCCCCGCTTCGTAGGGCACTGCTTGTAGCTGTGAGGACCTCCTGATTGATTCGCTTTCCTTATCAAATGAGTAGTGACAGCAAACTCCAGCCCCTGTTGGAACACCAAATGCAAATCCCGTGGGATCTCATTGGAAGAATTGAGAAAAGCCCTGCTCCTTACCCTCTGACACTTGAGTTTAGCTGCAGCTCTTGGCTAGCTGCACAATGCTGCACATATTGTCCGATTTATCAGTATGGTTTAGCCATGTTTAGTGTCAAGGCACCCTCGGGTCAAAGGGAACTGCTTGTAGCTCTGAGGCTCTTCTGTTTGATCTGTGCTCCTTGCAAGGTGGCGTCAGGGAGCTCCCTTTTCAAAGAACACACGGAAAGAGAGAAACTGTATGAAACCGTTCTCTCAACCCTAATCTCTCATTTGCTCACGCCAAGGACTGAGCTGTAAATGTTTGCAAATCAATATAATCAATGATTATGAATCATCAAGCCACCTCAGCTGCATGAGGCACTGCTTGTAGCTGTGAGGCCCTTCTGCTTGATTCCGCTTCCTTGCAGGATGACTGGAGGCAACAATCTGGAGCAACCTTGAACACTTACATAATTCTGAGAGGGAATCTCTTCCATTGAAAAAATGGATTATACAAACTGAAGAATGTCTCAAACGGCCCTGCTTGTTGCCCTGTCCAAATAAAAATGAGTTTTGGTGGCAGCCACAACTGCTTCTTGGGTAATCGGCTGCATATCTTGTTCAAATCATCGATATCTTTAGTGTCAAGGCACCCTTGCTTCATACGGCACTGCTTGTAGCTGTGAGCCTCTTCTGCTTGATCTGCGCTCCTTGCAAGGTGGCATCAGCGAACTCCGGATTATGCGAACATTGGGAGTAGAGAAATTGGCCCATGCTTTCTTTCGAACCAACAGCCGTCTTTCTTACACTGTCCAAAGATTTTGTTGACGTATGACCCCAAAGGGAAGGACGGTGCTCCAGAATTTGCTATTCGGACTATTCGCTTGCTTTGAAACCATGTCAAGCCACTTCCGCTTCATAGGGCACTGCTTGTAGCTGTGAGGCTCTTCTGCTTGATTCGCGCGCCTTCCCAACTTGTAACAAGAAAAAGGCACTGTCCAAAGAACAAATTGTCCAACACCTTGATTCTTTTTGGGCACACTTTGTGGTACACCTACTTTGCTAGCTTCTGCTAGCTTCCTATAGCTTTTGCATGCTTTTGCCATCTCTTGAACTGTTTGCAATTCATTGTCAAGGCACCCCCGCTTCGTAGGGCACTGCTTGTAGCTGTGAGGACCTCCTGATTGATTCGCTTTCCTTATCAAATGAGTAGTGACAGCAAACTCCAGCCCCTGTTGGAACACCAAATGCAAATCCCGTGGGATCTCATTGGAAGAATTGAGAAAAGCCCTGCTCCTTACCCTCTGACACTTGAGTTTAGCTGCAGCTCTTGGCTAGCTGCACAATGCTGCACATATTGTCCGATTTATCAGTATGGTTTAGCCATGTTTAGTGTCAAGGCACCCTCGGGTCAAAGGGAACTGCTTGTAGCTCTGAGGCTCTTCTGTTTGATCTGTGCTCCTTGCAAGGTGGCGTCAGGGAGCTCCCTTTTCAAAGAACACACGGAAAGAGAGAAACTGTATGAAACCGTTCTCTCAACCCTAATCTCTCATTTGCTCACGCCAAGGACTGAGCTGTAAATGTTTGCAAATCAATATAATCAATGATTATGAATCATCAAGCCACCTCAGCTGCATGAGGCACTGCTTGTAGCTGTGAGGCCCTTCTGCTTGATTCCGCTTCCTTGCAGGATGACTGGAGGCAACAATCTGGAGCAACCTTGAACACTTACATAATTCTGAGAGGGAATCTCTTCCATTGAAAAAATGGATTATACAAACTGAAGAATGTCTCAAACGGCCCTGCTTGTTGCCCTGTCCAAATAAAAATGAGTTTTGGTGGCAGCCACAACTGCTTCTTGGGTAATCGGCTGCATATCTTGTTCAAATCATCGATATCTTTAGTGTCAAGGCACCCTTGCTTCATACGGCACTGCTTGTAGCTGTGAGGCTCTTCTGCTTGATCTGCGCTCCTTGCAAGGTGGCATCAGCGAACTCCGGATTCTGTGAAGATCGGGAGTAGAGAAACTGGCCCATGCTTTCTTTCAAGTAGACACTTGCACCCTGACCAACAGTCGCCTTTCTTACACTGTCCAAAGCAATCGATTTTGTTGACGTATGACCCCACAGGGAAGGAAGGTGCTTCAGAATTTGCTATTCGGACTATTCGCTTGCTTTGAAACCATGTCAAGCCACTTCCGCTTCATAGGGCACTGCTTGTAGCTGTGAGGCTCTTCTGCTTGATTCGCGCGCCTTCCCAACTTGTAACAAGAAAAAGGCACTGTCCAAAGAAAAATTTGTCCCACACCTTGATTCTTTTTGGGCACACTTTGTCACTTTGTGGTACACTTACTTTGCTAGCTTCTGCTAGCTTCCTGGAGCTTTTGCATGCTTTTGCCATATCTTGAACTGTTTGCAATTCATTGTCAAGGCACCCCCGCTTCGTAGGGCACTGCTTGTAGCTGTGAGGCTCTTCTGCTTGATTCGCGCGCCTTCCCAGCTTGTAAGAACACTGTCCAAAGAAAAATTTGTCCCACACCTTGATTCTTTTTGGGCACACTTTGTCACTTTGTGGTACACTTACTTTGCTAGCTTCTGCTAACTTCCTGGAGCTTTTGCATGCTTTTGCCATATCTTGAACTGTTTGCAATTCATTGTCAAGGCACCCCCGCTTTGTCGGGCAGTGCCTGTAGCTGTGAAGACGTCCTGCTTGATGTGCTTTCCTTACAAAATGAGTAATGGCTCACAAGCCCCTGCTTGTGAGGAGATAAGACTTGGTATGGTTGTTGCACTTGGCCAATTCAGGGACTGCCTGCTGCGGTGGAAAAGAAATGTGTTTGAGCTGGGTCCCATTCGATTTCACTGGCATTTATGTAAATAAGATTAATTCCACCAGATTTGTTTTCTTTCATTCACTGTCCTGACCTGATTGCATATTTTGGTCTAAGTGCTGCAATATTTTTTGCCCTAGCGCTTCAAGGTAAATGTAATCCCTGCAAATCATGCAAGCATTCGTTGCTAAAGCGGTTCGAGGTAAATTTAGATCATGTTTATATAATCCCTGGACCTGCAAACATATTTCGTGTTTGAACAAATCGCTGAAATTTCAGAGTTACCTCAGCAAAGCTATGAGAACTGTTATAGATTGATTTTGGTATTTGATGCCTTCCTTGAATTCCAAGAAAAAACAAGGTCACATCCACGTAAATAATCTTAGCGTCTCCATCAAGTGCAACCTTTGCAGGCAAGCAGCTGCTTGGGCCACAGTCCTACCACTGAGTGATAGCGGCAAGGCGCTCTCTGTTTCAACCTGCTGCTACAGCTCAGAAACTCAACGACTCAACGGAATAACATTTTACATGTAATTGTACAGTGCTTTCACCCAGTTCCTATAAACGCTTCATTGGTAGCCAGTCTCTTCATAAATTTAGCGTGCCAAAACACAGCATATCCTGACCTCTGTGACTGCGCTCCCACGATTTTGCTCCCCCACTTCTGTGCCGCTGGAAGGGTTCAACTGAGATTGCCTTGAAAGCTGACTTGGACAACTCCACAGTCTAAACGAATCTGCTGCTTTGCTGCTCTGAAAAAAGTCACGCTCCAAACTTACACTGCAATCCCTACTTTCCTGTGTAAACTTCCTTCAAGCGTTCCTTTGAACTTCTTGCCTTGTGTCATGCATATTGACATACATTTTTCAACCTGTATTAACGTTGTATTTTTTTGCGGCTGTGCATGCGGTCGCATTGTGCGTCGCTCCTGCAGGTCTGTCCAAGACGAGAGAACCATGATGTGGTGCAGCATGGAGCTGTTTAGAAGTGTGCTCAAAACAAAATATTAAAATGTCTAACTTGCTGCCCTTTTACTGCATGGAATCACTAGGGCGCTGACCGTACAGAATGTCTTGATTTCGGAGCACCCATGTCCTGCCACACAAATCTGACCAACAGGTTGCTAGCTGCTAGCTGCGATATGCTGCAGTTGGCTGCAGCAAAGGCATAAGCTCGTGTGCCAAGGCTGCAGCACACGGTCCTCCATTTGGGCATCTGGATTTGTGATGACCATAGCTGCCCTAGGCTAAGCCACACCAAATGTTAAGCAATGACTTTGGCAATTTGGAAGGTGACAACAGGAGACAATTCGGTGTTTGGCGCATCTTGACACATGTATACACATGTATTATGCACACGTATTTGCATGTGTAGATTGCTGGTGCGAGGCTCAATTCCGAGGGATACCAACATTCATCGCCGGCTTGGCTTTGACGCTTCGAGGAGCTCACCGAGTTGGACTGCACATCCTGTACAGCTGTTCTCCTTTGGGAAAAGTGTTGAAAATGGCATGGACAATCATCCTGAATAACAACAGAGCATTTAGAATCATTTAGATAAATGAGAATAAATGAGTTTAGATGCACTTATTATCCTAGCAATCAAGTTGCTGCTGCCACTGGCCGCTGGCCGTGATTGGCACCTTGTTGCTGGGCAACCTTGGGCTAGCTTCTGTCTGTGAATCTTCTGGGCGAATAGCCATCCTTGAACACAAAGGTCATCAAAGGTCGTGATGGCATGCAAACAGAAACAATACCTGTTAACGTTTCCTATGATAAACGTTGATTGATAAACATTGATAAACACTCTTCGATCTGAGAGGCTATTTCAATCCAAGCTGGAGCTATCTAATTACGTAGAACTCTCTTTGTGCCGCGGTATACAGGACATTTGGGAGCAACTCCCAAACGTTCATGGAAGTCCTGAAGAAACAATCTGAAGCAACCTAGGGCCTATCTGCTCACATGTTTTACCAGTAACAGCAGAAACAACTACTTCGTAGCTACTTGTATAAACATGATGGCATAGGAAACCCATGGAAAGTATGGAATATGGAAATCCCATGAGGGTCCGTAGAGGTATGTGAAGGGGAGATCTCCAAATCATTCCAAATCCAATTCAGGGCACAGGCAGAAGGTGGCAGTATCATATAGATGTTGATATGATATAGAGTGCATGCACACAGCACACAAATTCACATAGAAAGAGAGAGCCAGATTGTTGTGATTGTGTGTGCGTGCTCAGCTTATTGTGCTCAGCTTTTTGGTGTCCGCGTTTTTTAAGATTCTTTTTCTCTCGCTCTCTATCTCGCTTTCTCCAATCAAGAATCTCAAGCGTAGCCTCATCATCTCTCGGAGCATCACTTATTCTAGCGCTGCCCACCGATTGCTCTGAAGGTTCAGGGGATTCTTCAGGCTCATCAGCTGCAGACAGGACATCCCTTAGTTGGATCATCTCGCTCGCATGACATGCTGAGAGAAAACTCCAGAAACCGAACCTTTCAGTTGCAGCACAGAATGGGCAAGCGAACCCAGGCCCTGAATGTTTGGCATGTCAATGTGGCATGATGCCATTGTTTCAAGCATTGCGTTCAAGTATGTGTGTGTGTGTGTTTGTGTTTGTGTATGTGTGTGTGTGTTGAATGCTGGCGGTGTTGCTCTTGCGGAGCTCGCGGAGGGCTCGGTGCTTCATCATGGTCATCATCTGGTGACATGCTCAGCATTGAGAAGCCTTGGCTTGAGATGAAAGAATGCCATTAAGATCACTAAGATTCACAATTGGCTTGTGGCTCAGGCCAATGGCAGAAGAATGTTAAATAGCCAGGATATCACGACGATCATGCATACCAGGCACACGGCTTTGATTGCCAGCCAACCCTCTGGCTCTTGCTAGGTGACCGCGCCACGATGTCCTTCAACGAGCAAAAGCTGGAAGTCAAATCAACACGAGCTATAAAGGTCTGCCTGAACCCATTTATCACCAGCGACTCATCCTGCAACTTCATCTGCTGAGAAGTAATCGGCTCCGACAAGTCTGCTGTCCTTACATTGGACAGAAGTTCGGTCAGTTACAAATCCAATCAAGCCTTGATGCATCTTGATGCTTTCTGTGAGAAGGACCCCCAATCTCAACCAATACAATATTTCAGGAAGAATCTTGAGTATGTAATTCTACGGTATGCTTCTCTATCTTTCTGGACTAGTCTCACTGATGCAAAGGATCAAGTGCCCCTGACAGAGATGCATTTTTCCGGGGCTTCCCATCATTTGCCCTATACAATTGACTAGGCAAAAAATGCTAACAGAGGCGGGCGGGGCAAGACCGGCACCCAAAATAACAAAACATGACAAGACTAAATTATGATTTTACCTTTTATTCGAGCATCGATTCCCGCTTCAAGCTCGAATCAGCCTTAGTTGCTTCCAAAGGCAAAATGAAGGCGTCTACAAGGCGATTTGCTGACTGGGAACTTGACCTTTCCATACCTTTCCTATAGCAGGAACTCCAGATAACATCAGATAACTCCAGGATTTAGCACAAGCCTCTGCCAGCCTCAGCTTGTTCCCAGGAGCTTTCTCGGACGTCGAATACGTAGAGGTTCTCATGGATGATGCTCGCAAAAGCTTGTGAATCTGCTGGATCTCCCGCCTCAGCCCATCGAAAGTCAGATTGTGGACATCGTTGCCGGCCAAAGATGATTATATAGTTATAATATGATGATTATGATGGAGAAAGGCAAACCGGTAAACCAAGAATTTCATACAAGCATCTCCTTCACCCGCAGTTGCTGGCCCTCCTGAAAAAGAGTGCAATCATGTGCAGTCTCAGTTTGCAAGCACAGACTGACTGTAATTGACAATTGACCTGTGACATACCACAACATCAACAGTACTGGAAGTCATCTGAGCAAACTCGGTGAAGGCAAGCAGTGTGTCCCGGTAGTTAGATTGATGGTCAGTCAGGTCAGTGTTCCTGTTGAGTGCGTTCTCGGTGCAAATCAGCTCGGTTCTGCTGTTCCTGCATTAGGGCTAAAATCTGGCCAAACATGTTCCAGGCAAGCTAGCATTGAAAGAAGAATGCTCAGGCAGAATCTCAGGCATGCATGCAAACCGATCTCAAATATCTCAGCATCTCAAAATTATCTTGTGATGTCTCCTGTCTTTGCTGCTGCCGCTGCCACTCCAGCTCCTCCAGCTCGGATAGTCTGCTCAGCTCTCTTTGCGACTGCCTCTGTTGTTTGCGTCCATTTTTCAGCATTCATGTTGCTATAATTTCTGTGATAGCAACGAACACAGCACAAAGCTTGAGGAAACTCACAACGGGAAAGACAATTAGACACGCAATTTGTATGTGTGGCACGTGTGACGGCGTTAGTTCCAGAACAAACCGCGCACACGCACACACATGCTACTGTACTCACTAAAAAAAAGGGGACATTGTCAACATAGGGTAACATAGGGTAACAATGACAATGGATAACAATGGTGTTGTCTATGTGTTGCCTTACAGTAAGTCCTCCGATCACAGATCAGCGATTGAATTCACTGCAAGTATCTGAAAGTCATCACACCTGGGCATCCCTCTTGTGGAATCGAACACTCAAATGGCCTCTGCTGCCTTTTCTTCTCGTCCAGACTACTCTGCCGCCGATAGTGCAATACATCCTGACCTCAAAAGCAAGATTGACGGCACAAGCGCGCGACTCTCGCATATGGAGGATCGGGGCCTACAGATCCTTTTGCTTCAAGCAGCTTGAGTTCCAAAACCCTCGATAACACACATGCTGCATTCCGCCTTGGTGATGTTGTTGGTATCACTGGGAAACGGGTGTGCAAATGTGTGCAGCATCCCCACATCATGACATCCCTCTCTCTCTCTCTCTCTACCAAATTTCAGCAAAGAAACGGCTGGATTCAGCATCGTCTGATTGTGATCTCGATGCTGGTGTGTCTGTTGAGGTCAGCATATAGTTGATGCGCTTGCTGGAGCCGCCCTGGCGGAGCCAGACACTTGCACACATTCCAAACTGCCTTGCTTCTGATTCACTTCTGTGTTTAGATATTTGAATCAAAGCTCAGCAAAACTTTGGTTGTGAGATGTTGTGAGCTGTGAGGCTATGCCAGATCCCAAGAACAGGAAAGTCGTGGGTCTTGAACCGTCCTGCCTTCAACGGCTCGGGGCCAAGACCCAAAGTGGTTGCTGCCAGAGTCCTCAAACGAGGCCATCTTATTACTGCGGCTTCCCTGTTTTAGATGATCTCCACCATATCTGTTTCGGACGCACCTTGTGGTATCCCTTATCAGCATTGGGATCCTCACAGTGGCCCTTTACAAGTCCAAAAAGTGACCAATCCATAGCTTAGTAGGCTTAGTACTGCCTTCAACCTGGTTTGGTCAAGGGTGTGTGACATTGCAGCTGGGCCACTGCGAAAGAGATGTTCTGGCTTGAGGCATATCTGGCCGTAGGTTGACGAACCTTGGTTCCAATATGTTCCCAATATGTTCCAATCAAGATCAAATCAAGTGGGACAAAATGAGCCTAGCGATGTTCAGGCAGAGCCAGCTGCTTAAGCTGAAAACGTGACACTGCCAGGTCTAGAGTCTAGACAGCTTTGCCATATCGTGCCATATCGTGCCATAGCATACTATGGCCCTAGCGTATCGATAAGCGCTATTAAGCGCTCAATGGACTACCAAGATCTACCAAGCAGCAATCGTCGCCGCACTTCGACCCGTGATGTGCTTGAGGGAGATGGGAGAGATGGGTATGTAGCTGCGCGAGTTCGTGGAGTGTCAAATGAATTGTCCAATGGGCCAAGGCCGCTGCAGACGGGTTCATGCATCTTCCATGGCGTCCGACGGTGTTGTCGCGGTTCCCGGAGCAGAAACTGTCCAGCAAAACATACAAGAAAACGTAAGAAAACATAATAAAAGATGCATAAAAACTCATAAAAGATCATAACAGATCATAAAAAGTTATAAAAAGTTACATGAAAGCTAAATGGCTTAGTGACCTGGAACTGTTGCCTTTGCATGCTGACCTGGATATTCTTGGCATATGGTATTGCCACAGACCTAGGAAGTGATGCTGCATGATACTGATTTTCTTCAGCAACAAGATCATAAATCATAAGTCATACCATCAATTTCCATGGGTTTCCTATCTTCAGCATATTCAGCTATTATGATACTTGTTCACCTGACAGTATGTCCTTGTTCACATTCTCCCACCGTACGCCACCTTGCCAAACATTATGCAGCATGCAAGGCATGATGCAAATTCACGGCACAGAACCGCCTAGCTGTGCGCTACACCCAGTCACATCAAAAGAGTGTCCAATTATTTTCTACTAGTATCGGCCCGGCAAAAATGATGCGCGGGGTATCGTTGCATGCAGAATGTGGCTGCTGTGTAGAATCTTTAGAATTGAAAGCGATGGCATTGGCAGCCGTGAAAGACTCTGGCCACCGACTCCCAAAAATGCCACGAGGACTTGAAGACTTGGGCGAGAACAATTCACAGGGCCAGCAAGATTGTTGACATCTGGCACCTGCAGTGCATGTTCAGGCCGTACCACGGCTACAGCTACAGTCAATGCAGCTATGCCAATGAACACCCAGCATTACCTGCAAAGAATCATGGCATGACTCTGCGTAAACTCTGCACAACAACACGAGTACCCAGTTGTGTCCACATGGTTTTCATTGATTCTCCATGATTACAAATCTGATTTGGCATGGGCACACGGGCATACAGGGGCCAAGTTTGCGAGAACCAAACAAGCGGCGCTGGCAAAATGGTTCAGACTTAGTTGGTTCCATGTCGAGCTCTGGCCTCCTGCTTCACGGCGCCGTATACAGCACAGTGACCTAGTTGAACTGCTGGCGGGGCTGACGCAGAAGAAGATCTGTGGGCCTGGTATTGCCTGATATTATACAATAAGGATTCACTCTGATTGGGTCTCCAATACCCTAGGTCCTAGTCGATGGGGAATCTGCCTGAGGTCTAGGCAGAGACCCAAGGAAGCGTAGAACAAGAAGTGCCCAGCGCCGTCAATCCCCCTGCACCAGCATGATAAAGATCACTTTTAAGAGGCCGCGTGGGTGTAGCTGCTGCCGCCAGAATCACGGACCAAGGTGCTGTTTCCAATCTCCATTTCGATATTCGGCTTTCATTGGGGACTTTGGGTAATCCTCTACCAAGCAACTGATGACTCATGACTCATCCATGCTGTAAACCCTTACAGATCCTTGCAGGACAGCAGATCTGTCACCTCGCCTGCAATGCATTCGGCACTCATTGGATGACTGAACGCTTTTCTTAAACCTTGGAGTTCACAGCCGTGACATCAAACGAAATGAGGTCAAGAAAAAAGCAATACATATCGCGAAATCCTTTTTGTCTGAATCTCACCATATCTCCCATTGCACGAAAGACAAGAGTCAGACTGACTGGATACTGAATGGCAGTCTCTAAAGGGTGTGTGGACATGCTTGGATCAGCACGAGCCAGCCATTGCCGGTGCATACAGGAGGCCAGGCCTGAACTTACGCGTTGGATAGTTCCAAGGCACCCGTACCAGCAATTGGGAAGACCCTAATCCACAAGATCAAACATTTCAGAATTGAATCAACTTGCCAGGACTGAAAGATTCAAAAAGTGCAGTGCACATGGCCCTGCAGCTTCGCCTTGCACAGTTATCATCCTGTGACTGGACAGTTTTCACAACTTTACCTCAGAGGAGGCACCAGCACCATGGAGCACAGAATAACAAATCAAGACCAAAGCTCAGTCTCTCTCTCCCTCTCTCCCTTGACTATTTCACAGCCTTGACATGGTATTCAAATATATTCAAATGTATTCAGGACAAGTCATTTCAGGTACCTGCTTAGCATCCACTCACAACATCCTTTGGGCATCTGACGATCTTCCTGCGTCCGCAGCAATTTTGCCCTCGGCTGTTGTGACTCGTCGCCCCATCGATTTTGATAGAGGTCAAGGCAAAGACCTTTCGCATGAACTTATTGCATGAGTTGAGGAGCTTAAAGGTTCCCTAAATATTGGCAAACGCCCACAGAGTTCCCACAGTGACCAAACATGACCGAACTAATTCATCTTCGGGGGGGGTGTTGCGTCCCGCAAACAAGCGACCATTGCTGCATGATCAGCAAGCTGGCCTAGCTGATGATAGCTACTGTAATGCTTCAGCTTTGGGGAGGACATCTGGGAAATTCTGGAAACTTCCAGTGCCCATCTGCGCCATTCTAATCCAATCAATATAATGAATCAATAAATCTCGCCAAGTTACAACCTCACAATCTGCTTTTTCTCTTTCTTTGAGGACTGGTCCTGTTCTATCAGCACTGACTGCCACAATCTACCACAAAGATGAAGATGATGAAGCTGTCAAGATCATGGCGGGCAGCCTCATCATCTTCCAAATCTACATCCTGATCATCCTCTTCATCACTTGTTTGTTGATTCTCTTTACCTCAGCATGGCCAAACCACATGCCTCTTGCCCAGAACTTCATTATGTGAGACAAAACTATACTAGGAGCTGCCTAAACACTAATCAGTCACTAGTCCTGAAGCTCGAGTTTTGGCTTGTCCATTTTACATCAAGCATCATCAGGTACATTCCACTCAGTATCTTACCTTTTCTGACGATACCTCACCTCTGAAGGATTTGTTTCATCTTGTTCCAAGCTCACGTTTCTAAGCTCTGCACGTCTCCTCGCTTTAGACTCCTTGACAGCTGGAATCAAGGGCTTGTCAGACAGAGGGAGGAACAACAGGCATCAAAGAATTCACAAACGGCTCTGACATATCACACTGATGGATAGGCGCCGGCCAGCATGACAGGAGCAACACTTGCAGTCCCAAAGGGCACATTTAGCGCAATTGATGCAATTGCACGGAATTGGTTCCCCATTGCGAAGTCAGCATCTGCTCTGCATCTCAATCATGACCTCTTGAGGCTTGGACTTCTGCTTCATCTTCGTCCTCAGGATCTGCTTCAGGTTGATAAGGCACCTCGGTCCGGTTCAATATGGCATCGAAGCCCTCATGCCAGGTTATGCATGCAGTTCTCGTTCTGATAACCATAGTGAATGCACACGATTTGCCCAACCTCTCTCGGTTGGACGTCCTCCTAGATTGCAAGCGAAGGCTCGGACGAAATGGCCCACAGGCTCTCCTTCGTCACCTTTCGATCAAATCAGCCAAGGATTTCTCAAATCAAAGCACCCCATGTCCCAATCGTCAAACCGCTTCCGACTGAGCTCAACCCGAGTGCATCGCAAAGTCACTGCTTTTGGAATTGGCTGATTTGGAACTATGCAATTGGTTTGTTAGCCCTGATGGCACTTTCTATACCAACCTCTGAACGGGTGGAGCTAACTGGGAGAAGCACATGGCCGGGGGCAACCAGGTTGCCCATGCATATAGAGAACCAAGGCAAAGTCCTCCCAAGGTGGGGCCGTACGCTGCATCAGAGCTCTGTACCATGCAAACAATTTCTAGGAACCGACCTAGCTTCATGGAAACTATTTATATAGGCAACACAGCCACGATCAACCAGGAAGCAACGCACTTATTTTTGTCTTGAGCCATAAAGTCAATGGTAAATAACATATGGACAACAGACACTACTTTACAGGGAGGTATGGGGAATACATTATAGTACTCCCGTAAAAACACCCCCCGTTTACCGCAACTGCTTAGCAGTTACGGTAAATCAAGTGCCTGTAGTCCGCCGCCGCAAGTTGACCTAAGTACGGGTAGAGATGCAGTGACTGACCTACCGACTATGGCAAACGAGTGATGGGTTTCGGATGTCAAGGCATGAGGCGGATGCTCGAATGCAATTCGCATGTTTCTTTTACGCCGGAATTGGCTCGAGGTTGCACACGGCACGGCCTTGGCTCCCGCCAGGCGTCTTCAAATGGAATGAAGGAACAATACCATTCCTCTTTTGTCATCCCAAAAGGACACCATGGCATGGAAAAACTGTACAGCCATGAAGGTGCAAAACGATCTGAGATCTTGCCTTGAACATCCAATTGTATGGCTTGAGAAGTCATTGAAGTAAAATTTAATTCATTCAAACTGTGCGGAAATATGTGCATTTGAAGTTCACTTGAATGGGTAGATGCATAATGTGCGTCAAAGCTTTGGTTTGTTCAATGGGTGCGATGCCTGCCAAGTTTGTCATAGACAGGCATGCCTCCCGGCAAGCAAATTTGAAACACGAAAGATATGACCTAAGTGTCAATGCGAGTCATCCCATAGTTCAGGTCCAGCGCCAGTACCAGCCTCGCTGTTGATTCCAGTACCACGTGTAGCGGTAGCCCTGAACCCAGTAGGAATCTCCTTCAAAGTCACCGTAGGCCACACCTCCCGGTGGGCTTCTGCCTTGCTTGCCCTTCCCCTTCCGCTGTCCCTTTCCTTTGGTCTGTCCTCCACCTTTGTGATGACCTTTTCCACCACCGCCTTGGCCGTAAGGACCGCCGCGAGCAGGCTTGCCAAGATTTGGCTCAAATTGCTCGTGGTGGGGTCGTTCATGTTCAGGTCGGCTGATGGCTGCACTTGCATGAGGAAGACTGACCTCCCGGTCGTCGCCGGTGGTTTCAGACTCCTTGTGCGTCTGTTGGGAGGCAAAGTTCGACCATTGCAGCTTGCTGAACTCCACCAATTCCTTCGCGATCTCCTTGGCATCTGAAGCATCAGGCACAAAGTCACGATTGCCCCATCCATAAACAATGGGTAGAGGCCTTTGCCTTGGCTTGATGAACTTCGCCACATAGACTGCGAATTGGCCAATGTCGAGAAAGACGCCCCGATGCGACACAAACACCTCGGTGTGAAGATCCAAGGGTTGGTCGGGCTCCCGCTCCGACGATGGCACAAAGATCAACTTGGTGGCCATCTCAAGCTTTTCGCCAAGAACCTGAGCTTTGGTGCGCTCAATGGTCGGGCTCACGCAGCCAGCCAAACGCTCAATGAAGAGCAAGGCCTCCGGCACCAAGTTTTGATTCGCCGCATTGAACTGAAAGAACGGGTCGCGGACGAGTCGGTCAACAAGGTCCTTGAAGCCCCTTTTCTTGAAAGATCTGACGTAGTTTTTGGCCATGTCTCTCAAGTTGCCATAGGTGCTTCTGGTCCGGACGGCTGTCGAAGAAGATGATGATCCCTTCTCCGGCTGCCTGGCTACTCTGCCTCTTCGCGGGTGGTTGAAGATCACCTTGTCCATGGAGAAGGGCACTCCTCTGGTACGGGCCATCGCCTCCCGGCGGGCAACTTCCGTGGCGATGTTGGCATCGGTCACGGGTTCCATCTGCCGGAAGCAGCGCGGGCATTTCAAATGCCCATCCATCATCAGATATCCGCAGATCGGATGGCTACAGCGCACCTGAGGCGTGTCTTGGATCTGGTTGTAGGAAATGTCCTTGAATTGCAACTCAAATCCGTGTCGACCTTGCCCTCGGTTCCAATTTCCACCACCGGGTCCATTCCGTCCACGACGTTGGAAGCCACATGCATCCGTGCTTGTCATGGCGGCCATCTTTCCAACGGTGTAGCCGGACACCAGCTGAGAACCTGATGCCGGCTCACCCTCCCGGGTGGCAGTGCTCTTTTCGACCTCAATGTCTTCACGCCTGGAAAAGGGGAGGAGCTTGCCAAACTCAATGCGCTCTTTGATGCCTTCAAAGTTCAACTGGGCATTTTCCATCAACATCTCCATGCGGCTCATGAGAACATCCGACGGATCAAACTCGGCCTTGGCCTGCTTGAGGACTTCCTGGTAAGCCTTCCGATGGTTGACATAAGCCCTGTTGATATAGAAAAATTCGCCCGAACGCATATCAAAGGCGTTGATCATCGGCTGGTTCGAGATCCAGTCTGGCGACAGGATGGCCTCGTCAGTCGCGAAAAGTTTGTAGCCCATTTGCATCATGAGCTCCATGTCGAACGCGATGGCGATCGGCCTCCCGGCCCGCGTACCTTGCAACTTTTTCATTTCCGCTTTCCAGGGCGGAGTGGAGTTGAAAAAGTTGTGGGCTCTGCCCGTTTTGTACGGGAATCCGCCAGGGATCAGGCCGTGCTTGATGATGGAATTGAAGGCGGCTTGGTCACAGGTGTGATACACCACCCTGGGAAACTGGTGCCACACAGGCGAGCCTGCCGGCATCGCGGAGAAAGCGGGGTGGACCGATGGGTCGTCAATCTTGGTCTGGTCGAAGTTCTCATCAAAAGTGAACATCGTTTTGATCATGCTTGACATCCCCCCTTGCTCCACGAGAAAGGCCCGATGGCCCTGAATGGCCCTGATCCTCACTGGCGTCCACCTGAGCTTTCCGGACGACAAGCCGTTCACCTGGACTCTGAAGCGACGCATCGGAGAGTTGCGCACGACCATCAAGACTTCTTCTTCTCGGAGGTGCGCAAAATCCCCTTGGAGATGCCTCACCAATGCCTTGAAGTCCATTGACAAATCAGTCCTCCGAATCTCAGGTGATGGCCTCCTGTGAAACAATCGATGGCCACGGAGGTAGTCGGACATAGCATGGGAAATTGATCCAAGCCTTCCGTAGTCCACCTTGCGCACAGGAACTCCTGCCATGTTGTCCGGCTCAATCCAAACCAGATCCTGTGCTGTGGCAAATTTCGACGTGTCAAACTGCTCAGCACTTGGCCCATGTCCCTCATCCACAACCTTCAATCTCTTTGGCATGGCCTTCTTCTTGGGCTTGAGCTTGGAAGTCGGGTCAGAAGGCGTGGCTCCCGCCGACGCAGCTGCAGTGGTGTCCGTTCGCCATGTCTTTGCAGATGAGGTGCTCTGAGCCATCTCAGTTTTCCACGTCTTTGCCGATGACGAGCTCTGGGCCATCTCCGTCTTCCAGGTCTTCGCTGATGCCGTACTCTGGACCATCTTGTTGCCCTGATCATCAACATCCATGGGCTCCGGGTCCCCCCGTGCATCAGACTTCGAGGCCTGCATAGAAGAGACCTTGTCGATCACGGCCATGTCGTCATCGTCATCATCATCGATCGGCTCGGCCTGCCCCTCCTCAGCGTCGTGGAACTCCTCTTCATCGACAATCTCCACCGAAGCCACCGTCTCGAGGTCGTCAAGGTCCAGCTCCTTTTCCTCTTCATGTACTGGGTCACTGGCCACGACTCCCGGCGGGCGTTTGTCATCCTCAATGAGGTCCCACCCTTTGAAGTCCTCGTCTTCATCCTCGGCCGCATAGGTGGCATCTTGCCATTCTTGGTCGTGCTCCTCTGATAGGCCTTTTCGCCTCGCCAAAATTCGATCATCCATGGTGAGGGCCTGAACTTTGACAGCCTCATCGTCCGAATCAGCGTTGTCATTGTGCATGGGTTCCAATGCCTGGTCCTCTTCAGGAATGTCTCGCATCCAGGACTCGACCTCCCGGTCGGCAGAGGCTGCGGCGCTCTCCTCAGCTTGAAGCACCCAGTTGAAAATCTCGACATCTGCATCCAACATGAGCTTCTCAGGATCAGGTCGCTGAGGAAGATCTTTTGGGGAGGATACATTCGAATCGATTTCAAGCTGGTACGCGGCCTTGAGGATGGTGAGATTCGGGTAGTTCTTCTGCTCCTGGAGATCGTCAATTCTTGGGAGTGTTCTCAAGTGATCGTCGACGCTGATGAGCTTGAGGTAGGCAAGGTGGCAATCAGCGACGGCTTGGAGGAAGTTGGTGACATACTTCCGGTTGATGACGTCGTCTTCCAAATGCACCTTGTCATATCTCACAGTTCTGGCAAGCATCAAGGTGGTGTCCAAAGTTTGAATACCATGGTCCTCTCGCAGTGCCCTGATGTGGACACGCATGGTCTCATTGTAGGCCGACGGGAGAGCAAAGATTTCCGCGTCAGCGTTCCCAACGACCACGATGTCCAGGATCCGGGGCTCATCACGTTTGAGCTGGCCCAGTTCGTTGACGGACCGCTCAACCCTTGCCTTTTGCCGTTCACACCAGTTGGCCGTGACCTCCCGGTCGGCAGCAGACTTGTTGTATGCAGCCCTGTGGATCCAATGGACTCCTCTGTAACCCCCTTCGCCAAACACATCATTTCCGGCCCACCCCACGATGACCAACACCGGCAAAACCGGGCGACCATGTGCACGATTGGTGGACTCGATGTCATCGATGGCCTCGGGGATATACTGGACCATATGGTTCAAGCCTTTGCCCCACAACATTTTGGTATATATGCCACGGATGTCTCCCCAGGGCTTCAGAAGATCGCCTCCGGAAAAACACGAAGCCTTCCCTGCGTTGGGGTCAGGTACCAGAGCAAGTGATGAGTCTGATACGATCAGCAGGTCGACCTCGCCTCCCGGCGGGTAGGGGCACAATGCCAAAAACCCATCGGGCGTGTTCTTGTAGACCTCCGCGAGCGTGTCGTATGCCCCTTCAGCATTGCCACCACCCAGCATCGGCTCGACGATATTCGCCAGGGGTAGGCGGCATCCTTCCATCTCTCGCAAGAGCACCTGTGGGTCGTCCCAGGTCGCCACCGCAATGGCTGCCTTCAGGGTGTTGACCACACCTTCCCATTGGGTGATGCGCTCGAGGATGGCGGGCCTCCCGGCAACCGCACAGGCCTTGGCCATTTGGATTGCACGAGTCAACATGACGAAGACGGGAGAACAAAAGGGCGCGATGAGTGCACAGCAAGTTAGCTTGAGAGCGGGATGCTGTCGGGTAAGAGCTTTATGTATGGCGTCTGTCATGCGGAAAGTGTACTCCTCCGTTTTCTTGAGTGCAATACCTCTACCTGGAGCATGACGCCTGTTGCATGTGCATTGGAACTTCGATAATGCTTTACCGACTCCAGCATGATTTGTGGCCACTGCCCAAGGTTTCTTCAAAGGATCATTGTCTTGATTTACCATTCCAAGAGCACATCCATCGCAATGATATGCAATCATCCCATAAAAGTTCAACAGCTTTGCAACTTTAGTCAATTTCCAATATCGACATTTTCGTGGCCACTCGAGTGCAATGTGTACTTCACAGTTCAACCAGCAGGGTCCGAGTAGCAAGTTACATGGGGTTGTAGGAGTGCAAGAGGCCACGGAGAGGGCGGGGCCAAGTTTACATGGCCACGGGACACGGGGTATGTCACAGGTAGTTACAGCTTTTGGTAAAAATATTCTTACCTTGAAGCTGCACCTTGCACAAGCTGCACAATGCAGGCAGTCAGCTCTTGGAAATGCAGCGAACACTATAGTGATGCATTTCCAGTCTAGCTTTGGGCAGTGTGTAGCCTTCTTGAGCCAACCTAGAAGATATATGTACATCAAAAACGTGTATACATGTATGTATATATATATATATTAGAAAAATATACAGGGATATTTCAGTCATATATATATATTTATCTATCTATCGATCGATCTATCTGATGAAAAAAAACAGAAAAAAACACCAACCATCCCGAGCTGGATTGGCAGCATGGGTGTTGCAGCCAGGATTTTTGACAATGTTGTAGGTCTGATTCTTAATTGTAATGGTTTTGGGTTCTTCTATGTCTATTGATCAACCCAAGGTACTGAACAGAATAGTTATACTATACCCACAAATCATCTAATATAGATCATTTTGATAGTGAAACCCATGATTTTAGGGAAGGTTCAAATGACCCTCTCAGAGGTCCACTGCGAAACCGATGTCCCAAAATGGTTGTTTCCTAAAATATGGAGGTACCCCAAACTATCTGAATGGTGACCATTTTAGTATTGAAACCCATAGTTTTAAGACCCATATGAAGGTGGGTGGTCGCTGTGAAAATTGTTGTGTCCTACTGTAAAGGTACCCAAATCATCTAAATTGGACCCATGTTAGTTTTCAATCCCATGTTTTAGGAAACATCTAATATGACCCATGGTTAGTCCACTGTGAAACCGATTTCCCAACATGGTGGTTTCCTGAAATAGAGGTACCCCACATCATCTACATTAGATCATTAGACAATTTTTAATATTAAACCCCATGATTGTAAGGAATCCATTGACCCCGGGTGGTAAACTATGAAACCGGTTAGAGGTACCCCAAATCCTGTGAAATCAACCAAATTAGCATTGAAACCCATGGCCCTGAGTGGTCCACAGTGAAGCCGATGTCCCACATGATTGCTTCCTAAAATAGAGGTACCCCCAAATCATCTGAAATTGTACCATTCTATTATTCGAACATGATTTGGGGTTGCCCTCCATTTTAGGAATCAACTGACACGTGTTTGGCGATTCCTTAGTTTGAAAGGTTTTTGGTGGAGCCTATACCTCCCGATCTCCGCTGCACATTTCACCGGGGGGCCTGCCTCTCTGCGCATGCCAGTGTCCGGAATCCCGGCAAAATGGCAAACATGGGTTTGGGATAACCTGGTGAACCAACAATGAAATTGCCCTGGGTTACTTACTGGCTTGGTTTTCATTTACAGTTTTGCTATCCCGAAATTTCATCGAGCGCTTCCTGAGGAAGATTGGCAATGTTCTGCCAATGCATTGCAAGGAAAAGACTAAAGCGATCAAAAAAACGTTTGCACACTGTAGCGCCGTGAACGGCACTTGCCAATTTGGTCAATTTTCCCAGCATTGACTCTTCGGCTAAAGTCTTGTGATTCCTCGGGTTCTCATCGTTGTCCTTGAGACCGAAGATAATGTGGCACCAACTGTGCCTCAAGGTTTGAGCTATGGACAGGGATCAAAAGTCGCAAATATGGAGGTTCCCTGTTGAACAATGGAAGCACCCCAAATCATACAAAAGTGGGCTGTTTCACTATTGAAAGATACGGTTCTGGGGATCCACGATTGAAAAAACATATGTATATTTCTATACATGTACATACATACCCATATATATATATATCCCCTTGCCAACCAATAATTTCCTATAATGAACTAGTGGTAAAATATGGTTCCATCTTTGTGGTGGTTATTTAACATCTATTTAAATAGAATTCCAAGTAGGTTCAGAAACTATATGGTTCCCCCAACTTAAAAAATAGAATTTACAACCCATGGGAAGTGTCAACATCAACAGAAAATGAATACTCAATTGTATGAAGACACCATTTGGGACGGATCTTGTAGTTGATCCGATTTCTGTTCAGATTGGCAGATGACATCTCAGCATATGCAATGAGGCATGAAAGCCCTGAGTGATAACCACGGTTGGCCAACACATTCCCAAGCCGCAATGCTGGGCGGTCTGTCACCCACAAAAAATCTGCCGCCCCCCATAGCATCAAGGCCCTGTTCGAGCAGCCAGTGCCTCATGACGGTTTGGATACCCAGCTGGAGGAGTTGCAGCTTGAATTTGCCAGGTTTGTATAATAAAGAGGTTGGTTCACCAATCAAACAAGGCACATACTAAAATAAATGTTCAAAATGTGTCAAAACCCATCCAAGTGGCATTTGCAATAAGAACCCATCTCCCTAGCTACTTCGGCAACGAAAAAGGTAATGGGCTTGCAATGTGCAGCTTTGACGTTGGAGTCTAAAACGGGGTATTGATTCGCCTCATCGTTTGCACCTCTACCGATCAAATGTAAATTCCATGTACACGGTGGTTTTTCGATCTTCCGAGACTTGCAAAAAGTCCTGAATGCTAGCCCCACATGGTTCATGAACCTGTCACCCCGTTCATGTTTGGTGCCACCCAGCTGATGTAGACGAAAAAGATCCACACCGTGTAGGGATTTCAGTTCAGTCACACCAAGTTGATGTAGCCGGCTGAGAATTGGCAGTTCTACCTGGGATATACCGATTCAGATTTTTTTGTGAATCGGTTCTTTTACCCGCTTGATAGGATAATTAATAAATCTGGTTCCATTCTTCGTTGGATTTGTTGGGGAGATAAAAGTGATGGATCCATGAAGTTATTGGGGAAAAGAAAATATGTGGTAAATATCAAACTGATCATCATGTAAAGATTCCGAGGTGCCAAATCTAATAGGAAACTTGCAGCCAAATCTTTGCCACATCCCAATAAAACTGTATGCGCTGTATCCCACCTTACTCGGGATATATTGAACCCTGGAACTGACAGCCATGGAGTCTGATAGACCACTGGGGTTTCCCGCAAATAGGCTTCGTGATCTCTTTGTGTTTCTCTCCATGGTCCCAGAAAATTTGAATAGACATATTGTAGCAGATCTTGCCTCGTACGGGCATGTGGATTCACTGCCCCACACTGATCACACATCATTGTGGACTGGTAGTTGCGACGAACAAATGAGTGGGAAAGGCTTCTTTCCTTCCAATCACCACACCAGCTTTCGAATCCTCCTCTCCACCCTCCTGCTATAGGCCGCCCTGCTTTGGCAGCCCGTGCGGCACCCAGTGCCACCCCATGCTGATCCAACGCAGGGAAGACTCCATTCAGTAGAGTCTTACCTAAGGTCAGACAGGTGGTGCAGTTTTAAAAGGGTGGTGCATAATAGAGAAGCACACACACATATATACATATAAAACGTATGATTATATGTATATCTGTACGTATGCCTTTTCTATATTATAGGCTGTTTGGGTATTAAGGAATAACACCAAACTTTTGTGAAGGGACTGTCCCAAGCAATAGCTTGAACGATCACCTTGTTTGCCTTTGCCCGGAGCTCTTTGCTTGGCAACAGTCTCATGGGAATGATTGCAAATGGGTACCTGGTACACCAAGTAGTGGAAGCCATAGTTGAACTCCACAACCAAATCAGGAGCTCTTGGTTTGTGTTGTATTCTGCCCCATCTGTAAACCACTTAACCTCACATGGCGGCTGGTGCCATGTAAAAAACATAGACATACGTTTATTTTTAACTCAAAAAAATACAGTGGTTGGGAATTTGGGAAGCTACCAAATACTTTCCTACCCTACCCCATCCTGCCAAAGAAGCTGGAAAAGTTTCGCTTTCGAGGTTTGACCTTGGTGGCCACTGGCATTGGGTGATTTGATTTGGGAATCTACCCCCTAGCCTTTCTTTAAGCAACATTCTGGTGATATTGATATTTAACTGGGCTGGAACACCAAAAAAAATCAAATCACCTAATGCTGCTGGTGTGCTGGATGACTGGATGATGCTGGGCAAAGGCCCCGTTGGAGCGGTATTCCGACCAGAATGCATGGGCTGTTGTGGCATTGCACCCAATCACAACTTCCCACAGCTTTGGGGACTGCTTTTTCCATAGCTCATGCACAACATCACTTGCCAAAAGAATTGGTATTACCATTGGCTTTACCATGGCTTTGTCAGGGTCATACACCTCAATTTCAATAGGGTATGTTGGGAACTCCGATCCAAAAAGAGAAGGTATCATCGTGTGTAGATCACGCTCAGCATTGGACATGTGCTTACCCCAAGAAGCCAAAGATGCCAAATCCCGGATAGTTGGGTTGTCCAAACCATCTCGAAGCGCAGCATGTGAGTATCTCTGAAGGGCATTCGCATGAAGCTCCTGATGGATGGATGTTGGACCAAATAACCATAAACAATTGAATGTGCTTGTCCAAAATCATCATTCATTTTTTGAGGGGACAAAAAGAGGTTTGTAGAATCCTATGACAATTGTGATGGGGTGGAGCCATATATGATCATCAGTTCAAAAAGTATAGATGGAACTTATTCCTGACGGGTTAGTTGTTTAAACCACTTTGAACTTTAATTGAAGCCAGGGATCACCACGGGACACATCCCACAGAAGTTCGGTTGCCAGCGCCGAGCCAGGAACATCGCGTCGTTGACGCTTTTGAGGTGCGCCTGGCCAACAGCAAGTGGTGCATGGGAAGGCTTGTAGGCTTAACCCCAAATGTTGGGATGCACATTTCTTAACAATTTTCTAACTGTGCAATACTCTTGTTATAATGTGAATGGAAGAAATCCTGCACCAGTTGATAAAGGGTTTATCCCATAACATTATTTTTAAGGTGGCATATCCACAGGATTTCTTCCATCCACAACATACCCACGGTATTCAATGGATAGCTTTTGAGATGTTTCTCTACCTGCCAACATAGGCACCCCTTTTTTCTCTCTGCTGTCATCCCACACAATGGGCCGCCGAGTGGCACTCATTCCAACATGAGTAGCCCTATAGTAGCCACCAAAGATATCTGGGACTTGCCAGATTGTCCCATGAATGATGGGATTGTGCAAAAGCTCCCGAGGATTGCAGCCGATTCTTTCAACAATGGCGCACATGTTTTTTTTTACGATGTGCAAAAATAGATAAAACATAGATGAAACAATCTTAAGGCTGTTGCTGAATATATAATATATATATATATGTTGGTTTGAATAAATTCGACCATTGTGAAAACCACACAAACCGGCTTGGTCAGATCTGCTAAACGCCTGCAGCCCCCAAAGGCACACATATTTTACAGATATGTTTGTTTCATCACAGGGGCTGCATTGCAAGCTTCAGTTTCTGTTGACTCTGGTGTAGTCCAACCCTGCCAGCCTGAGAAAGGTGTATACACTATCTATTTTTAAAGTTGATAGTTTTGAGGGGTCCATGCCACCACTCTTCAACATCAACAATAGCTAATCGAACATGTATATGTATATATATATATCATTATATATCTATTTATCTATCTACACCGTTTCCGTTGCAGCAGAGCTGTAACACCGTTGTATCGGTATGTAGGCCATGCAAGGCCAAATGATTTGGGTACAAAATGTGGGTCCAAAACTCGCGCTGTCACAAAACCCACGACGGATCCCTATGCCCATGATTGCAGCTGCCACGACGTCATGATTGCAAATTTCAATCAGAGAAATATAGCTTTCATAGTTTGACAGCAAAACTTCAAGATAACAAAATCATCTAGACTGGAATGATTTCACCTCGAAGCAGCAGATTTCATGGTGTTGGCAACCTTTTTCCTGCTCTTGAACCAAGTTTGATACTGGGTTGCCTGATCAAACAATTTCGAATATTGGTTGATGTCATTCACCTCATTCGTGGTCAGCTGATGCAGCTCACGGTAGAGGGTGGTGAGGGCAGTGCTGTGGGTTTGCAGCGCCTGCACCAGCTCGCCGGCCATTTCCAGGCCCTCGATGGCAATGCAAAGGGTTCGTGCTTCCTCAGCCTCCTTGAGCCTCAGAAGGAGCAATGGGAATGTTACAGGGTTAGAGCTGGTCACACCCCATGCTTGGGTATGTATGCATGCATGCATGTATGCATGTACGTATGTATGTATGGATGTATGCATGGGTGTATGTATGTATGTATGTATGTATCCATGTATGTATGTATCCATGTATCCATGTATCCATGTATGCATGAATCTATGGATCGATGGGTGTACTTACTCAGTTGGCTCCATCCCCAAAATAGACCTTAACATTTTTTCCAGGATTCACGCTTGTAAAACAGTTTTAAATGTAGCTACCATGCTATGGATGCATGGATGCGTGCATGTATGGATTGATGTATGGATATATGCATGGATGGATGGATGCATGCATAAATGCATGTAATTCCAGCGTTTGATTTTTTTTGGGGGGCTCCCACATGTTTCAATAACATATATAAAATTTAACCATATATGGTATACTGGATCATCTTATGGATTTGTTTTTGGCTTTGTATCTGGAATCCGATTTCACTTTGATCTGATAAATCTCAAACAAAGGCAAGAAACACACTTTTCTTGAGCAGCACGGCCTTCTCGAGAGGGGTGGGTGGTTTGTCAGGCTTAGGTGGACCATCACCAGCCCCGCCAGCACTTGCCTTTGCCTTTGGTTTGGGCTTTGCCTTTGCTTTTGCTTTGGGGTCGGGTGCTGTGGTGTCCCCTGCCCTCTCAGCAACACCCTCCCCCAGAACATCATGGATGCTAGGAACAGCCCTGTCCGAGAAGTCAGCCCCATCTTCGGTCAGCAGCAAGGCCTCTGTTGAAGTCAACTCGGTTGTGGACCCCACCTCCTGAGTGTCTTCCCGACGGTTCTGAACTTCCCTGGTCACTTCTTCATTCCCAACCCGGTACTGACGAAGGTCTTCCCTGTCAGGAAAGTTGGCGTCAGGAATCCATTCCCCTGTCTTGGTGCGCTGCTGGATCAGTAGGTCAATGTCAGTCTCCCTGTACCGTCCATCCTTGATCAAAGCTGCCCTGCTCATATACTTCTCCTTTGCGCTGGCAATGTTGGCCTGGGTATTGCGACGTTTGATCTCCACCTCACAAGCATTGAAGTCCTGTCCACGTTCAAGCCACAGCCTGAAGAGGTCAAGTTTGCTTCCAGTAAAGGTTGCAACCAAACTTGCAGGCATTTTCCTGGGGTTCCTTGCAGCACGTAGATACTGCATGTATTCTGATCTGTGGGAAACCGATGTGGGCAATGGTGGTGCCGCTTTTGCTGCAGCTGCATCCACTGTTGCAGACAGCTGGTGGGGTGCTGGTGCTGCTGGTTTTGCAGGTGGTGCTGCAGGGGGAGGCATGGTGGGTGGAGGTGTGCTTGCTGCAGTTGCAGGTGGTGCTGCAGGGGGAGGCACGGTGGGTGGAGGTGTGCTTGCTGCAGCTCCAGCGGGTGGCCCCCCACAAAGGCCGATGTCAGGGGGCATGGCATTGTTGGGATCCCTCAAGGCGCGCAAAGACTGCTGGTACTTTGCCTTGTGTGCAAGAGGATCGGGTGCTTTGGGCTCCGCTGCTTTGGGCACAGCTGGTGCTGTGTTGGGCTCTGCTTTGGGCTCTGCTGCTGGAGGATGCACAGGGGCTGTGGGCTCTGCTGGACCAGGTGGTGCAGGTGTTTCGGGCTCTGCAGAAGTGTTGCTGCCAGGTGTTGGTGGGGAGTCCAACCCCAATGCTTTGCGCATGCTTGCACGAGCCCTAACCCAAACTGCAAACCCAAGCATATCCTCATACACGTCCTCCTCTCCAAACTCCCACGCCCCATCATTCCCAATCTCCAAGCGAACCCCTTCAACATAGGATTTCATCTCAGGGTGCCCACGGGCACTTTCCACCATGTTTTTGAGATCTTCCCCATCTACTTTCGCAAGCATCTTTGCTACATCATCCTCAATCTCTTGTGACCACAACTGACTAGGTGTCAACTTGTCATCCCCACCGGCCAAGGCATTGGCCAAGTTGCCAGTCACAGGTGGTGTGGGCTCCGGCACAGGTTTGTTGGGATTGGGAGGCACAGTGGATTTGGGCACGGGTGGAACCAAGTCAACGAGTGATGGTGCTTTGCTGGGGTGCTCCGTGGTTGCAGGTGTTTTGCTGGGGTGCTCCATGGTTGCAGGTGCTTTGCTGAGGGGCTCCATGGTTATGGTTGCAGGTGCTTTGCTGGGGTGCTCCATGGTTGCAGGTGCTTTGCTGGGGTGCTCCATGGTTGCTCCCCCACCCCCCAAACTCTCCTTCTCCACACGAGCAAGCACAGCAGCGTCAGCTTCCCTCTCCAAAGCCATCAACTCATCATCAGCCATAGATTCCCCATCTAGCTCATGGGATGCATCAGGTAGCTCTTGGGAAGGGATAGAGGTGCCACCAGGCATTGAAGATGCCGCTGAAGTCGACATCTCACCCTGGGCCAGAAGGAATGTGACAACCATATTTGTTTGAATATAATTCTGTGGATGCATTAAGGCAATCTCTATAACTAAGATTCTAACCATGGTTATATACACAAACACAAAACAAAACACACTTGTTTGTTGGATGCCCCCACGAGAAACCTCACTCAACCCCAAACTTGAAATTGAATCCAAGGGTCACACAACTCGTCCCAACTCACACCATTTAATTTTGCTGCCAGCTTAAACTTCTCCACAAGCTCTGCTCTGTCCATACGACCCCCGGCTGATGGGTGCACCCGTGCTTTGGCTGCTGGTTGCAGTGGCGGTGATGCCGATGGCCGCTTCTGCGCAGAATATGTGGTGGGATCAAAAAAGCGCACAATGTTTTCTTTTGTGGTATGTCGTTCCATGGGAACCTGTTTGGGTGGCTTGACTGATGTATTCACAGGCTTTGATTGATATGTGGCAGTGTCAAAAAAGGCCTCAATATCTCCCCTGGTTGCCACCCTCCATGCCTGTGGAGTGACAAAGCTCTCACCCGGCTGTGGCATCTGACTTGGATGTGCAGCCATGGCCACACACCCAGATCCAAAGCTAAGCTGGTGCTGCTTGGACCCCAAAAACCTGTGGCAAATCCATGATGAAAGTTCCAAAACTACAAAAAGTGTGAAGTGTGAAATTTCACGAGTTATCACGGCATAATCACGGAGTAATCACGGGTTCACGGTTTTATGGTTTGTGGATGTTTTTGATCCAAGCATGCACATTCCAACACCCCCCACTCTTTTTCCCCTCTCATCATTTACTTTTTATAATGTTCCTTATATTTGTTGGTTACCTCCAGGGACACACCCAGTCAAGCCTTCACTGCTGGCAGCACTTGCCAATCTGGCGACCCGCTTCATGTGCCAGGAGCTGCAGCCTCCATTGCAATTGGTATGGGCTCCCAACTTGGTAGTGGTGTTGAAGGATTGGATGTTAATAGGGGCAATGCTAACTAATTGGTTAACTTAGATTTTGGGTTAGATTACAATAGATTAGATTAGATAGATAGATATAGATAGATATAGATAGATATAGAAAGATATATTTCCCTTGAGTGGGGGTTTCAAATATATATTTCCCCAGGAAAATATGGTTTTAGATAGATATAGATAGATACAGATAGATAGAGATAGATAGAAATAGAGATAGATAGAGATAGATAGAAGAGAGAGAGAGAGAGAGATAGATAGATAGAAAGATGGATAGATAGATATTGATACAGATAGATATAGATATAGATAGATTGGTAGATAGATAGATAGATAGATAGATAGAGAACCAGTCCCATGTGGGGTGCCAAATAAATACATACAACACAAAACAGCCCATCACATGTGGATATTTTCTGATCGGGGTTGAGGATTCTGGATACTCGAATTTGATGCCTGATTGCTCCAGGCATCAGGTCCTGCATCACTGCTGTGATCTTGGCATCATCTGAATGAACCATGTGAAAGATAACAAATTTACGATATAGATACCATATTCATACATATTAATGAACCATGTGAAAGATAGCATAATATGTATTTCCCAATACATATATTACACGGCCTTCTGATTGGACCTCAGATGCCAAGAACGCCACAGGTTGAAGCTTCTAGAAACCTGTGGTAGCCAAGCAGCCGAATTTAATAGTTGCCTTTTTCAGGCAGCATCCAGCGCAAATACTGCATCACTCTGTGATCTTCGCATCATCCCAGCACAAGAAATAGATACCATACATACATACATACATACATACATACATTTCATATATACATAACACATACATACATGAATAGATAGACACATACATACATAAATGCATGCATACATAAATGAATGCATACATACATACATACATACAAACATAAATAGATAGACACATACATACATACATGCATGCATACATGCATGCATACATACATGAATGCATACATACATACATAAATAGATAGACACATACATACATACATGCATGCATACATGCATGCATACATGCATGCATACATGCATACATGCATACATGCATACATGCATACATGCATACATGCATACATGCATACATACATACATACATACATACAATCCATATAGATATACTGTTCCCAAAACTATTTACACAGTTGGACTTCAGATGCATCACTTCATCGCAAAGTGGGCAGCATTCAGCGCAAAGTCAGGTACTGCATCACTTCTGTGATGTTCGCATCATCCCAGCGGTCCTTCTTGGGCAGGTATGCCCAGATGGGTGGAATGTGAACCGAGCTCAAATCTGGTTCTTCCTGTTCTTTTTCAGCCAACCAAACGCTTAGAGTACTGAATCCATATTCAGGGGTGTAGGCCTGGCTGGCTTTGAGGTCTTTGCCCCCACTAACGGATATGGCCCCACTGCTCAAAACAGTTTTTCTAGTCATATCATTTTCCCAAACACGGTCGGGAAGGGCACGGCAAAGTTTCTTCACAGATGCCCGGGAACTCCATAGAGTTGTCCCCTTTGGGGAGCCATGTCCGAAAGCTCCCATCCAAGTCCAGCCCCGAAAGGCATCACAAACACGAAGAAACTCATCCATTCGGGGGTGGGCCCATAGGAGTGAAGATCCTGGCTGTTCATATATGTAGAAGATGTTCTTTGCCATCAAAAGGTACAGGATGAGGCATACCCGGCTGACCATGATCTTAGCACAAGGCAGGATTACGAGGACACCTTAATGGATGGTTGATGTGATTATATTGATTAGTATGTTTACCACACACGTACCATTTCCAAAAAGGCTACCCAATCAACCCAAAACCCAGGAAAAGGTGTCTTTTTCTTGGGAGGAAACCAATTCATGGTTGACTTATTGGGTTTACTTATGAGATCCCTTATCGACACAGGTGCACGCCACCCTACCACTGACTGGCCAAGGTTCATTAGCATCCTCTACAGCCCGGACCCGTCGGTCCCCAAGCGGGTTCCATAAGGAGCGCTTGGTCCTGAGGCAACACCAACCCCAAGGGGGTAGAAGGTTTCATCGTTTATTTTGCTGATGCAAAATATCTCATGAGTCGAATGTAATATATATATATAGATAGTAATAAGGTTTGTGTGCGCAAACCACTTGATCCCCACTTGCATACAAATATATATAATTATATATATATATGTGCGGGTATCTCCAAAATAGATATGTAAATATGCCTTTGCACCCCAAAATGGTAATAAGGTTTCTCTATGCACACCATCTGACCTCCATTCATTTTTGATGAGAAAATTTCCATTAAACAAGACTTTGCACCCCGAAACAGTGATAAGGTTTGTGTATGCAAACTATCTGAGCCCCACCGATATTTATGGGGATATCATTTTAAAAACACCCCTTGCACCCAGACCACTTTTTGGAGATGTTTTCATTTCAATTGATACTGAGTAACTGGGATCTTGACAGGAACACCCACGTGCTACACACAGTAGCTATTTGGCAGAAGGAATTGAACTTCATGCGCATCGCCATGCACAGAGCGACGCTGAACCTAGGATAGCCACAGACTCAAATACTCAAATGGGTAAGAAACTAAAAGTCATCTTAAAGCCACAACTACGGATGAGAAAATAAAAACTATCTTTTAACTCAAACCATGAAGAGGAGCCCAATTGGGTCCAGGATGTCACCAGCAGACCCCTGCAGGTTGATCTCAAAGGGCACGGACTTGAACCCAGCCCGCGCAAAGCACTTTGTAACCTAGCTGTGTGTGAAACAAACAGGGGGCCACCATAGCACTACAGTACTAGCAAAGCATGCAAGCATATATATGCAGTACAACCCACCAACACTACTAGCAAAGCATGCAAGCATAGGCACTACCAGCCAAGCCACAGCCATTTGCCCAGCAAAGTACTCACACATGTCAATGTCCTCCTTCATCGCCCCATTGGCCATGAAAATGAGGCTTGTGAGCTGCAACAGGATGCGAGGGGCATCCACGGCAACCAACAGCATGAGCATCTTTCGCATCTGACAGGCAAAAAAACATATCCAAAGGGATAGGGCACATATGTATATACATTCACATGCAGAACCTTTTCCCAACCCCTGACCTGTTCCGCAGCAGCACTTCCAAGCCGTGACTTTGTCAAGGACCGGGCAATACCAACCACTGGGCGGGCAAGGCTAGCATCATCCTTCTCATGACCCTGCTGCTTCTTCAGGTTCCTGTTTGTCTTGGCAATTGCTTTGGTTGTTTTCTTCATTTCTTCCTTTCCAGGCTTCAAGCGATGGAGTACCATGGCAAAAGCAATCAGCCAAGCTAGCGATCACAGGTGTTGCAGCAGCTCAAAAAGCTACAAAAATAGCAAGCGCAACTCAATCACCAACTACAAGCACAACTGCAAGCGAGAGCAACGACCAAGGACACAACACCGAACCAGCCACAAACAACCGACACGCAGCCGATCAATTTTCACAGCAACTGCGCCCACCATCAACGCAGCTAGCAGCGGTACCCAGCATGTTCATGAATTTCCACGCTTTTGCTTAAGCATGGGACACGCCCAATTAAATTTGACATTTCAAGACCTAAATCCTAAGTAGCCCTATAGACTGCAAAACATTTCAAGACCAGCCAGCATCCTTGCAAATTTCGTCCCAAGCGATCTGAATGTTTCCCATCCAAGGTCTCTGTGCCACAGGTGGCTTCTCGCACACTTGCTTTCCTTAGGGAAACATAGGGGTGTCATGTGGGGAATCCAAATCTTCGATATTGAAAAGTAGATAAAAGCCGGGACACTCATACATGTTAAAAGTAGATAAAAGTCTGGACTTTGGGTGCTGTCTGAATTCCAGTGTTGTCTTTTTTTTGAAACCAGAATATGATTATTGGTAGATAGCTGATTCACCCCAGCACTTTTAGCGGTAAAACAAAACCCTTAAAACCATTTTGTTCTTGGCCATAGCAGCCATCTTTCTCCCCAATCTTCACGATGCGAAATGCACGCTGCTTGAGGAGGACTTCGATTCGAGCTTTAGTATTGGTGCTAGAGATGGTATAAGATAACTTCCCTTTGCGAAAGCTCTGCGGAAGTGCACATGCAGGCATGCCTCCCAGGTTGATTTGGAGGATTTCCAGGGTTTATGAACATAGATTCAGGGTTATTCCCCAACAGAATCAAACACCAGAATGTGGGTGTATCTCTTTAACATGGTGGATTCGTAGCTATGTGTCCCAAGTCCTGACCTGGGGGAATTGGCAAAGCACCATCAATGGCACCAAGGTCACTTGCTCCCGACGAAGTTGCCTCACCAAAGGCCGATGCATGGGAAGCTGACTCATGTTGGGCTGAAACAACAGGAACACTGTCACACACACACACATTGAACGCTTTTGGTTGCCCTCTAGATTCTACGTATACCAGTTTACAATTCTTCCAAAATGCCACCACAGGGTGAGCCAAGGCACTGATGGGGAAGGTGTCTCCGAACCGGGCTTCAAAGATTTTGCAGCCTCATGTCGAAAGCATGGCTACGAAACATGTATCTTGGATATACACTTGACATTTTGAACAATATGCAAGTATCCAGACTTTGGGCTAGGGGCTGGCTCTTTGGTCCCTGCTTCTACAGGTGCTGCATCTTCACATCGAGATCGCTTCCTGGAGTCCTCAAACACCGGGAGTCGTGATGATTCTTGGTATTGTGTTTAGAGGGAAATTTTGGACGACATGACATAACTATACATAACTGTCAGTAAAGGGTGTCGATCATGTGAATAAGATTCTGGTAAATCAGACATGCAATAAGTTTCCCAAACATCTGTTAATAAAACTATTGATATAACTTCCTACATTCTAAAGACCCATGCACCTTTTCTGGAAGCCTGGGCTGGAAACAATGGCTTTTGATCAGTACATGTTATCAATCCAACATTAGCACCCCATATCACCCGATATAGTTTTTGCAGTTGGAGGGGCTTGGGGGAACTAAACTCACCAAGCTGAGTTTCGATCAAGAGGTGCTGATCACGGGGGTTTGCTGCAGTGGCATCATCGGGCTTCGGTAGCTCAACCAACATGTCTGGGCGAACAGGCGCCGCAAGAGGTTCAGTCTTGAAGACGCGATCCAACTCCTTCAGGAATGCATGTGTTTAGATCAACCAAAGACAACATGAGGGTATCAAGGGCGCCTGAACTGGTTCATGTCAGATACTGCGATTCAATTTTCCTTCAGGAAATATATCACCAATATTATTCATCTATATTGTGTCATGTTTCATTAACTTGGTCCTTGGGTGGAGCCGAGTCCATTGGAACATCCGGTGTGGTTGGGCTTCCACCTTTGGCCCAGCTCTTGAGATATGCACAATCAGACCCAAGCTCTTGTTCAGCAAACTCTGCCAAGTGCAACTGGCTGCAGGGCTGGTTAGGATCAAGCCTAGGCAAACAAGGTAGTGTTGGTAAAGCAATTACATTACCTGGGTGCTATAAACCATCGAATCAAACCAGATGGTTGGCTTATTCCCACTTAGCTAACCTTATTCCAATTTCTTTCCTTTCCCTTGTAGAGGTATACCATGTGTCATCCCATTCCTTGCAGCCTGTGACATGCAGCTTGGCAACCCAAGGAGCGCCATCGTCTGCTCAAAGATCTCATTGCCGTTGTCACTCTCGATGCTCTGTGGAGACTCGTCTGCATCTTGCCTTAGATCACCACCAGATGGGGGCTGCTCAGACTTTTTTGGCCCAATAAACAACCAACATATACAACTGATAGTGCGTTTATTGAATGATATTATTGCCACCTACCTTGTTGTATTTAAACACTAAAAAATTCAACAAATATATAAGGCTTCCTGAATGTGAGTCTAGGTACCCCAAAATCATCGTGGTCCCGCTATAGAAACTTCTGGGGCTGCTAGCACTTGGTGATGCCGGCGATGTTGTTTTCTCCCGACGCCGTTGGTTCGCTAGGCCCTTCAAATATGTAATCTCTGGAGTCTTGCCATTCTCGGATTTCAATGCCGAAGAACGCACATAAGATAGCAACTTCTTTAATTTGCCACCTTCCCCCAATGCGTTCTCTCTTCTCTTTTCTTTGAGGGGTGAATCTTGAACACCTCCTAGAAGTGAGCCATTCCACAACACATCGAGGTGCATCACTGAGTCTCCCAAAAGATACCCCGATGGCTGCCGGTTTTCAGGGTACTTTAAGAGCATGGCTTCACTGACATTCGCTGTATGGGGATCTTTCAGCGAATTTCCATTGAAATGTGAATTTGCCAGCAAACACCCCTTCCCTGGAAGCTGCAATGGGTCGATATGGGAATTGAGGGACTCAGCTATGGCCTTTGGCAATTCAGGGTCCCACCAAGTCTTCCATGCTGCCAGGGGCCGTGACTGACACGGCGCAGAGAAAGTTAAACATGGGGGCGATAGGATCATGATCGGGGCTAAACAAGCGATCCACTGATCCACTGCGCAAACCTGTCAGAGCCAAAATCCTTGTAAATTCATTATGGATGAAATTCAACCCCAATTAAATTTCGATGAACGCATGCTATTTCTAAAAGATTGGGTTTGCACTACATGGCATTGATTCAACCATGCTTGTACCATCTCACTAGAATATCATTGATGTGTCAAGCCCATATACATCCCAACCTGAAACTGTCCCAACTTGGTCAATATTGATGGCCCCTGAGGATTGGATGTCGCAAGATCGAGAATCTTCATGAGCGCATGGGTTCCCGAATGCGTTGCTGCCAAAGTGGATGGAGATATAAATACAATAAGCACTATATATATATATACAATATAGATATTTTTGCGTTACTCAACAGTATATATATATATACACCATCATGAGTTGAAGGTGCACCGATCTCTAATAAGCGGTTTGCAACTTTTTGTGGCCATATATTTGGGGCCTTGATAGCTTAGAGTATGGTAATCGATTTCCAAAATGTGGCCACCATGTTGAAAAATGGTTTCAAGGATCGTACTCTCGCTCCAATTCGTCAAAACAAAATGGCATCCACAGCGCTCCCGAATTCTGGCCTGCAATGGTCAGCACAGGGCATCACCCAAATTGCCATCAGAGCAGCAAGGCTATAACGCATTGGCATGGCTCGAAGTTGATAGGTTAAAACCAACCACCTGAAAAAGTTTTGGACCTTCCTGTAGTACTTGGGACCAACTGATACCAACTGATTATCAATTCTACGGGTTTTGCATTGTTCCCCTTGTATGTGGTAAACCCAAGGGAAAACCATCCCCTTAATCATCCATTAGGTGATCTCAGATAATGGGAATTCCAGTACTTAACCTTTACTGGGGATGGTTTATCATTGGGTTTTCCACATTTTTTGAATTGAGACTTGATAGCCCAGTAAAAATCGAGAAACCTCTGAAGGGGTTGGCAATGCCATGCTGCGATGTCATTTGGGATTCCCAACCTGCGGCGGCGAGTTTCACCGACACTCGGTAATCGAAAGAGAAAATCCTTGGGTCAACCCGGTTGTTCTCATCAAACCCTAAAAGGGTTATTTAACCCCCTAAAAGGGTTATTTAACCCCCTAAAAGGGTTATTTAACCCCCTATATATATATATTAGTGGTAACAGCATGGATCATTGACAAATCTACCAGGGAAACACAATCAGATTAAATGTGTTTTTTTGGATAGGTAAATGGGGCCATCTTCCATAACGGAATTGCAATTCCCATAATCCTTGCGGATGGCATCACAACATTGTAAAACATGTTGTAGTTCATTTTGTTGCTATGTTGAACCCGTGGTTGGTAATGGCATGACCCGTGTTCAAAACCTCTGTTGATTGATGGTTAGATTGTGTTAAATATTTTTTGGTGATTGTAGTGACACAATAGGAAAACCCTCTTAATAACTAACAAGTATAATGAAAACACCAAAATGGTCAAATTACTAAATCTACCAGGGAGACAATATAGTATATAAGTTGTAGGTTGTTTGTGGTTTTGGCCTTAAGAAAATTGCGGGAACAAGATTATGTTAAATTGTGGGTGTTTTGTGGTAATGACATGAGCCCTCTTCAAAATCACTATTGGTTGATGATTATAAGGGATTATAATAGCCAATATTTGAGTGATGGGGAAAATCACCAAATCTTTCAGGGAAATAAAACTATATTAAATCACCGCCTCTACCAGGGGAGCCCCCCATGTACTTATATAAATTTAATATATATATATACAACCCTTTAGACTACATGTGTTTGTTTGAACAAATAAATGAATATATATATATATATCATACACATATATGTATGTAATATGTATGATTACACACATATATATATAGTGCGTGTTTTTTTGGCTGACACTAGCGCTACCTCAAGTACAGAGGTTTTTGGAGAAGTCAATCATTGCCAAATGGCAGAGAAACAAAGGCTACCATGGTGCTTGACTTTGGGAGGTCTTAGATTTGCAAGTTAAAGGTTTCTGGAGAAGTCAATGAACCTTTCAAAATGGCAGAGATGCAAAGGCAACCATGCTTTGACTTTGCAAGGTCTTAACTTAGCAAGTTAACACAACCACGGGTCTGCGGATACCAAGTTTACATAGCCACGGGAGTGCAGGCCACCGTGGCTATGTTAGCTCGGCGGGCAACAAGTAACTTTGAACTTAGATCCTCCTGGAACATCCGAAGAAACGATTTCAAGGAAATCCAAAGTCGGTCAAACTCTCTGACATGTTTCAACACCTTTTCACGTGCACTGGGGTTTTTCATGTTGATATACGTCCATGGTGTACCCCCCGTGCACGGTAGGCTGATCCATATAAATGGTTTCACATCACCTTTGAAAGAGTTGACGTACTCTGCAATCCTCATTTGGTTTTCGACTTCGTTAAGATCAAATTCTTCAGTGAACTGTAGTACTTCACAACCTTCAGACCACTTTCGGTTGGTTTGGCTGAGTTTGGACTCTGGATGACAGCAAACTTCAACGATCAGTCTCTTGGTATCAGACTTGGCAGCGGGTCCCCCCGTGCTTGGTGCAGCAATAACTGGAGGTGTGATGGCCTCCGACGCCGACGCCAAAGCTTTCTGTGGGGTAACCTTCTTGGTGGGGGTCAATGCAAGAAGTTTGACAGCTAGTTTCCATTTCTCTGCATTAACAAATGGTTTCGTGAGAATGTCTGCAGCTTGAAGCATGCTTGGACCATGGACTAGCTTATACCACCTTCTTTTAAACTGTTCCTCCAGCCAAGATAGGTTAACTCGCTGTGTTTTGTCTGTATGCCGGAAAGTGGGTGATTTTCCGTTCTCAAGGATTCTAATGGTGGCCTGATTGTCCTCTACAAAAACGCCTTTTATTGACCGTGGGGAAAACATTGAGATCATACATTCTCCCTCTTTCTCACGTCCTACGAACTCGTAGTCGGTGATGGCTTCACGGATTTCGACCGATTCGATGTTGTAGTCGGACTCGTAGGGACCATAGACCCTGAAGAAAGTCTTGCCGATCCACTCCCCGTTGATCGGGTAGTCAACTTTGACCTTCCAATTGTCCTGCATGAAGTCAACCATTCCGTCCTTTAGCATCACGGTGGTTCGAGCACATCCGATACGCTTAAGGTTAATGGGTGACTTGGACATGTCAATGGGTGTGAACAAATGTGACCTTGGTTTTGTGTGGACTCGGACGAGCAATCTTCTACTTCTCATGAATTGCCAGTATTCCCCATTGGATTCTTTTTGGGTTTCAATGTCATGCCTTGGCAAACCTCCCGGTATGCTGTCTTTCGGTGCTCTCTCCCCCCCCGCGTTCTGGAGGTATGCCCACAAACCGGAGGAAGGTAGACCGACAGCTCTGAGGGATACGTTTGCACTGACAACTTCACTTTCGGTGCTTGACATTGCAACGGCAGTTTGTTTCTTACTGAATGCTGTGAGCGGGAAGTAGGTGTTGGGTCCAACTAGAACTAACAAACAACCACTGGTGGATCGATTGTCGTACTCCCCTGCATGGTCTGCGTCAGCAAACAGCCAAAGCCTACATTCACTGACCTTGTCCCCTATGAAAGCCCTTTGCTTGTGATCCAGGGTGGAATTAATGTAACAAATAAGTCTGTGCAGTGCCTTATCGCATTCTGCACTCCATTTTGTCACACGAGCTGCTAGGCCTTGGACGGCGCGCAGCAAGTCGAATCGTGCCATCCTGGCTGCAAATAGCACTTTCATAAGGACCCTTGCGGCTATTGGAGCCAATACGCCTTTGGTTTCCTTCTCATCGGCAATGGGCCGTGGAATTCTTTCTTCATGAAATGGTGTGGAAACTTGTTTCAAAGGCTTGGCATCCCTGCCAGCAAGTGAAATGTAACGTTCAACACATGATTTGAGGAAAGGCTCCATATCATATGTGAATGTAGTCACAGGCTTTTGCATGCAGGGTTGGTTTTCATACAGTTGGTCCATATAGGAAAACCCTTCCGCTCTAGCTTTCTTTTTGGCTCCGGACTTGTCCCTCTTGATGGTGGCCATGGCAGCCTTTGGATCTTTGCATGATGTTGGGAAGAAGTATGTCGTGCCAACCCATGAATCATTAAGACTACCCCCTTTGTTCACGTTGGATCCAATTCCAATAGTGTCCCATTGCTCAACTTCATTTCCATTGTTGTTACATGGGATTGCATTCGTGAATCTAAATGGGGCTAGTTGGCATGACTTAACCACTTCTTCATCGGGCAAAAATAGTTTCTTCCTTGGCTGCATATGGTGTCTCATGTAGACATCGTTGACGGTGTCGAGCTCCCAGAAATCCTGAGTCCTGTGGCACGCGGCGGCGGCAGGCGCGGCCGGATCGGCCAGTGACTTGTCAAAGACATGAGCATAAGGGTGATCCTCGACCTTGAGCTTTACGTTGTGTTGAGCTACATGGTCGCATCCAAGATATCTATTGGCTTCCCCGGGAGTGTCCATGTCAATCTTTGATGCAATCAAACTCCATCCCTTTGACATGTTTTCTTTGGGACCGGACATCTTAAAATCGTCAACATACACGACAAGCAACAATTTGAGCTCTGGATGGAAAAACACCGAAGGCCACCCTTCCGGGTCTGGCATGATAAAGCCCACTAGTTTCAACATGGCTTCACAGTACTGTTCCCAGAGTCCCCCCGAGTCGGGGTGACCGTAAAGAGCGATGCGAAGCAATACAACTGGTCTAATGAACTTACCATGCCACTCTTTGGGCCATCGATCGGGTGGCAATTCCACCCACGTCTCCACGCCCTTCCATAAGGCTTGAGTGTAAGCTTGTACTCCGTCATTTTGTTGGGTTATGAATCCCGGTTGAGCTCCGTAGGCATCTACTGCTTTGCCAGCTTCCATGGTGGCAGGCGAAGATCCTAATTCCGAGAACAGGGCAACATCGGCACTTTCGTCCTTTACATTGTTGCCTTGAAATACTGTTCTTCCTTTGAATTTTCGGAGTTTATCTCCTTCGGGTAATTCACTTCCCTTTTCAACGCAAATCTCAAAGACCTTTCCTACATGGACCTTCTTCCCAGTCTTCTTGGCTTTGTCGGCAATGACCTTCCATTCGGCCACTGTTTCATATTGCCAGGCCTTCTTCTTTACCAGTTTGTCCCACTCTACATCTAAGGCTTGCTGGGCTTTGGGATTGGCTCTGATTTCCTTTTTCCCCACTGGCCTAGCCACCAAAGTGTTAACGGCTTTCTCCCCAGATTGGATTCCAAGCCTAATACACTTAACTCGATGCTTTTGAGGGTTCATCTGGCAAACAGGCATAGCTGGGATGAATTCGTAGGATAAACTTTCTTCCAATTCATTCGGTGATTCCTTGAGAGTTCCGATCATGGGTACAGCTTTCACCCTTCTGGCGCGTTTCTTTTCCTTTTCTTCCAGGGCCAATTTCCGTTGCTCATCTGCAATCGATGCTCTTCTTTCTTTCTGAGACATTGCTTGCCATACAAATGGAGGGATGTCCTTTGGCTTACTTGAATTCTTGTACTTTCTTGCTTTAAACCCACCTGCGTCATAGAATGAGGGGTCATTAGTTCTGATTCTCTCAAGTTCCCCTGTGATCGGATTGATTACCTCGACTTCGGCCTCAGGTACAGCTCCTCTGACGGGCTCGTCCACACGGCTCCTCAGGTCGATCGGTTCTTTTGAGAATATTGTGACAATTACCTCATGAACTTCAATGTCCTTTTCAAGATCTTCGACCGGAGGATCAATCTTCAAGTTTTCTTCGTGGACATGCCATGATTCATCATCTTTAATGCATGTTGTTCGAAAAGGAAAGTCGATTGCATCAAAGTCGGGAGATGGACCTATACACTGATTGTCGATGATCCGAACATTCACTTTGCAATTGGCATATTCGTACCATGCTTCCTTGTGGTCAACATGCTTGAAGAATTCCAACCATCCCTGGTGATAAACGGCGGATGCACTGGATTGTTGTGCAGGCTGTCCAGCTTCAATGTCAGTGATTGATCTTTTGACTGGGCCTGGCTCCCGCACAGGCTGAGCATCTTGCTCCTCCGGTGGCGGTAATGCATCCTGCTCATCACACAGCTGGTTTGGTTTCAAGCTACCGTCTCGGATGGCATCGGCACGTTTGCGACAGGGAAACTCAATCTTCTCAGGTACAGAGACCTTTAACACCCTCAATACAGTGACGGATTGGTCAAAATCTGCATCATTGATTTGTTTTAGAGAAGCTACTGCAAATTCATTTCTCCAATGGAAGCCGGGATGGATTACATACCCTAGGAAGATACCAGGTTCAGTGGTCGGTTCGAACTTCATCTGTTTCTTTGGCTTCTTCCGAGGTCCAGTCCAATAGTCTACCTTACATCCAAACGGGATAAGTGGTCCTTCGAAGTCTGTCCCAAACCTCAGTTTCCATGGTGTGTCCTTTCCAGTCCCATCTGGTGCAGTGTCATGCATGATGCACCAATGTCTGGCAGCATAAGGCCAATATCCGTGGTGAAGTCCAGCTTGAAGTAAATTAGCACGCGTTCCTTCCAACGTTGATCGCACGGCTCGTTCGGCAATGGCATTGGATGTTGAAATGTAATCTTTACTGATTTGATGCCTGATCTTCATAGCTCTCATAGTTGCTACAATTTCAGGGGCATTATCACTGTAAAAGATTCTAATTTTCTCCAAGTCATCAACGAAATGTTTCATTGCCAGAGTGGTGTTGGAAGTGTCACGGCGTGCAACGGGGTAAACATATCGAAAATCAGTGGCAACATCCTTAAATACCATTGCGACCCTATCTCCATCAACACCAGTTTCCGGATCCGATTTGGCAATAAGGTAGTCACCTGTGACATGATCCCCAAACTTCTTTGCATCGACCATGGATGATCCTCCTTTAGAGTAACCGGGTGGCTTGTACATCTTGGCCTTTGTACAGACATCACAGTATGGATTCTTGGGAATATGGGTAATCATGTGTCGTTTGCTCTTAGCTTCAGCCTTGAGTGCGGCCTTACCCCTCTCCCTACGTCTTTCCATTTCCGGGTCACGACGGACTTCATCCCTTGAATCATCAACGTCATCAGGCTGGACCTCCCGGTCAGCTGGTGCAATGCCTTCTTCATCGGAGGGCGCATCAGCACCGGGATCGCCTGAGATGTCGGGTACAAGGTCATCGTCAAGCTTTGATGAATTACCACCTACGACTGCAGGTTCGTCATCTTCATATTCTTCGTCGTAAAGATCTGGTGACGGGGGAGAATCCTCCTCTTCTATTAAGCCTGACTCGGACCCTGATGAACTAGCCATCACTTTAACTCTCTTCATGGGAGAACCATTATTTCTGGATTTTGCCACTGTGGACACACTTGGTTGATTTGATTTGGAACATAGATATGGGACATAGTCTCTGACTTCAAGTTCAATGACCTTCCCATCAGGTGAAACTAATTTCGGCTTCTCATTCTTGGAGCCCCTCCACACGAAGTCAAACCCATCCTCAACGCACCTGAGACCAACTGATAAAACAGGAGGTGAACTTTGCACTAGGTACGGTGATACTGTAGCATTGAGCTCTGGGACTTTCACCTTGCCCTGCTTCATAGATGAACTTTCCCCATTTGCAGTGATGAGACGGATTGGATTATCGGAAAAATAACCATAATGGTCCGGCACATGGTGATCAGTGAGTAAATCTTGTGCACTACCGGTATCAACAATCCAATCGATAGAGGCTTCGAAACATCCATCAACGTACTCCTCGGATTTGGCAGGCATTGCAACTATTTCCTTTGGAATACAGTGATCACAACCAAACATGGTGTCACATTCATAGTTGCATTTGCAGACATTGTTCATTAACGAATTCTTGACTGCTCCTGCCAACATGTTCGCCGACAAACATGCGTCCTCTACGTCTCTTCGGTCAAAATCAAATGGATAGTTGATAGGAAAAGTTTTCTTGTATCTCCTTGAAGCTGGGTTGATAGGCTCAAGGTCCCCCTTGGCAATGACTTGATACACATCGTGATTAGTGTCGAATGTCACTGCTGGGCAACTGATCACGTCAATGGGTGGCATCAGGCATGCATTGGACACGGATGCTAACATCGAGGCAATCAGGCAGACGGCTGCTGGGGAAGCTTTGGGAGTGTCAGGCTTGCCTCTATTCCCCTTTGGGGAGCGGCTATTCCTGGGACTCCTTGATCCCTTCTGCTTTGGCGAGCGGTCCCTGCCTTTTCCTGGACTTCTGCTGTTCCTCCGTCTGGATCCTTTCGAGTCATTGGACGAAGGCCTGGCAGGAGTGGCAGCACGAGGAGACTTGATTTGCTTACCCTCGTGACTGAACCTACAGTCATTGCCTCTGTTGCATCTTCCCTGTTTCCAAAACTTGCACGGCTGTTTCTTCTTGCTCTTGTCATTCTTACCCCTTGACGACGATCTGCCACGGTCGGATGAGGGTCGTGATTGACTTCTGTCTTTCTTTGGTGGAGACTTTTCATGTTTGAATGGGCAGGCATCATTCGTGCAGGTCCCTTTATTCCATTTGACACAGTATCCCTTTGGAATGTACCCAGTCTTCTCACCCACAGCCGGAGCTGCGCTGGACGACGAGGCACCGAGGGTCCTGGCAACTCGTTCACGATTGGATTCGAGTCGCTCCCTATCCAAGTAGCGGCGAACTGCTGTCACTAGGAAATCGTAGGACTTCTTTTCGGTTCCATCCTCAGCACGATGATATTCCTGCAAGTCGTGTGCTATTGCTTTACTGGTTTTGACTTGGTTAAAGAACAGAGTCTCCAGAATGCTAATCTCAGGAATCTTGGGAATACCAGCCATCACTTGATCCCAATTGCTGATAAATCCGCGTAGGTTGTCACCCTTAAGTTTGACACTGAACAAATCCTGTAGTGAGTAGGTCGCCCCATGCTTGATGTTTGTACTGAAATGTTCATGCATCATAAACAGTACTTGACGGCCCCTCACGTAACGATGATTTGTTGCTTCTGTCTCTTTGTAAGTGTCAACCTTTCTTGCAAAATCACCTGTGAGAATATTGGTGAGCGCGGACAGTAACTTGGCATCCAGTGTGGTGAACTTGCCTACTTCACGGAGAGTTCCAATTGTTTGGCCTTCTTTCCAGGTCTCACTTATCCAATCAAATGCTTTATCAGGGTCAGTAGACGCTGACATTACAGCTTCCCTTGTGCGAATCCTCCAATTTCTGTATGACTCCGCATGGGGAAAAGCTGGAACTTTCACAGTGTCGGCTTCTTTGACCTTGTTCTTTTCATGTGACTGATCCCTGGAACTGCCGAACATGGCTCTCATGCGACGGATGAATCGATGGTCACTATCATCAGAGTTGTACCCATCCCCGTCTCCATCATCATCATCACCGTCCCCAGGCCCACCTCCCGGTGGGCGTCGGCTCCCCGGAGGGGGCTTCTTCCCACGATTGTCCTTACCACGCCTGCTGTCGCGATCTGCCTGTGAGTCCTTGTCATCATCTGGAGGGTCAGGTCCTGGTGGCTTTCCACCGGCATCCGATGGTGCAACACTTGTTGGGGGATACGTTGGGGACCTAAGACCGGTTATCTCAGAGACAGGATCCTTATTATCCACTGGTGCATTTCCTTCCGGGTCAAGCATTTCCCATATATCTTGGTTGGGTTCCGCTGGTTTGGGTGCACTTGCTGACGCAAATGACGGCAACGGTGCTGAGTACTTGACCTCAGTGGACGGCGGTATGACGGCAGTGGCGGTTTGGACAATTGGAATCGGCATTGGGCCTATTGTGTCAAGGAGTTTACTCATCCTCATGTTCATGGATTCGGTTTGCAACTGTTGGGCCTTTATTTGCTCACTTTGTTGCTTGATGATGGATTCAAGTTGGGACATCTGCATCTTACGGTGTTCATCCTGGCGTTCATAATGATCCCTGAGCGATTGGAATTGTTGTTCCTTCGTTGCATTCGACTGTCTGGCATTTCCGTCTAAAACCCTTTTGTACATTTCCCCTTGTTGAGCCAGTTCTTCACGGAATTGATTCTCCCGACTCTCTGCGAGCAACATCATCTGTTGCATCCGGGCACTCGCAGCTTGTTCTTCTGCATGGAACCTGCCACTCATTTCGGACACCATCGATTGCATCATGCTCTCTGTGTTGGCCATGGCCTCTCGATGGCGTACCTCAGCAACCTGCTCAACCATCTGTGTAATTGCAGGGTCATGTGCGTTCACGTACACTTCGTTCTTTTGGACTTGCTGAAGGTTCATGGTGTTGTTTACTTCGGTCATCTCATGATGGTGAACCTCAAGCTTGTTCGACTGTACATGATGTGAGCCGGCAGGCATGCCCTCCCGGGATGCGTGATAATCATAGCCACGGTGCGAAAACCTTGGTGCTCCACTCTGGGGCATAACAGCGCCTGGTGGGAGCGGGGCTCTGACTTCACGTTTGTCACTCCGAGAGCGTTCCGAAGGAGTCTGAGAGGTAATGTGACTCGTCGTGTCAACTTCAGTCTGGCGATCGTCTGCATCCCGAATAGCCATGGCTTGCGGATTCCCGGAATTGCGCGGGCCCTCCGGAGATGGTTTTCCAGAGGGGGCAGACATTTAGTTACAAAAGGGAACGTATCCGGCGATACGGCTGATAACCTATTTATATAGGCAACACAGCCACGATCAACCAGGAAGCAACGCACTTATTTTTGTCTTGAGCCATAAAGTCAATGGTAAATAACATATGGACAACAGACACTACTTTACAGGGAGGTATGGGGAATACATTATAGTACTCCCGTAAAAACAGAAACAAATGAAACAATTTGCCCGTCCTTCAGGGGAGCACCGGTTCGAAGTTCCGGATACCATTCCGGGTTCTCCACCTACAGTAGACATCAGTAGACTACAAGCCCCATCAAGCCATCAAACAAGTTCAAACATCTTTTTGTGTCAAACCGTGCCTCTGTGACCAAGTGCTGCCCCAAAAAGTCAAAGAGTCTATCCTGCTATTCTGAGGTGCCAGCAATACCATGAAACGCTGCCCAGTGCACATCTTTCATGCACCTCAGCTTTGCAGTAAGCAATTGTACTGGACATCGGTTGCACTTCAAGGCACTAAACCTTTCAGCGTCGTGGCTTACACATGTAATCGTATGAATATGATGTCTATTATAGGTGCTCCTACATATACACAGTAATGTACATAATATACAGTACATACAAGATCAGATAAACTAAGCAGGATCTTAGTAACAAAGATTCCAAATGATTGTATTGTTAATATTGTTGAGAATCCCGTTTCATTCGGCTGGACTCTCTCTCTCTCTCTCCTTGCTTATACCAGATCTTAGACCCAGTTTGAGAGCAAAATCAGGTTAAAACCTGGGCATCTTCGCAGAGAAGGCTGGCAAACAAGGAGCTCCGCTCAGTTTTGTCAGACCGTGCATCATGCATTGCACTTCTCGCTGGGTCTGTCTGCCAAGTCGAAAATATCAACCTTTCTCCGCATTTTGCGGAAGATGTGCTGTAAGGACTGGCTGCATAATTTGGTGAGGCTCACGGATTCAGAGCCTGAAAAGTCCAGAAAAGACGGCCAAAGACGGCCAATGTCAAGCCAAGGTTTTGGGCATCTCTGACCACCAGTCTTTTCTTTTCCCTCTACCTTAAAACGACCCCAGGCTGATCAATACCAGCTGGAGGTTCTCGAAAACAGTGACCTGGCAGGGGCTGCTCAGGGACTACAGCTTGGCAGCGATTCATTCTGGAGTTGGGATGGTTTGGACAGCTTGACTCTGACTAGGCACTGTAATCAATTATTAGTTTTAATGACCGTATATTACAGTAAATAAACAAAGTCACCAACACTTGAGGTATCCAGGGGACCAAGCTTCAGATACCCATGCCACTGATCGACTATTAAATATTAGAGCCTCATATTTGGGGGGCAGTCAATTAATTCCTGTGCATGAAACCTGCGGGATTCTCGGGAGACGATGGGAGAACTATCAATACAGCAGAGCTCAGCATTGATTCTTCTTTCGAACTGTCCATCATATCACATCATCTGCATCCGGTTTCCATTTGCCTGGTGCATCCTGGCGCTCACGCCATGGCCAGTTCATCTTCTAAGAGCTGCATTGACTCGTAGAGCTTGTCCTCAGCAAGAAGCACCAGCTGAGTCTGTCGGCTAGTTTCAAGCCACATAGAAAGAAAAATGCATTCACTCTACATTCAGATATACATGGTCACGGTATGCAAAAATCGTCAAAAATCAATTCAGCTGATCAATGATGATCAATGTGTAAGGATCCCTGTAGGCACAGGTAGGAATCATGATTTCAACCAACCTTGTGTTGATCTAATAGTCTTATGATGATGTTGGTTTCAAGCCTCATTATATCTCATTATCCTCATTGATCTGAGTTGTCACAAAATACACCCAAAAAATCAAGCTCTATGGCAGGTTTCCACTTCGGAGGTCGCGGCCTCATACCCTTTCAAAGTATCCTCAGTGTGCTGTTTCAGGGAGCGCAAGAGATGCCATCTCGGGCCGAAGGGCTTGCAGCTGCATGTGGGCATGTCCCAAATTACCATAAATTACCTATACCTTAGGAGAAACCGACTATTTTAGATCAAGTAAGTCCACGTAATCCAAGAGCAGAAGTCATTGACTGCCCAAGTCGTCTAGGCGTCAACCTCCCTTTGCGGTCACCCCAATTGAGAAATACTACAATAACACAAAACTTGTACAGTTTTCATGTAACAACACCACTGCAACTATATTATATGCATTTTTAATTTATGATCATCTATATTATAATTATAATTAATCATAATTATTCTAAATAGAAATGCCGTGCCTTGGTACCCTTGGTGTGATGCCCCGTCAACTCTGCTTGGCAAAGCTCATCATTGTATTCTTCATTCAACGCTTCGCCAGCCTGATCAACGAATGGAACAACATGGAAAAATGAGGTTTTTTCCATCCTTTTCAGCCCGTGCACGGAGGAATCGAAAAGGCAACATCAGTTCTGTGAGTTCAATCAATGAGAGAAAAAACAATCGCAACCCAAGTGTACTTCAAAGGCAGCCGTTGACGTTGGCGTTGCCTTTTCAAGAGCTGCTTCCGCCTCTTCGATTTTGCGCATGACCTCAGCTCAATGGGAATTTCAGGATCCTAAAATAGAGGTACTGTACCGTATAAGGGCATATTTTGTGGGGATATTCCCTTACATAGGCCTTATATAGGTCTTGTATATGGTAGGCGCCTTGATTTTAGGTTCCTGAAATTCCTATTGATCAGCCGCCAGGTTGCAACCACAAACACAACTATGCAAATGCGTTGTTGAACAGAGAGTTGACACTCAAATGGGCAGGCAGAGTGTAGAAACATGTAGAAACATATCCCTAAATCAAAGAAATCACAACATAGGACTCAGCACATCAACAAAATATAAAAAACAAGTAGAAAATAGTAGAAACATTTTGTGTCAGTGGCTTGCATCAGAAACGAAGGGAGGAAACATGCAACTGAGACCCAGAGACAAGGAAGTGCGGAGACAAAACTATACATGATCCAGAGCCAAGGCAAACTATTTGCACGTCAACAAACGTACACATACCAACATTCTAATTCTAAACCTAAACGCACCCAAATACTTTGGATGACACATAGCGAAAAGAAGAAACGAGCAAAAGGTTGTAACACACTTAATTAACCCAAAAGAAACACAACAATCATCACAAAAGCAGGCAACACTGCAACACCAAACCAACACATATTACAACGAACTAAACAACAAAATTGCAGAACAACAAAGCGCGCATAATTCTGCATGACAGGCTGACACACTGCGGGGCATTGTAGCAAAACGTTGCAAAACCAGTATGTCAGGCCGTAGGACGAAACATCATGAAAACATAAGAAAAAATAAGTTGACAACTCCTATACATGCTCTTACTGTCGACTGACCCACATCAAGGCCGGCACGGTGGAGAGCTGTCGCTTGAGTTTGGCCTAACGCCGGCACAAAGTGTCCACTGAACCTAAAAAATCTAAGAATAGATCGTTAATAAGCCCTGGTGATCAGTCAGCGCTTCATAAGCCCCCATTGGCGGGTTACCTTTTGGGGCGGTTGATTGAACCCCATGATCAAAACAAGGTATACCGGTATACCGTGTCGGGGCCTTTTGGTGACGGAAGCGTGCTCCAACCAAAGTCGCTTTTGTAGCAAAATGTCGCGTGCCTATGCGTGCCTGCCTTGTGCTTAACACCGTGCCGTCCGGACATGCCTTCCCAAGTTGGCACCATGTTGGCGCTGAACCATCTGGTTTGGTTTACTGCCGCCCTGCATGTAGCTTGCGTGAGGGTCAGCCTTCTGTTGATTCGTGCTAGTAGGTGTGCAGCTGATTACTGCGTGCAAGCGACACCACCGCATCTTCCGGGCTGATGGCTGCAACTGCAAATGCGCAAGGTCATGCCGGACAGGCCAGGACAACCAGTGTAGAAACTATAGGAATAAGGGGTATTCATGGGGTATTCCTGATAAGCGGTTCTTGGCACTGAGCTATACAAGTAATTTCTATAGGAACACAGGCATTGTGGCGAACTTACGATTGTGTTGAAAACATGCCAGAAACAAGGCAACGTTGTCGTTACTGGCGCCGCGTTTTTTTGTCCTGCAGGATTTGACGCCTTCTGTTACAACGTTATCACATGTGGCGCATGACCTGAGGCACACCATTTGCCAGAGGTTGTGGAGATTGTTGCAGCGCCATTGCCACTGGTAAATCCAACTCCACAAGTCTCCATTCAAGAGTGTGGTCTTTGAACCCTTTGTACTGATCTGCTTGGGATTTCATTACTGATAGTAATCCCAACAACATGACGTGATGTGAAAGTGCAAGAAAACGCCCACTAGCATAGCATGACGTGATGTGAAAGTGCAAGAAAAAGTCCAGTAATGTAGTAGAGGTGATGGTGCAAGTGCAAGAAAACTTCCAGTAACGTAGCGTGACGTGATGGTGCAAGTGCAAGAGAACGTCCAGTAGCGTAGCGTGACGTGATGGTGCAAGTGCAAGATAACGTCCAGTAGAATGGCATGACATGATGTGATGAAAGTGCAAGAAAACTTCCAGTAACGTAGCGTGACGTGATGGTGCAAGTGCAAGAGAACGTCCAGTAGCGTAGCATGGCGTGATGGTGCAAGTGCAAGAAAACTTCCAGTAATGTAGTAGAGGTGATGGTGCAAGTGCAAGATAACGTCCAGTAGAATGGCATGACATGATGGTGAAAGTGCAAGAAAACTTCCAGTAATGTAGTAGAGGTGATGGTGCAAGTGCAAGAGAACGTCCAGTAGAATGGCATGACATGATGGTGAAAGTGCAAGAAAACTTCCAGTAACGTAGCGTGACGTGATGGTGCAAGTGCAAGAGAACGTCCAGTATTGTAGCATGACCTACGGTGCAAGTGCAATTAATTAAACGCTATTGCCACACCCCACCCCACCCCACATATATCATATCAAAATCATCGTTTTCTCCCACGCTGGTAACACGGGGGTTAGCAACGACAACTGAAGTAAAATCAGGGACAAACCTCACCAGGTAAAAACCAAAGGAAGCGTGTTGCCCCCAAGAAGTTGGCTGCTGGGCTCCAGCCACCACTCTTATAGCAAAACGTCGCGTGCGTCGCGTGCCTACCTTGTGCTCAACACCCTGCCATCCGGACATGCCTTCCCAAGTTGGCACCATGTCTTGGCATGATCGAATTCATTGCTCAAGCCAAGAGAAACAGAAGTGTAGTGACATCACAATCTGCACAAACGCTTGCCAACACGCATATATATATATATGTGTGTGTGCGTGTGTGTGTGTGTGCGCGTGTATGATTATATAATATATGTGTGTATGTATAAATTGTGCATATCTTTGATTATATGTGTATCTACTGTATACATATATGTATACATATACATGTATATAATTGCGTGATATTGCGTGTATACCTTCTTCATGTAAATTATTGCTGATGCTCCATGAAATGCCGCAAGGATCCGCAAGGCCTACCTGAGGCCCCGCCACAGGAAGCAAATCTGCAACTGATTGTATCTTACTCTATGTGATATCTGTGCCTTTCTCTTGTTGACCGGGGCTCGTCCTTGAAGTGATGCTCCTTATTCTATGATTTCTATGTTATATGATAATTCAATGATAGTACATGCCAGATCTATATAATATCCCGATCTATGAAAAAGGCAAACGCAGATGCAAACGAGTGCCTTCATCCAACTTCTGAGAAGCAGCAAGGCACTACATGGTACTTACTACTACAAATTCAATTCAACTATCCACTATTGCACAGCTGATTGAGCCTTGTGTTTTCACACCAAACGTTACCCTTCTAGCCACTGTCCAAACAATGCAACCCAATTGCCTTGCTCGCGGAGGCTGCCTTTCTGGGTGGGCCTGCCACTCAGCCACTCATGGAGGCAAAGTATCAAAGCAGAACCGAGCAACTGGAACATAAGGTACAGATAGGTACAGTGTAAGGACTCAGAGAGGGCTTCACCCAATCAACATCGAAAAAGTTGCTCTCTAGGAGGGCTTGTTTGGCTCCAAGGCCATGAGCCTCCGTGCAGATTTTGCAATATGCAAACAACACGCAAGAATCCATTGCATCGTTGAGAACTCCTTGGCCAACAGTTTTCGGCTTGATGGAGCGAGCCCGTGACATGTGGCCGAGACTGCCCACTGAACCCTATGGATTGAAAGCAGTGAGCAACTTCTTATACAATTAATTCAGATTGCAACAATGACAATAATAGTCATTACAAAAGAAGCCACGGATTTCGTAAATGTACACTTTACATCACTTTACACGCTTTACATTTACATCACTTTGCACCAGCGGCTGTTGCGCCAGGAAGTGGAAAACAAGATAAAATGCGGCTTGAAAGGGCGCTCATGGATGCTCTGGATGCTCATGGTAAAATTTCTCGAGTCTTTCCGCCCTGGTTTTGCTGGTTTTGCTCTGCTGTGCACTGCTGGCATCCTGGAGTATTCGCCCAGGCCGGCCTTGACACCCATTCACACTCGGGGTTACATCCTTGGATGGTGTTGGCAAGGTCGCCATAGCAGCGTTGGCATTCAGGGATGTACTGCCAGGATGGGGATGCCACCCAATAGCACCAGCCTGCGCAAGTGACAGCTGGGTAGTTGTTACCCCACCCACCACTGCAAGCCGGGACATATTGCAATGAGCCGTAGGGAATCCACTGGCACCAGCTTGGGCTCGCAGACTTTGTCAAAACCGTTGATGCTCGAAGTGCAGCCTTTGGCTTTGGTGCTCGAACTGCAGCCTTTGCCTTTGATGGTTGCATAGCGTTTGACAACTCTTGTTCACAAGATGCGCAGTCTGGGGCGTACTGCCAAGCTGGTCGGGAAACATGTTGACACCAATTTGCACATGTATCGGAGGAGAAGGTGGAATTCAGGACACTGTTGGGATACAGCTCCGCGCATTTTCCGCACTGTGGAGTGGATTGCCAAGATGGAGCTGGCACCCACTCACACCAACTCACACATCCGAGAATTTGGTTGGAGTGTGAATACCCACTGCACTCACCAACGTACTGCAACGAGCCATCAGGCACCCACTTGCACCAATCCGGATTTGCCCTCGCCGTCTGGAGCCCAAGAAAGAGTACAACCGAGAGCATCTGTGCCATGGTGCGAGTGTCAAGGGATGAAGGCAAGACTACAACACAAATGGCTGCAAATTGAGCCATGAAGGAGTCAGCAGGAAAAGCCGGAAAAGCACATAAATCATCATAAACACATCCATGCTCTGACAATCTCTGAAATATCTGAAATCTGAAATCTAGCGGGATGCGGTAGAATGTAAAATTTCAGCAAGTTGCCGTGCATTTGCAACTGATGGCTTTGATTGGAAGCAGCCTGGCACAACTGCGGCAGCAACGGCTTCCGTTGCGTGGGGTGTGGCGCTGGCAACATCTTCCACTTTGGGCTGGCTTCCCAGTGTTCGCCTGGGAAAATGCAAATGCGACAACGGGTTGCTCATGTGGCACTATAGCTAAACCTCAGGAGTAGCGATATATCATATAATAATTAAGAAATATTAAGAATATTTAATAATTGTGCAGTCAAAAGGCTCATACGGGCCGCTGTCAACCTCAATGGGCAGGGAAATTGATGTTGCAGAAACTGACCAGTGCTGCAAAATCAGTCGTCAAAGGGACCACGAACCTCAACTTAGTCAAAAGTCACAAACCACTGGAAACCACAAAACGGACCAAAACGGTCTGTGACCATGTCAATACTTCTTCTTAAAAAACCTGAAAGATCCGAAGTGAACGTAAACAAAGCTTGTCATCACATTTGTGCATTTTTTTGCATGCTAATGCAGCCAAGGTCACTCTTAAGTGCCCCGGTTCTCCTACGCTACCACGAACGACATTTATTTTGTCGGTCACTTGCAAGGCTTCTAGAAACGCTTTGTCGTGAGATGCGACCAAAACCTCAGCATTCTGCATGGTGACGAGAAGTGACGGCACTGGCTTCCCTATTATGCTTCCCTTCCTATATCTTCCTATATCTTCCTATCCCTTATCTATCCTTCCTTCAGTGTTAAGTTTGCTCACTGCGGTCTCTTCTCACCTCGTGCATCACAGCACAAGATCTTGCATCCTGGAGACCACTCCGTTGTGTTCCCGGAGGCCTGCACATAGAGAGGCCACTGCCGCACCGTCCAAGTGATTCGTCGGCTCATCCTCCGGAGGCATCCGGGATCGAAAAGAACATCGTCTCTGGAGAGTTCTGGAGAGGATTTCCCTGGATTTCCCTATTGTCGATCTATTTGGATCTACTTGGCACATCTCAGCACCTAGTTGACAATGTAGCACCGCACATCAGTCCAGCAAAAGGATGTCGGCGGGTCGTGTTGCAAACACTGCCAGCGCCACCCGAGCTTTCCTTACTGCGGCGTGACACAGGCAATCAAGTACCATATAGTACCATAGTGCCCTCTCCACTCTTCAAGAATGCCATTCTACACAAATCTATGTGGATTGTGGATGTATTGCTTGGCACGGCTAATGTGTCATGCTTCAGCCATCTCCGCAAAAACTGATTGAAACATGACACAAACGTTTCAAACCGCTAACAAGATGCTCACCACCGCTCAGTGTGCCGATCTTGGCCTTGTGGCAGGCACCTCGCAGCCCTAAGGCCCCTAGCCTCGGTAGCCAAGCTTGCGCCTGCTGCAAAATTGGGCTGAGATGGGCTTAGTACTGGGACCACTGGGAACCAAACGCTTTCCGTGCACCCTCTTCATCCAGCATGATGGGAGCATCGTCTGCCAGAACATGCTCTATAGGAGTGATGTCGCTGGGTAGGTCCTGGCTTCAAAATCTTAGGAGGACAAACTATGGACTTCCCGAGCTCACACTTGATGACTTTTAACGATACCAAAGTTCACAAAGGATGCTGCTCTCTTTCCGTGCACTGCCAACAGCAAAAGCGGGCCTGTGCCAAGTCTTGAGTAAAAAAGGCAACCCTTGCTCTTCGAAGATTTCCAACACCCAGAATCCGCGCACCAGCACGCACCTGTCATGTCAACTCTCTCTCTCTCTCTCTGTGTCTCTCTCTCTCTCTCCCTCTCTCTCGATTGCCATCATGTCAACTACTTCTTGTAGTTTACCCCCGAGGGCAGTCGGTGAGGACGTCCCAGTCGAGTCCGGATGATGCCAGTTTCCCACGCCTCCAGTTGACCCGCTAAGGTCTTGAGCAAGGTGGTCTTGCCACAGCCATTAGGCCCCAGTAAGGCACAGCACTGCCCTTGTTGAAGCACAAGCTCCTGATAATAAGTCCAAGCAAGTCCAAGCTGAATGGTTCAAGCCCGGTCCCCAAGAGTCATGACTGTGATAGGACAGAAGTCCAAAGGGAGTCCAAAGGGAGTCCAAAGTACAAAAACAGAGTGAGTGAGAGAGGAAGTTCGGAAGCTCTGACTCTATGTCCCCTTCATCCAGCAGCCCCTCAAAGTCTGCCCAGCAAGTCCAAGGAGCAAGTCATGGACAGTATGGCATCTGATCTGATGTGGACCCCTGTATATATATATATTACAATTAATGTGGACTTTATACGGTTCTTATGGTTCTTTCTACTTCCACCTCAAGCATACCCAAACAATGTCCAATTCTGGTGTCCTCCACCCTGAGGACAGGTTCACCAGTCTTGTAGCCAATATCTGCATCCTTACCGTGGTGCGCATGTCATGTTGACTGCATGGGCGGGTTGGGCTGGAGTGCAAGTGCATTTACCGCCGAGAAGCTTTCAGTCTCAGAAGTTTACCATCCAAAGGCGGAGACGCACTCAATGGCCACTCCGGGAGTTGAAATTTAACCCTTCCAGGACCAGACAGAGGAAGCAAGCCGTCTGTCAGATCAACTTCTTCTTCCTCGTCACCTGCAGTGTCTTTTACCCAAATTGTTGTGGGAGACTTCAGCCACAGCCAAAGACAGCAAATTCATGCAAATTCCTCCAACAATGCTCTGGCTCGTTTAAGGGAGACTCTAAAGCATTCTGGTGAACAAGAGAGGCGACTTGCAGCGACTTTTCCAGTGTCACGCGTTAACCCAACTTCATGTTTCCTTGATTTTCCTTCGGGTCTTTCCAGAAAACTCAAAAAAGAAACGCAGGAAGATGCCAAGAATCGATGCAGTCCTACGCAAAAAGAACAAACCGCTTAAAACGGAGGAGGCAGCGTGACAAGCTCATGGCAAATCATGGTGCCTTCAGCTGTCCGCTTGTTCTTCCCATCCAAGATTGCTGTTGAAGGTAGGCCTGACACTTCAAGACACAGGCGCCCATGCTGCTTCTATTACCGGATAAACTCTATAAGAAACAAGGCAGCAAGGCATGACTTTGAGGCCAGCTATTCCAAAATGTGTCATAAGGAACTGTTTCAATAGGATGCCAACACACAGATATATATATATAGTATATTCATGCCCTTGGTGAGTGTGTGTGTGTGTGCGCGTCGTGCGTGATATGGTCACAGATCTATAATTTCTGTCTCTCTCTCTCTATATATATATACATGCATGTGAAGACTATACCAAATATCTCTAATCTAATCTAATCTATATATAATCAAATCTAATCTATCCTATCCTATCCGTCTATCTCTCTATCTCTCTGTCTAATCTATCTCGTCTATCTCATCTATCTGTCTGTCTGTCTGTCTGTCTGTCTGTCTGTCTGTCTGCGCCTCCGTGGGTCCAATGGTTTTGTAACATGGTTTAACAATGTTTAACATGGTTTAATTGTCTGTGCCGCCTGTGCCGCCATTGCTCATCTTACTGGGGGTAGCAGCTCGGGGCACCTCGCGTCTGGGCACGTAGATCCGCTAGTCGGATCTGCGCTTTCGCAATCTTCTTCTTGCGCGCTTGTGCCTCAACTCTGGAAATAAAATCGGATCCAGTCTGATCCTGAAAATTGCATCGCGCTACATGTGCTGTAGCAGGGCCTGGGCTGCATGGCTCGCCTTCGCACCAAATCTGCCCAGAAGATGCGCAGTCAAAAGCCATGGCTGTGATGGGTTGCATGCTGCTGAGATTCTTCATCCATCGTACACCCTAGACTTTGGAAATCACCCAGAACAACGACACTTTACTTGACTAGCATAGCGCTTGCCTTTTCCAAGTGGACTTTTGTTACAAAAGACAACCCTGAAGCTCCATGAAAATGTGTGCCCAGCCTTGCCACATAGTCCTCATCATGTGCTATGGTTCTCTGAAGCTTCTCCATCTCCTTTTGCAAATTGGCTAACCTGATTTTCCTGTCCTTCTCCCAATCCTTGCAAATGCAAAATGAATCAAACATGGGAAATCCAACACAGCAGTGCAAAAGGATCCGAAAGCACAACAAATACCGCCTTGTCACCAGCTTCAGTTCAGCATCACTTCAGGAAGGACATGGAAGGACACACATAGATAGAAATAGCATGGTCAACATGTGAGGAGAGCTGCAAGGCAAGACACAGCAATCCCTGAAACATCGTAGCGCAGGACTCTCCTCTCCTGGTGCCCACCGCTACACATAATGACAGGAGTCTGTCACAGTGGCTTCACTGGCAGGTGCTCAAGCCAACACCTCCCTTCTGCAAGATAAAGCCAGGCCGCAGAAATCTCGAAGACTTGGGAACAGTGCAGTTCATCCAAAAGCGCCCGATCATGCGTGACCAGCAGCAAAGTGCCTTACGAATCGAAACAAATGAGCTGACAGACCCTATGATACCATCTGAACGCCATTTAGGTTGCAAGCGGGCATCTGACTTCAAAGGTCGGGAAATCTCAATGTCTAGCATGAAAGTCAATCTTGTTGTCTTCGAACTTTAAGTTTCCTTTTAAGCACGCTATGTTGAGTGAATGCGCCGCCGCACTTGCGTGGGCAAGTGCACAGGGCGCAAGAACCGAACCGAACAGAACAGAACAGAACATTCTTCTTGCCAGCAGGTCACTCGACGTTGACAAACCTGCCCGCACCCGTGAAAAAAAAGGCGCTGTGCAAATCTACAGTACTGACATGTACAAAATGTATCACAATGTCAGGGTATGTCAGGGTGCTTCGATCTTCAAGATGTCAACAATATTTTCTCTTTGCCATTTGTAATCCATTTGTCCGTTCTTAAAACTCTGGGACTAACATTTTGTTTGAAAGAAGTGGATGAATCCAAGGAGCCACGGTGTGCGGCCACCAACATGTTGGGAATCGCTTTTCTGATCAATATCTCCCCGACTGAAGTCAACGGCACCCTATCCGATATATCACGATATATATATATAATGATATATCACTCAGGAAAAAGAACTACAGTAAGACCATGCAAGACCATGCAACTGCGAGAGGCCCCAGCTGCACCTTTGGCCAAATAGGATGCAAGCCATCCTTTTGCCGCTGCATCCATGTGGTTGGTAGGCTCATCCAAAAGCAAAAGTTGCGGTTCCTGTAGCAATGCTCGCGCCAAGGCAACCTCACCAAACGCGGAAAATATATGAAAATATGATGTATGTTCAAAATTGTTCAAAAGCTTTTCGTTCGGAGGCTTGGGAACTTTGATGCCTGCAAGAACCCCCCCAACGAAATTGTATACGTGTAAATAAAGAATCGCCATCCAGCCTTGATATGGCAAACTGCACGGCCATGGACCCAAACCTGGCCCAACTAAGCCCCCCGCACGCATCTGCCAGCCACCGCTGAGCTCTGAACACGACTTGTCGAAGTCCTTAGACCATCTTGGACCAAGTTTAGTCTTGAAGAACATGGTCACCTCGTGTCATTCTGACCCTTTTCAATTCACATAGAAGTCAGACTGTCCCCGTAGTGAAACAGTCTGCCCCTCTTAACTTTGCAACACTTGAAAGTGCGGTGACTGCACCTGCAGCAAATTGGAAACTGTCCAGTAGAAAATATTTGCATAAGAATGCAAAGGACATGATAAGGTTGTAGTTGGGCAAAGGCAGCCTCTGCCCCATAGTGACGCAACCTAGTACTTACTAAAGCTTCTGATAAGTTATCCTCATGAATTAGGGAGCCAATAAAGGCCAAGCATCTGCATCGGTGAAGCCCAAACCATTGAGAACACTTGCCACCTTGGCCTTCAATGCCCACCCACCAGCCGCTTCGAACTTGGCCACAGCCTCCGGCAAGTGTCGATCATGTACAGTAGACATGCAGCCGTTGAATAACGATAAGGAGCGTAAACAATTACAATAGATTACAATTACAATGCAAAGAACATCGATTCTCGGATATATTCGGATATTCTCGGCATGGTCTGATGCACCTCTTCATAAGCCGCCGTGAGTTTCTCTGCCATCTTCGTTCCCTTACTCTTTGCTTCTTCCAGCGCAGCCTGGGCCTCATCAAGAGCCTTCTTGGCGGCCATTGCCTTTGGTCATATCTGATCACACCGTGCAGATCCGTGCAGCACATACTGTGCAGATCTGTCTGCTCCAACAAAGCCAGAGCAAACAGCATCTGCAAAGCCGGAGCACCACAAAATACAAAATCATCAATGCTCTTGCAGAAAAAACAACCCCCGCAATATTTTCTGCCATTACATCTATGAGAGCACTCTGGTGTAGAAGCCTTGAGGATGCTTAAGTGTTTGTTGTTACTGGCGCATTTGCATAAATGATCTCATAAATGATATATAAATGCATATGCGGCATTTGCCTACGTAGATTCAATGCCAAGATGCTGGCATCTGCGACGCTGCTTCTGCATAGACAGTCTTCTTGGAGCCACTAATTGCTTCTTGTCTGAGCCATCCAATGGAGGAGGCATCAATATCCAAAAAGCCGCCTGCAGCTACGCACTTGCTCAGACACACAAATGCAAACAAAATCAATGTCGCATAACATCAACATAATGCAGTCCAGATTGACAACGGACGTGACAGCTTTTGCAGGCGGCACATGGCTGTAATCAAGGATAATCGAGGCCACTAGTTTCTAGTTGAAGCTGCGACTTTGGGAAACCTTTGGTGCCTCTTGCTTTAGTGCCTCTTGATGGCAGCCACGGCTCGTTCCATAACAAATGATCTGCACAGGCAGGCCTTCCACGGAATCACGATTGGCAATGGTCGTGAGCAGTGTTGTCTTGCCGCAGCCATTGGGTCCAACTATCACAGCACGAGCGCCAACAGGGACTTCAAAGTCCACATTGGACAGAATCTCCTGCATTGAACCAACTGCATCAAATTATATAGAATTAATTTGAATTATATATAATTACCACCATCAGACTCAAATCAAAGACATAGTGTCTATCGTAGTGTGCTGCCGTGTGCTGCCATGTGCTGCCACTTCAGGGTGCAGAATGTGATTGCATAGGAAAACGATGGAAAACACAGGCAATTAGGCGATGAATGCCTTGTTATGCCTTGTTATCTTTGTCAGGAAGTCTCCTCGCCAGCCCTTCGCACCGTGGCCTCATGCATCTGCACGATGGCTTGGCGAACCACCTGCGTCACATCGGCTCACAACACTGCGGGAGTCACATGGAGCCATGGCAACCATGGCAACTGTCGCTGCCTTTGCGACCTGCCGCGAGCTTCGTGTCCGGAACTGTCGCCTCGCTGCGGCGTAAGTACAGCCTGCTGCAGTTCCTTCACGCAAGATGGAGCGGGATCACTGATCTGATATCACTGATGAGATTCTGGAGAGCTATGTAGACCTGCAACTTCTGATATGCTGCAAGACTGCTGAATGTTGTCCGTAATACTTTGTGACAAGCATCCTGGCATTCACTTCCCCAGATCTCCAAAGATATCCAAAGATCTCCAAAGATCTCCAAAGATATCATGACAACCAGAAAATGTCAGACATTCCAAGATCCGAGAGATCATCGCCGGTCCCAACATCCCAACTCTGTCCTGCCACTGCCAAGCTCGTGGCACTTTGGCCAGCTCTGGTTAGAACTTCCCTCTGGCTGAGTAGTCTATGTCTCGGGGCTTGACCTTGTGGGTGGACCATGGTGGACACCAAACTGATGCAAGATAGAACAGATAGAGCATGATAGAGCCCTTCAAGATGCGAGTCGTCCGTTCGTCAGCCAAAAACTAAGAAGAATGCAATGCAAATCAATCTAAAGCAATTCAAACCAGATTAGCGGGTAATGTGAAATGCAACGCCCTTGCTGTCTGCTTACACTCTTGACAACCGCTGCACAAGTCAATGGCTCCTGATATCTCCCGATCAATGCTTGACAATGGTTGTACATGGTAATTTAAAAATAGAAACTGTGAGACTGTGAGGGTCTCTTTGCAAGAGAAGAGGATTACTGTAGTGGATTACTATGGATTACTTGCAAACGAGAGGCCTGAGCAGCCTGAGCTAACTGCTTGTCCAATTTGTCCATGGATCCACCCCAGCGGAAGTGGCCGAGAATCCAGCGCCCACTCCATGGGTGGCAATTGATCACTCTGAGTGCAAACTTTCAGCTGGTGAAAATTGTGCAACATGTTGGCTCAAGTACAAAATTGTACACACCTTCCAAATCCTCCAAATGCACAACAAAATTAACAAACACGTGTTTACGTTGACTCTTCTTCCATGCTTGCTGCATGTTGCTGCTCATACTGTACCTCCTGCACACCTGAACTCACACAATGCCAAGTCTGCGCAAAGCGAACTTGATGTGCCTTGATGTTTTTTTCCTTTTTTTTCAGGGAAAACATGGAAAAAGCGCATGAAAAGTCAAGCTGCTTCCAGCCGAAAAAGTATGATCTCTATTGACAGAATGTGCGCACTTGTTGATTGCAGTGTTTCAAGAATGTCTTGATTGTTGTCTGATGGACTGGAATTCTGACCTTCTAGTCTTTCTGATGAGCCGTCTCTGCTCGCGAGGTCACGGTCTTGTTCCTACACTAATGGGGCACATCGGGTACCATACAGAATGTCAAAAGCTGCTGTTGTATACGACAATCTAAGCTACTGACGGAAATGACTGGTCGAACTTGACGCAGGCCTGAAAACAAGAGTTTGACTGCAAAATCACCCTTCAAGGTTGTCTTTAATCCCCATGCTTAGCATAATAATATGTCGGAGTGATCGTCCATCTATTGTATTCTATTGCATTCTATTGTGCAAGTATCTACTGAATCTAGTGATATCCAGTGTGATGACGTGTGATGTATCTTGCAGCAGCACCTCTACACACCCTGAAGCTGTGCATCTTGCACAAGCACAGTCGGCTGAACGCTGTGTCACCCTCTCAGCTCTGTATTGCCACGTACCAGTATCTTCCGCCATCTCCCGTCCTGCCTCCTCGTGCTCCATACAAGGCCGCGGACAATCATACCTCACATAAGACGCGGCAGAATCCAATGCAAATTCATCGGTTGAAAAAAATCAGCCACACTAGAAGTAGGAAACTAAGCGTTCAAGCTCACATTGTTCCTTCATAATTCTTCGCCAATTGCTGGCTCGTGCTTAAATGCTGGGTGCCCAGCATCCCAACATTCCAGAAATAAGCCTGGCTTGGAGAACATGGAGACCATGGAAAGGCAGCAAGCTTCCGTCACGCTGCAAGTAAACTTATCATACCACACTGTCGGGGGCTAATCGGGGCATTACTATCAATTACCCGATATCTTTCAGATCTGCAGTAAGACCATCTGCCAGCCGCCGATCAATGCTCGGACATTTATATATAAACACCTATAACTAAAATTAAATATATAAATAAATATATAAATAAATATATATATATATAATTATATATATGTGTGTGTAATACACGTTAATACTTAATTCCTCCCACACAGCTGCCAATGTCCACGTGCTAAAATTTAACCCTGCAACATCCTGCAACTATAGAGTAACTATATAAGATGGCAATGATCGACCTCCAAATTTCGCAACATCTCGCAAGGATGTTTTTCCTCATGAGCAACGGACTCAATCAGCCGCTTCCTCAAGAATGCCTCAAACTGCACGACCAGGGGCGAAAAGATGCCGAGAGCATCTGGGAGCTCACTTCTTGATAGTGCCCTTCAGCTCCACAGTTCCCTCGTCGATCCCGTATTTCTTAATGACCTTGCGGTCATGAAGCATGTCGAACTCCTCAGTGGCGTCCTTGCCAGCAAACATCATGATGGACTTCTTCCCGCCAGGGTGCTCACCTGAAAGTCATCCAAGCTGGTCAACTCTGGTGCAAAACTGATGCAAAACTTGTAATTTTGTCGAATCTTTGCGTGTGCTTATGTATGCTTCCAGACCTACCTCTCTGAGCAATCAAACCCGCAGCATGTGGCAACAATTTGGCAAAATAATATTATATAAGTAATAAAGGAATGCGGACACGCTGACATGTCTCTTGCTACATCTCGCTACAATGTTTCACAGTTTCACCCTTTTTTCATATTGTTCAACAAGGAAAAAATAGAAAGCACCGCAAAAGAACAAAAGGACACAAAAGATGAAAACTAAGAAGTGGAAAAGAGATAAAAAGAGATGAAACAACTACTGAGTACTGGTTTCCAAAACAGGTGACTCAGGAAGTTGGTGACGTCAAGCACCTGGTCACCCACAATGACCCAGCAGTCCTTGTCGGTGTTGTGCTTGGCAACCTCCTCTGCGCTGACTGCAGGTCACCAAAATCGAGCTACAAACTTGTTGAGCCAAGATGATCAAAATGAGTCCGGAATTGCTGGTTCTGAAGGCACACCTTTTTCACACTGGGAACAGCAACTCAGAATATAAATCAACGGGGAGACATCTGCAAGGTACGCATGGCACCCTGAGAGTCTTGTGCCAATGAACTCAATACTCTCCAATGTTTCTCACTGGGCTGTGTGATGTGCACAACTTCAGAACTCCCTCAACAGCTCGCACAAACCCATGCAGAACCAGATATATGTCTGTAACCAATAAAAATTCTTATTGTGAAAACACCATTGTATAAATTACAATATATATATATATATATACATAAGTCCGAGTCGCCTATTGACTAGGCCTACTGATGAAGCTGTCTCAATCTCGCAAGGATGTTTTTCCTCATGAGCAACGGACTCAATCAGCCGCTTCCTCAAGAATGCCTCAAACTGGACGACCAGGGGCGAAAAGATGCCGAGAGCATCTGGGAGCTCACTTCTTGATAGTGCCCTTCAGCTCCACAGTTCCCTCGTCGATCCCGTATTTCTTAATGACCTTGCGGTCATGAAGCATGTCGAACTCCTCAGTGGCGTCCTTGCCAGCAAACATCATGATGGACTTCTTCCCGCCAGGGTGCTCACCTGAAAGTCATCCAAGCTGGTCAACTCTGGTGCAAAACTGATGCAAAACTTGTAATTTTGTCGAATCTTTGCGTGTGCTTATGTATGCTTCCAGACCTATATACCTCTCTGAGCAATCAAACCCGCAGCATGTGGCAACAATTTGGCAAAATAATATTATATAAGTAATAAAGGAATGCGGACACGCTGACATGTCTCTTGCTACATCTCGCTACAATGTTTCACAGTTTCACCCTTTTTGTTCATATTGTTCAACAAGGAAAAAATAGAAAGCACCGCAAAAGAACAAAAGGACACAAAAGATGAAAACTAAGAAGTGGAAAAGAGATAAAAAGAGATGAAACAACTACTGAGTACTGGTTTCCAAAACAGGTGACTCAGGAAGTTGGTGACGTCAAGCACCTGGTCACCCACAATGACCCAGCAGTCCTTGTCGGTGTTGTGCTTGGCAACCTCCTCTGCGCTGACTGACATGCTGACTCGAGTTGGCTGTGGAAAATCAGGTCACCAAAATCGAGCTACAAACTTGTTGAGCCAAGATGATCAAAATGAGTCCGGAATTGCTGGTTCTGAAGGCACACCTGTTTCACACTGGGAACAGCAACTCAGAATATATCAGAATCAACGGGGAGACATCTGCAAGGTACGCATGGCACCCTGAGAGTCTTGTGCCAATGAACTCAATACTCTCTAATGTTTCTCACTGGGCTGTGTGATGTGCACAACTTCAGAACTCCCTCAACAGCTCGCACAAACCCATGCAGAACCAGATATATGTCTGTAACCAATAAATATTCTTATTGTGAAAACACCATTGTATAAATTATAATAAACTATGTATATATATATATATGTATACATAAGTCCGAGTCGCCTATTGACTAGGCCTACTGATGAAGCTGTCTCAATCTCGCAAGGATGTTTTTCCTCATGAGCAACGGACTCAATCAGCCGCTTCCTCAAGAATGCCTCAAACTGGACGACCAGGGGCGAAAAGATGCCGAGAGCATCTGGGAGCTCACTTCTTGATAGTGCCCTTCAGCTCCACAGTTCCCTCGTCGATCCCGTATTTCTTAATGACCTTGCGGTCATGAAGCATGTCGAACTCCTCAGTGGCGTCCTTGCCAGCAAACATCATGATGGACTTCTTCCCGCCAGGGTGCTCACCTGAAAGTCATCCAAGCTGGTCAACTCTGGTGCAAAACTGATGCAAAACTTGTAATTTTGTCGAATCTTTGCGTGTGCTTATGTATGCTTCCAGACCTACCTCTCTGAGCAATCAAACCCGCAGCATGTGGCAACAATTTGGCAAAATAAGATTAAGTAATAAAGGAATGCGGACACGCTGACAGGTCTCTTCCTACATCTCGCTACAATGTTTCACCCTTTCTGCTCATATTGTTCAACAAGGAAAAAATAGAAAGCACCGCAAAAGAACAAAAGGACACAAAAGATGAAAACTAAGAAGTGGAAAAGAGATAAAAAGAGATGAAACAACTACTGAGTACTGGTTTCCAAAACAGGTGACTCAGGAAGTTGGTGACGTCAAGCACCTGGTCACCCACAATGACCCAGCAGTCCTTGTCGGTGTTGTGCTTGGCAACCTCCTCTGCGCTGACTGACATGCTGACTCGAGTTGGCTGTGGAAAATCAGGTCACCAAAATCGAGCTACAAACTTGTTGAGCCAAGATGATCAAAATGAGTCCGGAATTGCTGGTTCTGAAGGCACACCTGTTTCACACTGGGAACAGCAACTCAGAATATATCAGAATCAACGGGGAGACATCTGCAAGGTACGCATGGCACCCTGAGAGTCTTGTGCCAATGAACTCAATACTCTCTAATGTTTCTCACTGGGCTGTGTGATGTGCACAACTTCAGAACTCCCTCAACAGCTCGCACAAACCCATGCAGAACCAGATATATGTCTGTAACCAATAAATATTCTTATTGTGAAAACACCATTGTATAAATTATAATAAACTATGTATATATATATATATGTATACATAAGTCCGAGTCGCCTATTGACTAGGCCTACTGATGAAGCTGTCTCAATCTCGCAAGGATGTTTTTCCTCATGAGCAACGGACTCAATCAGCCGCTTCCTCAAGAATGCCTCAAACTGGACGACCAGGGGCGAAAAGATGCCGAGAGCATCTGGGAGCTCACTTCTTGATAGTGCCCTTCAGCTCCACAGTTCCCTCGTCGATCCCGTATTTCTTAATGACCTTGCGGTCATGAAGCATGTCGAACTCCTCAGTGGCGTCCTTGCCAGCAAACATCATGATGGACTTCTTCCCGCCAGGGTGCTCACCTGAAAGTCATCCAAGCTGGTCAACTCTGGTGCAAAACTGATGCAAAACTTGTAATTTTGTCGAATCTTTGCGTGTGCTTATGTATGCTTCCAGACCTACCTCTCTGAGCAATCAAACCCGCAGCATGTGGCAACAATTTGGCAAAATAATATTATATAAGTAATAAAGGAATGCGGACACGCTGACATGTCTCTTGCTACATCTCGCTACAATGTTTCACAGTTTCACCCTTTTTGTTCATATTGTTCAACAAGGAAAAAATAGAAAGCACCGCAAAAGAACAAAAGGACACAAAAGATGAAAACTAAGAAGTGGAAAAGAGATAAAAAGAGATGAAACAACTACTGAGTACTGGTTTCCAAAACAGGTGACTCAGGAAGTTGGTGACGTCAAGCACCTGGTCACCCACAATGACCCAGCAGTCCTTGTCGGTGTTGTGCTTGGCAACCTCCTCTGCGCTGACTGACATGCTGACTCGAGTTGGCTGTGGAAAATCAGGTCACCAAAATCGAGCTACAAACTTGTTGAGCCAAGATGATCAAAATGAGTCCGGAATTGCTGGTTCTGAAGGCACACCTGTTTCACACTGGGAACAGCAACTCAGAATATATCAGAATCAACGGGGAGACATCTGCAAGGTACGCATGGCACCCTGAGAGTCTTGTGCCAATGAACTCAATACTCTCTAATGTTTCTCACTGGGCTGTGTGATGTGCACAACTTCAGAACTCCCTCAACAGCTCGCACAAACCCATGCAGAACCAGATATATGTCTGTAACCAATAAATATTCTTATTGTGAAAACACCATTGTATAAATTATAATAAACTATGTATATATATGTATACATAGTCCGAGTCGCCTATTGACTAGGCCTACTGATGAAGCTGTCTCAATCTCGCAAGGATGTTTTTCCTCATGAGCAACGGACTCAATCAGCCGCTTCCTCAAGAATGCCTCAAACTGGACGACCAGGGGCGAAAAGATGCCGAGAGCATCTGGGAGCTCACTTCTTGATAGTGCCCTTCAGCTCCACAGTTCCCTCGTCGATCCCGTATTTCTTAATGACCTTGCGGTCATGAAGCATGTCGAACTCCTCAGTGGCGTCCTTGCCAGCAAACATCATGATGGACTTCTTCCCGCCAGGGTGCTCACCTGAAAGTCATCCAAGCTGGTCAACTCTGGTGCAAAACTGATGCAAAACTTGTAATTTTGTCGAATCTTTGCGTGTGCTTATGTATGCTTCCAGACCTACCTCTCTGAGCAATCAAACCCGCAGCATGTGGCAACAATTTGGCAAAATAAGATTAAGTAATAAAGGAATGCGGACACGCTGACAGGTCTCTTCCTACATCTCGCTACAATGTTTCACCCTTTCTGCTCATATTGTTCAACAAGGAAAAAATAGAAAGCACCGCAAAAGAACAAAAGGACACAAAAGATGAAAACTAAGAAGTGGAAAAGAGATAAAAAGAGATGAAACAACTACTGAGTACTGGTTTCCAAAACAGGTGACTCAGGAAGTTGGTGACGTCAAGCACCTGGTCACCCACAATGACCCAGCAGTCCTTGTCGGTGTTGTGCTTGGCAACCTCCTCTGCGCTGACTGACATGCTGACTCGAGTTGGCTGTGGAAAATCAGGTCACCAAAATCGAGCTACAAACTTGTTGAGCCAAGATGATCAAAATGAGTCCGGAATTGCTGGTTCTGAAGGCACACCTGTTTCACACTGGGAACAGCAACTCAGAATATATCAGAATCAACGGGGAGACATCTGCAAGGTACGCATGGCACCCTGAGTGTCTTGTGCCAATGAACTCAATACTCTCTAATGTTTCTCACTGGGCTGTGTGATGTGCACAACTTCAGAACTCCCTCAACAGCTCGCACAAACCCATGCAGAACCAGATATATGTCTGTAACCAATAAAAATTCTTATTGTGAAAACACCATTGTATAAATTATAATAAACTATGTACTTGAGAGGGAAGGGTGAAAGATCGAAAGGTAGGCGTGGGTTGGAACAGGAGAAGAGAGCAAGGGAACGAGGCATATCCGCTGCGGACGGACGTGGGTGGAGTTGGGGCGGATATCGAAAAAAGTCTTCTGGGCTTGGACTCGAGGGCGGGTACCAAAAAGGTAGGTTTCAGGGAGGGGGGACACGACACACACACAGACACACAGACATATATATATAAATACATACATATAGTTAGATATATGTATAAATATCAGGTTATGGGGTTTGCGAGGCAACGTGTAACTGGGGGCAGCACATTGTTGCAACGCGGATGGGGTTGATTCTGGTGTGTACATGTGTAGAACAGTGTGGGATTCACAAACGTGGTGTTTTGACCCCAGCATGTACCCAAAGCAACTGACTTAGGGCTATCATGGGCTATCCTGGTGCTGGAATCTTGGTGCAAAAAGTGGGCCCGCGGGGTGACTTCTTGCAAACGCGGCTTTAGAGGCGGACCTTGGGGGAATCGAAGGGGGGGGTTCAATATAGTTGTGATAATTATGTTCTAGTTATTATAGTAATTCTAGTCATTATAGGTGTTCTAGTTATTATACATGATAACTATATATATATATACGAATATACATATATATGAAACATATTGAAATGTCATTAGCGAAGTCTTTTGGTTGAAGAGAATATCTTGGAGGAACCCTTGCGGAAAATCCACCAAATGATCTAGATATGCTGAGCAAGGGGCAGCGATTATGCTTCGGCAACCACTAGCCAAAGCGCAATATCCCACAATTGCTGGGTAGAGTATGCATATATATATATATATATACGAATCTATATGTATATTGAGATTATTTAGTATATATATATCATGGAATTATTATGTGTATATATATATAGATACATATCTTTAACTATATTGTCGAAGGAAGTTGAGAAGCTAAACTTCCGACAATATGGACAGATGAAAAAAACAGAGCAGGGCACAGGCAGAGAGAAGAGAAAGTTCAGAAGAGAAAGAGTCAGAAGAAAGAAGATGCAGATGCGCGAAAAGGTAGGAAAGTCGCGATTCACTGTGTTTTTCCAATGATTTGTGGTTCCGGAGGGTCGAAAGTAGGCTCGCTAAAGCGGCGGGTGCGGAGACATATGGGGAGATGAGACATGAAAAATTGCACGCCGTTGTGGCGCGAAGCACATTTCCAAGTCAAAATGCACAAAACACCAGAGGATCGGACCACTTTTGGCGCTTCAGATGTCGAAAAAGGGCACGCCGTTGTGGCGCGAAGCACATCCCCAAGTCAAAATGTACAAAACACACCAGGGTCTGACCACTTTTGGAAGTTGC